TATAAAGCCTGATGCTCTGCTGTGATTAGTTGTTTTTCAACAGCTCTGATTGGTGCATTTCGATCCTTGCTGTTTCACTCAGTGATTTGCTCCCTCAGCGGTCCGCTGTCGCATGGCTCTCCTGTTGTTGTGTTCTTTGATCGTGGGCATCCACGCCTTTGGAATTTCTATTCCACTATCCCTGTTGATGTTGTCAGGGTGAAGTCTTATATGCCTCTTTGACCCTGCGCGTGTAGTAGTAATGGTCACGATCAATAAATTTTACTTCGTTCCAGAGTGGCTTGTGTCCGGTGTTGTGGGCATGTTCTGAAACGGCGGAGGTCTCGGTACGAGCGAGTCGGATGTCTCGATCGTGCACCTTAATTTTGTCTTGCACAGGTCTTCCAGTCTCTCCGATGTACACCTTGCCACATTCACATGGAAACCTGTAAACTACGCCATCTTGCTTAGCCGGGTCGACAGTGTCTTTTGGTCGTACTGAGATCTTAGCGTAGTCTCCGACTTGAGAACAGCGCGCACGTTTTGTTGTTGTAGGCAACAGCGAAGCTGTTCGGACAGACCTTTGACGTAAGGTAAAACCGCAGTAGCTTTGAACTCGTCGGCGGGTTCGGCACTGTTGTTTGGTTTTCCGGTCTTGGTAAGTTTCTGCAAGAAAGAAAAAGGGTAACCACACACTCCCCTCCCCACACACAGACGAATTCTAATCACCGTTGCCAATTGTTATTGTCCTTGAAAGGGTTCTTTTCTAGGCTATCGTTGAGGTTTTTTTCTAACCTTAAATCGAAAACTATTCCTGAGACTCAGTTAACTTATTGTCACACAAGGTGAATATAACCAAAAACATTTTTGTGCTGGAAACTTTCCAAACTGAGTGCGAAATTTCGGGTGTAATAAGCGTGCTGGACTTGCTACACCTAATATTATAGAATTTCTTAGTTCTCCTATAAGAAGAAGTTCTCACGTTAAATCTTAAGTCAATACAAAATAATTCACCAAACAATTCCTTGTTCAAGCATTGGTTGAGCAACTTTGATGAAGCCTCCAATATTTGCTCACTTGACGTAATCGATGTAACTTCCATCTTTGGACGTGCCGTATTGGACACAAGTGTTGTGTATACTTTCCATGATGTCATGGAGGCGCTCATCCACGCCCTCTCGCGTCCAGGCTGGTACAGACTGTTCTGAGACATCTCAAGCCCCGATACAGCCACGCCTACAGCATTGGACACTTTTCCTGGTCCAAAGAGGATTTTGTTTTTGTGAAATTCATCAATCGCCTCAGGTTCGAAGGGCATGTTAGCGCCTTCCGCTACAACATAACAGCCATCGTTTATCAGCATCTCCGCATCTTCTTTGCTACTTTCGTTCTGCGTCGCACAAAGTAAAGCTACGTCACACTTCACATACCACGGTCGTTTTCCTACGAAGAATTCTGCATCAGCGTACTTTTCCATGTACTCGCTTATTCTACCGCATTTGACATTTTTGAGCCATTAAACGTACTCTATCTTTTCCTGGTTTAAACCACCGTGGACGCACATGGTGCATTGCGAGTCCGACAGGGTAACAACCTTACCACTTAAGTGCACCACTTTCTCTGAAGCAAACTGCGCCACGTTGCTTGATCCTGACACTGTGATAATTTTCCCCCTGAAAGTCTCGCCCCATGTGTTGAGCATCTCCGCGGTGAAGTATACAAGACCGTGGCCGGTACCTTCAGGTCGGAGCAGACTTCCACCAAAGCTGAAAGACTTTCCCGTCAAAACCCCGGTGAACTAGTTGCGTATTTTCTTGTACTGGCCAAACAGGTAACCAGTTTCTCTTTCTCCCACGCCAATGTCCCCAGCCGGGACATCCGTATTTGGGCCGATGTGCCTCTGGAGCTCCGACATGAAAGACTAGCAGAAACTCATCACTTCGTCGTCGGACTTACCCTTGGGGTAAAAATCAGATCCCCCTTTTCCACCCCCCAAAGGTAAGGTTACACTAAGTTAAACCATTCTATAAAACCCCAAAATGTTTATTAGCATTAAAGGGGGAGGAGACGAAATAATATAGGACTGGTATAGAAAATTTTCTCTGCAAAATTGCTAACTTGAGGTTCTTAAACAACTTTGTTATTGTGACAATAGGCATTGTTTAGTAGTAGCCTCATTTGAATGTTTAACTAAAAGGACAGACATTTTGTAATAACAAGGCAGTTGATGTAACACTTAGGGGCAGATATTCAAACGATTCCTTCGCAACTAAACAGTTATTAACATAAAATATCTCCAGAAAAAAGAAATAATTTAAAGATCACTACCCAACATAATTTGGCTGGTTACTTCAAGTAGTGAGATGCAATAAAAGAAGATCTTTATGTCTCATTGAGGAATAAAACACAAAAGTCACATAAATTATTTGAACTATTATTTATTTATGCTTGTCATTTATTGACATTGCAATGAAATTTGAGTGAAATGAGTGTAACGTACAGCATTTTTATATATTACTACAATTAAAATATTTTCAGGTTCAAATTTTTAAAACTTGTTTTATTTTGTTTTCCTCTATCTTGGACTGTAATTCTAAATATATCCAAATTGGAAATTTTTAAACCTAAGAAAAAATATTATTGAGTCAAAACATATGTAATAGGTATGTTCACTTTTAAACCTGGATTCCTTTTCTTGCTTTGCTTTGGACTTCAGATATCTTCCAATCTGTCTGATGAGGTACGCTTTTTGTACTCAGCATTGTTGAGTGGCAAATACATCATTCTCATCTTTTTCTAATCTTGTTTTATTGGTGCTGGTTCTTTTTCTTCTTGTATAGCCACCCAGATGTAAAAACCAACAATAATATGAATAACTATCACAGTTACTCCTGCTGCACCTATTGCACCATTTGGATAACCCAGTATATCTGAAAAATACAGGAAAGTAGGAGTGATATCACTAAAGTAGTTTTCTACCTTGAGTTAATATAACATGCAGTGTAATGGTTACAACAAGTGTAACCTATTCCACTATGCAGGGCATGAAATTAATTGTTTTTTCTGATAACCACTTGGCTCCTAAATTCTTCAAAGTGGTAGCCAATTCGAAAAAAGTTGGTTGCCAATTTCAAAGACAAACAAAACCTTTATTTACCCTGTCAGCATTCTAGATAGACCCTCCAAAATTAAGTTAGGGAAAAGATCTTTAATGTGCTACAAAATGGACACTAGGACGGATGATTGAACCTTCAAGCTCACCTTAATCCAATATGGCATCTTCTTATTGATCGAGAAGCATGTGCTGCATTTTGGAAACAAACTTAACGAGGAAGTTTGCTGCAGATTTATCTTTAAAAATCTTTTTAATTCACCATATCTCTTGGAAAGGTTACGATGAAACATTCTAGTCACCAATTTGGTGACTAATTTTCAGATTTGGTTGCCAAAGTGAAAAATTTAGTTGCATTGGCACCTGCATTAGGCGCAATTTCATGCCCTGCTATGCAGGTTCTACAAAACTGGATGAGAAAGACAATCAGCACGGATGAAGAGTTAAAATTTCTCTTACTATAATTTTTTAAGCTAATAAAAATGGACTTTATTTTTCTGTTTATTTTTCACCCTCTACACCCTAGCATCAGTATGTATATTCTCCATACTGTTCTCTATACATCCCCTAAGGTGCTGACAAGAAGGATTTGTTTAACATTCAAGAGCTTCCTTAGTTGGTGATCATTTCCTCTATTCTCAAGACCTGCATGTGTGATTCAGGTGTGATATTAGATGATCATCACTCTTAGGGGTGTAAGGATTAATTATCATTGAGAGGATATCAATACTGACACTCAGGGCAGAGCTTGGTGACATTTCTGTATGCTTCAACACCACATGAAAATAATTCACAATATCAATGCACTAGTGGGCTGACAATTGGTGATAATAAAGAAAAACATCAAATAGGAGATTATTGTTTTGGGAAAAAACAAATTCCTAAGGACAAAAACCGCAAGAAATATGTAGGGAAATATGTGAAATTTGGAAAAACTACTATTGAAATCTTGGGAGTGGAAGGGTAAATTAAGGAAAACTTCTGTAGATTTTGTACCAAAAATAATATGGTTACCTTCAGAGAAGATTTTCTTGGAAAGGAAAAAGTAGGAGATTGGTAACAAAATCACGGCTTCTTAGGTAAACTTCAAAAGAGTTATTACAACTGACTTCTCACAAGGCCTGTAAATCAATCAATCAATCAATCAATCAGTCAGTGAGCCACTCAATCAATCAATTTTGGTCCATTTGTAAGTTAGTCTGTTGGCCAATTCTTGCTTGGTCCATTGACGTCCAATCATCAATCAATCAGTCAGTCACCCAATCAGCAAGTCAGTAAGTCAATCAATCACTGAATCAGTCAATCATTCAATTAATCAATCAGTCATTCATTCATACCACCATACAATCAGTCAGACACCTAGGAAATCCAAAAATTAATTAATCAACTGATCAGAAAATAAGTCATTCAAACAATCACGAATTAGGTCAGTCAGTCAATCAGCCTGACAATATTTTTTTTAATGGTAAGTCTTAATGCAAAGCCTTTCGTCGATAAACTCTAAAAAAGCCCTGTTCCCTCTTCCAAAAATTATGACTCATGAATCTCATTTCTAAAACAAAGGAAAAATCACATTATGTACAGGTACAGTCAACTCATGTATTTATCTGATACAACGACAAAGCCCCGTTCCACCACTCTCTAGCACTTTGACAAATACAAGACCGATGAAACTCACCCATAGGGTTGTCCTTGACTATCAGATGCATTCATTGTTTTTAGGAATTTCGTTTAAATTTATCGATAAGTTACTAGATCTGTGCAGCGGTCACGAAATACCAAACTCCTTAGAAGAACCCTCGATCTACGTGCACTACCGTTACTATCCGCCATTTTCGTTTTCGGCTGATAAAAGATGAGGTGCACTGGGACCAGTTAAGTTCATGCCCTCACGGTCTTGGTCCGCCTTCGTAAGCACTTTGACAACGTCCTTCGTCTGTGGCGTTGCAGTTGTGTCTTCTGTTGTAGTTATGTCCTCGCACCTGATAACCAATAGAATGCGGTTTTATTTCTTCCGATCCAAGCGTTGTGAACGTGTCTTCTGCGTATCACTTCCCAACTAGGGGAGGGATGCAATGTTAAAAAATTGTGAGAAGATCGTTAAGATTTCCGCGTTCGAAGTTTGAGAATTTCTTGGGCTATCTTTGTTTCACAGGCTATCCTTGTTTAATGGGCAATCCTTGATGCCTTTTGGGACACTTCGGATTGGTGAAAGATTAAGATTCTGGTTGCGTTTTTAATTGCGAATTATTAGCGTAATTTTCTTCGATATGTTGGAAAGCTTAGGAAGACGAGAATTTGATATTGCCTCGTGGCTTCTCTTATTGGTTTGGAGTGCGCTGGTGATCGATTTTCTGTATTTTGCGTAGGACACGCAAAACTAGATGTTACCTATTTAAAAAACAGGACAGATCTCGGTGTTTCAATGACCAAAAATTTGTGATTTTCTTCCAGCCTCAAAATAATTTTTGTTACGTTTCATGTAGCAAACTCAAAGTGTCTACACTGATGGCTATCATGGATACAGTGGAAGACATGTATTCATTGTAAATGTATGGGACTACGCAAAAATTCAACCTCTGGTATGGTTGATGTCAAACATCACATATCCTGGAAAGTTAACTCAAACTGCTAACACGTATAATGAAGATCTGGTCTCTTTTACAAAGGATAGGGTGCTCTCTCCCATGCTCTCCAGCAAGTAACAGTTGGGTTACAATGCATTAAATCATTCTCTTTGCTTAACCAGAAGGGAACAGTTTGCAGCAAAATTACTCTTCGCTTGATAATATGTGCTTCTCTATTTAATTCAGGGGCTGACATATGCCACTTTCTTGCTTTTGATCTATTTAGAATAAAGTCCCTTGAACTAAATTATGAGGAATATGGTAATGATATGTATATGTTTACCACATTTTACATACTTTTTCAACTATGCGTTACAAACATCAAAATGAAATAAATATTAATTCATGCACAAATGAATACTTAATTCAATACAGACTATTGCCTATTATTAGCAATTATTGCTCCTACATGTGTTAGCAAGAACTTGGTCTTGTTGGCATTCATTGTGAGCATTTGGTGATCCATATATTAGTGGAGACACTCTCTGCAACTATCTTTGTGTAGAAAATACCAATCCTTTCACCCTTACTTAATTTCATTCATACAGGCCTGGATGAGAACCAACAGCAAAGTAAACAAAAGTGCAATGAGGTGGTAAGCTCCATTGTAAACATTTCCTTGGCAAATTATGCACTAGTTATAAAGAGGTATATGTTGTGCTTAATTTTTGTTCTTGGTTTAAACATCATTTTCCTTTGGTTTTGTTAATGATACAAATAAAAAATGCATTTTGTGTAAAGAAAGATAAAATTTAGCTCGATCCTAGCCTAAGTTATGGTGAGATGATATGTCACTATCAATTTGGCCTCTATTAAAAGTAAAAGAATTAAACTAAGGATAAAACTAAACCACAGCATACCTATATTATAACCCTCATTTTATTTGTAACAATATTTCTATTTTTTCTGGTGTTCACCCAATAGATTCAACCCACTTACAGACAAAGATGGCACCTGTGCATTTTACTATTACTCTTAGGCTAAGGCACATGTAGAAAGCAATATTTCACAAAACAACAACATTATGTATGCAAGGTTTAAATTTTTCAGACCTTTACTGCTTGTTTTTATGAGTGGTTCCAGGATTTTCTTGCGCAAAGAGTTCTGGTTGAATGTACCAGTTGCCATGTTTTTTTGGAATGGTGGTTTACAGTAATTGTTGTATGAAGTAACCTTCACCAATATTAATTTTGTGAACTTGTCACTGACAAAGAGCTAGTTCATGATTAAACATTGATCATTTCATTGATTGCCGTGCTCTGCATTTATCATTGAAGTACTGATTAACTCCTTCGCCATCTGAGTAATTGCATTAAAGATACTGTGTTAGAAATCACAGGGCCGTAGCCCAAAACTAATGTCATCCTCAGTGCAATTTCATTTTTTGAGCAAGGAAAAGGTAAAAATCAAACAAAACCACACAGACATCATCACAGAGACACCATTTCTATGTATAATGTTTACATAGTTATAGTTACATGAAAGCTACTCTATTCATTAATTCAGTGTCAATACTCTCCCTCGTAGCAGCTATAATTTTTAGCCAACTTGGGAAATAGTGGCCTAAAATGGACCCTTTTGGACATCCAAACTTTTAAATTTCCAGGGGAAGATTCCCCAGACTTTGTCATCCAAGTGGGAACAAATGGCTGCCACCCTGTCATTTTGGTCCCTCCAGCTGCTCAAACGTTGTCCCTCCTTTCCACAATCTTACCAAAGCCCCCATATGTGTAGTAATAAAAACATTAAAGTGAAGTGTGCTATCTCAGCAAGAGATGATAATCATGCACACTTTTAAGTGAGTCATCCTGAGCAGATGTTTGGTGAGGTATTGCATTCTGTGCTCAAAATCTAGTGTACATAGAGCTGGGAAAAAAGAAAGGGGTGTAGAAGTCATTCAGGTCGGTTAATTGCTCCAAGCTCTAATTGGATACCACTGCTCATTTGGTTATCTTTCTTGCCAATACTCTTTCCAGTTATTTGGGTTTTCTTGGAAACTCTTCCCATTGAGAAGAAACATGATATGTGTTTACAAATTAAAAGCAAAGAAAAGTGAAAAAAATAGGAGAGTAACAAGATGGTATCAAAGACAGTGGTACAATTTTTTTTGCAGTAGGGTAGTTTTTTATTTTTTAATCCGAGTTTTAGCCTAAGTATGTCTAAGTTTCTACACGTGTTGTTTAGTCTTGTGATTTCTTGCTTTAAGAAGTGAGGTAAAATTGTTTGAATTTGTTTTTTCATTACAGCCACTTGAGTATGTAAATGGAAAGAAAACACTCTGAAAAATGATGGTAAGGAACACATAGCTTGAAAGTAATTTGGCAAAAACGGCAAAAGAAAGGAGCCGGGATGATATTAACAGAGGATGAGATAAGAGAAGAGGTAAGTATAAAACCAAGCATTAAGCAAGTATTGACTGACTGTAAAAAGTACCCTTTTCAGTGGCATGTCTAACAAGTTGCTTGGGGCCTCTTTCCAAGTGACCCTTAATAAGATTACACACAGCATACAATTGAAGTGAATGTGTAGATGAGGTGTTGTGTTTAATCATATATATCTCACTCAAATATCTAGAGGAAACATTTTTGTCGAAGGAGACAAATGTCAGTTTTAATTTGTTAACTATGGCAACATCAAAATCATTTTTTCCTCATCAAAAAATATTGTAGGAACGATCAAAATTCTAGTAAAGGTATTTCATGAAGATGAAAAATAAAATGTATACACAACTGTTGGTGTGTCTGGTGCCAAAAGATTCCTTTTTGTCTAACCTCGACCCAAAAGGTTTTATCGTTTGAGTCTGAGGTGAGGTTAGATGATGCTCACTTGAGGCAGGACTTTTAATTGGGACTTTGTTTTTTTCCGGCTTTACTCAGAGAGGTTAAAGTTCGAGGACATTTACCTGGAAAACTTTCCTTCCCTCTTATTTGGACTGCAACAACATTGTGTTTGTCTGTAATTTTCTCATTTATATTTTTATTCTAGTTCATTGTCACAAGTGTAGAGGGTTTGGCCACGTATGTGCCCAATGCCCGACGCGGCCTGGTTGTGCCCCACCATCAGCAAGAAAAGCAACCGGCAGATCAAGCAAAGGAAGTGATGGTGAAAAACTATCATTTTCATGCCTCTCTTGACAATGTAAGATTTCACTAATAAGTTTAGCAAGTTATCTAACATTGCCAAGAGGTTTCATAGATAACTCCCCAAAGTTTGGAATCAATCACAATAGATACTTAGCACCATGTTAACAACAAACTTCAGTTTCAGGTTAGGTGTTAGATGTTTGTGACTTCGATTAATTTAGCTATGTAAACATGAAAGTAAAATTTCATTTAAAGATGCTGTCAAATTGAATTTCCAGACAACAGCAGCATTTGATTTTCTAATGGCAACAAAAAAGTCCTATTTTCACTACTGGCTAAAAATGGTTTATTCTATTCATATTCAATGACATGTAATGCCATGGGTGGCAGGATATTCTGCAGTTTAACCAAAATTTTATATTAGCATGTACTAAAAAGACTGGTTAAGTAATTTTCTTATTGAGCATGTGATATAAACAGAAATTCAGGATAAAAAACATTCCGGTAAATGACTTATGTGAAATGTGACTGCACAGAGAGTCAATAATGACTCCTAAGTTTCAATGTGGTGCGACCTGCACTAAAGGTCCAGACCATGAAATGTTGGCCTGTGAGAGTACAACTCCACACTGTAATCCGCACTTAGAAGGCAAGCCAACTGTAGGAAAGCCGTCGTGTGAAATCTAAGCAACAAAGATGAATGAAAAACTAGATAAAAAAACATCTTCAACAGCATGTTACAGCCACCATTGCAAAATGGTCACTTTCAGAAGCTTTGAAGCTTAGGTAACTTAGCTGAGCATAGACTGGAAGCTATCTTCAATGATAGTAAACCATGTGACAAGTGCTCTGTTCACTGTGACAAATCCAGCGAGGAATAAGTATCTTGAATCATGACATAGCATGGTTTACACTTTGTGTAAACCACACAAAAACAGTTACAGGATAAACCAATAATTGCATAAAAACTTAGGCAAATGCAAGCACAAAAAACAAAGTTTATTTCCAACAGAAAGCCCAGGTGAACACAATTATGCATTTAGTTTCATTCTGATATTGACATTGGTTTAACAGTCTCTTCTCTCTACATTCTGCTGATTCATTTGCAATTTTTTGTCTTTGATACTTAGATTGCCAGCCTCTTTCTTCTTGATTCAGAAGATTCATTTGCATGTTTCTTTTCCCTGTTCAGACGCTGCTGGGCCAGCCTTTTTTCCCTTGATTCCTCACTTTCATTTACCCTTCTTTGTTTCTCATATTCATGTCTAGCAATCAATCGATTTTCTTTTTCTTCTGGCATTTCAGTTAAAAACTTTTGCTTCCTTTTCATATGATGTGTTTGGTTTCTTTTATTTCTGAAGGGCAAATGTTCAATTTTTGGACTCTTGTGAACATTTTGCAAATCAGGTTCATTATCTCTGACAAAGACACCTTTAATTTCAAAAGGAACAACCCCTATTTGTAAGCAGGAAATTTTCAAATATGATACAAGGTTTTCAATTCCTTCAATGGTAATCATAGTACATTTCTCAAATGAGTGGGGCATCCCATGCAAATCCCTGGAATGAGCATCAAAAATTTTAAAGCTTTGTTCTGAATTCTTAATCACTACACCAGTATTAATTCCAATCGTCAACAAACAACAATTGTAGTTAAGTTGACAATTTGTAATCACTTCTGTCAGAGAATTTTGAAGAGACATGTATGGCCCATTATTTGAAGTCATGAACAAACTTCTTGTTAATGACTCACTATATTCTTATGTGTATACTTTATTGTAAATTGAAACAATGCATAGAACATCAGTTAAAAGCAAATAATCATTTGTCTGGACAGAACATCTTATAGAAGTATACAAATTTTTTCCAATGGTAAGAATATTATTCAAAATGGAAGAAGTCCACAAATTGATATCTTCTATGTGATGATAAATAATAGCAGTAATTGACATTGCTACACATTACTTACCAGCATTTTCACCAAAGAGAGCTTCATTTCCTTAACTGTAGTCAGCACATATTGTTCTTGTTAGTTCGATGACATCAAATATTGTAGGGCCTGGATTTTCCTCTACATCATTTGCCTGCCTTATAAGCAATGGAAAATTGGCATTGTAGAAAATCATTTGTGAAAACTAAAACATCACATCATTCCACATTTTGTGTTGTCCAACAACTTGTTTCAATGTTGGCGTCCTTCTGTCTCGGGAGACAATGGAGTTGCGCCCATGGTCAGTCTGTGGTGGAGCTGCAGCGCCGGCTGTGGCTGTAGAGACCGATCCTTGAGCGGCAGATCCTGCTGCAGTTGCTGCATGCGAAGACGTTGTCGTCCGAGGGGGATGGGTTGGCCTCTGCTCTCTGGCGCCTGCGAGCTCTCTTGTCTTCCCACTGCTCCTCTCTTTTCTGCTCTGCTGTCTTGATGGCTGACATGGTGGTGGATCGCCAGCCGCTGCGGTCCGCTGCCAGTGCTTCGAAGCCTGCTGGCGCAATGCCACCCGCCTTCAGGTCCCGCTTAAGCACATCCTTGTAGCGGAGCGAAGGTCGTCCAGTGGGCCTGGACCCAGTGGCAAGCTCACCGTACAGAATGTCTTTCGGTAGCCTGCCATCTTGCATGCGGGTGACATGACCGAGCCATCGCAGGCGTCTCTTGGTTAGCAGGGCGTACATGCTCACAGTTCCTGCCCTTGCTAGGACTTCAGTGTTTGGGATGCGATCCTGCCAGGTGATGCCGAGGATTCTCCTGAGGCAACGCAGGTGGAAAGCATTGAGCCTGCGTTCTTGCCGGGTGTAGGGAGTCCAACTCTCGCTGCCGTACAGCAGTGTGCTCAGCACACACGCCTGGTACACTTGCGTCTTGGTCTTGATGGTGAGCATAGTGTTCTCCCACACTCTCTTGGTCAGTCGGGCCATAGCTGTTGAGGCCTTGCCGATCCTCGTGTTCAGCTCGGTGTCCAGGCTGAGGTTGCTGGAGATGGTGGACCCAAGATAGGTAAAGTCCTCCACCACATCAAGGGTACAGTCACCTATGGAGATGCTGGGAGCAGTGCTGACGTCTTGGCCCAGGATGTTGGTCTTTTTTATGCTGATTGTGAGGCCAAACTGTGAACAGGCATGGGCAAAGCAGTTGATGAGCTCCTGGAGGGCAGTTTCGGTGTGAGCTGTGATGGCGGCATCATCAGCAAAGAGCATCTCCCGGATGAGGACTTTGCGCACCTTTGTCTTGGCTCGGAGGCGTGACAGGTTGAACAGGCTACCGTCGCTCCTGGTGTGCAGGTAGATGCCCTCTTCGGATTGGCTGAAGGCGTAGCGCAGCAGCAGGGAGAACAGGATGCCAAAAAGTGTCGGCGCGAGGACACACCCTTGTTTGACGCCGCTCTTGATGGGGAAGGGGTCCGAGGAGGAGCCATCGTACTGGACAGTACCTTTCATTTCCTTGTGGAAGGAGGTGATCATCCTCAGTAGCTTGGGGGGGCATCCAATCCTGTGCAGGAGTGTGAACAAACCTGACCTGCTGACCAGGTCGAACGCTTTGGTCAGGTCTATGAAAGCGATGTACAGGGGGCGTCTCTGCTCACGGCATTTCTCTTGTAGCTGCCTCAGAGAGAAGATCATGTCGATCGTAGACCTTTCAGCTCGAAATCCGCACTGTGATTCTGGGTACACACGCTCTGCCAGTGACTGCAGTCTGTTCAACACGACGCGGGCAAAGGTCTTGCCGACGATGCTGAGGAGGGATATTCCGCGATAGTTATTGCAATCGCTGCGATCACCTTTGTTTTTGTAGAGCGTGATGATGTTGGCGTCACGCATGTCCTGAGGCACACTTCCTTCCTCCCAGCATTGTAGCAGAAGTTCGTGGAGATGTTCGAGAAGACTGGTCTCTTTGCCTGCTTTTATGACCTCTGGCGGAATGCCATCGTTGCCTGGGGCTTTGCCGCTGGCTAGGGAGTCTATGGCCTTACTGAGCTCCTCGATAGTGGGTGGGTCATCAAGCTCTTCCATGACTGGCAGGGGGCTCGTGTTCTCCACTGCTGTGTCAGTCACGACGGTCTCCCTGGAGTACAGCTCCTGGTAATGTTCCGCCCATCTCGCCATTTGCTTTGCACGGTCTGTGATGATTTCGCCAGTGGTTGACTTGAGAGGGGCAGTCTTGATTACGCATGGGCCGAAGGCTTTCTTCGTTCCCTCATACATGGCTCGAATGTTGCCGCAGTCAGCCGATGTCTGGATGCCTTGACATAGGTTCTGCCAGTAGTTGTTGGCGCACTGTCTAGCAATCTTTTGGGCTTCACTTCTGGCTCGTCTGAGGGCAGTCAGAGTCTTTTCACAGGGGTCTTTCTTGTAGTTCAGTAGGGCAGTTCTCTTGGATGAGATGGCTGGCTCAAGTTCCTCGATTCCGGCTTCGAACCAGTCGGGGTTTTTGCGCTCTCTCTTTCCAAAAGTGTCCACTGCAGATTTGTATGTAGCGTCACGAATGTGGTTCCATCTATCCTCAGCGCAGCTAGTTGGACAGTCGCTGAGGGCCTCTTGGATGGCATCTGCGAAACGTCCGCGTAGTTCAGGCACAGAGGTCACGGCTGTATTGATGCGGGGACGTCCTTTGTGCTTTGAGTGGTGGATTCGCTTGGGTTGGAGACACACTTTGCTGGCGACCATAGAGTGGTCGGTGTTGCAGTCAGCGCTGTGGTAGCTACGGGTGGACAGGACACTGTTCAGCAGGGGTCTGCGGGTGATCACGAGATCCAGCTGGTGCCAGTGACGGGATCTGGGGTGCCGCCAAGACACTCTGTGGTGAGGTTTCGTGGTGAAGAACGTGTTTGTGATGCAGAGGTCATGGAAGGAGCATAGCTCGAGGAGACGCTGCCCGTTCTCGTTGAGTTTGCCTACGCCAAAGTGGCCGATGCATCGAGGCCAGGAGGTGAAGTCTGAACCAATCCGGGCGTTGAAATCGCCAAGCAGGTACAGGTGTTCTAAGGGGGGTATTTCCTTGATGGCGGTCTCAAGCTGGCTGTAGAACTCGTCCTTAGCCTCTGCTGTAGAGCAAAGCGTGGGGGCATAGGTGCTCATGATGTTCACAGGGCCTGAGGTTGTTGTGAGGCGGAGGGAAAGGATGCGGGCTGTGCCTTCTGAAGGTGGTTCGACTGAGGGCAGTAGGGAGTTCCTAACCGCAAAGCCTACACCATGCACACGATGCTCCTCTGGAGCTTTCCCCTGCCAGAAGAAAGTATAGTCCTCCTCTTTCAGGCTGCCATTGGATGGAAGTCTAGTTTCCTGCAGTGCTGCTATGTCAATGTTGAGCCTCTTGAGCTCTCGGCTGATGACTGCTGTCTTCCTTGCGTCATCGATCTGTTGGAGATCGTCGGAGAGGCCAGGGCACATGGTCCTGACATTCCAAGTTGCCAGTCTCAGCGCTGGCGGCTTTGATGTCTTTCTTCTTCTTTTGTCTGGTGCGGGATTTACAGTCCGCTCTTCGGTGTTGTCCTTAGCTCCAAGCACCCATTGAAGCAGGCAGACTGTGACGGGTCAGCACCTTACTGGCTGGGGGCTGCCCAGCTTGAGGCGGGCGATAGCTGATCAGTGGGACGCGAAGATCCCTCCCACCGTCGGAGACAGCCCCTGGCGTCCGAGCTCACGCCAATACGCTCTGGGCTTATAACCGGTATCTGCTGTCTCCCGTGTTGTTTCTGTCGCTGGAACAGCGGCAGTGGAGTGACCTCTCCAGGGCGCAAGCCTGGGCGGAGTGTGTGGAGATCCTGGGTTGCCCAGTCGACAGGACCCCCCTCTCGGCCTCACCGGTGTAGTCCAAAGGAATGCAGAGCAGTACGTTTGGCACCAGGTTGGCTGCAGGAGCTGCCGGAGTCAGTGAGCACTGCACGCTGGTCCGCCTTCGGGGCTCCACTCCTGATTTGAAGGGTTTACTCCCCTACACATGGCCGTTGGATCTTCAGATCTCCTCCGCCCTCTAGCCGTTGGCTGCCTGGAGCAGCTCCTCCGCCTAGTAGTGATGCAGTGTAAACATCACCCCCTCACGTGGTTTAGCCCGCCAGCTGAGGCGGTGTGCCGGGGTGTGGCGCTTGGAGCCAGCACGTGAGAGATTTATCACAAACATTAAACTCCAAAAATGATCATTAAAACACAGCGTTAACTAAGGAACGAGAGAACTTGAAGGAAAGTTATGTGAGAGGCCAATGATCTGGTTCGCAATGATCATGCGAACAGCACGTTTTTCTGAGATCAGTTGAAGTTTGCTAAAGCCGGAATAGTATTGATCAAATTTTCCGTTGCCTCCGGCGAAAGCTACTATTAGAAGACAACTACTCGAGTTTTTTAACCAGTCCCAGGTCGCGTACCGCTCGCTCGATCGCAAGATATGATTGGCCATTGTATCACATTACGTCAGAGGAGTTATAAACAAGCACTACAGACAAACGTCGTTACTACTAGGAAAGAGTTCATACAAGTGTAGTGGAACAACGAAATGACTTGTCTTCTGCGTGGAAAATTATTTTATTCATATGGGTCAAATTTCCTTAAAAGCCATACCTTCACAAAAATGACCCCAAGGTTTAGCTCGCAAAATTTACCGAGATGGCGAAAGTTCTTTCTTCCTCCCAAAAAGATCGCACGTGTGGTAATAATAGCTGGAGGAGTTGTCGCCACAGCGTGTGGAGGAATTTTCTATTGGAGCTCAGGTACGATTGATTCAAATAAAATGCTATAAGTATGAGAACAATCATTGTAATATTTTTCAGCTTTGACGTATGTTATTGTTATATTCATTAAGTCGGACAGAGAAGAAACATCATAAGCGATCGATGTTATGAATGTTGTAAATAAATGCAAAAAATCTAATAGATTTAATTTTTTTGGTGGATCGCCACTTTTTACTGATTTAGTATCCGATGTTGAGACAGTTAATTATTTCTCGATTGGCTCATCGAGTTCAGATGCTTGTTAATAATTTGTTGGTTCTTAGTGCATAATTTTTCGATTTCACGTGTTGTGTCGGATGTGACTTTCGTTGTTTCCAAACTCCGTTTTTTCTGTGCCGGAAGTGAATCTTTCAGCGATGAGCGGTTACTTAGCCCCTAACAATATAGCGGAAACTCAATTCGATGATGATGAGACGGGAATACGACGCCGAGCAGGACAGCGAAGAAAGCTTCATTCGGTATTATTTTTTCAGAGGCTTTGAGTACAAAGAAATAATTTTGCTCCTATTGAAAAACCATGGCATTGAAATGAACCTAAGAACCTTGAAAAGACGAATCAAGAGTTACGGTCTTAGGAGACAACAACTAGAATACAATATCGATCAGGTCAGAGCATCTGTCCTAACTATTATTGACGGCCATGGATCTTTGCAAGGGTACAGGTCGGTGTGGCACACACTACAGCTAAGAGGCACCAGATAACCGCGCGTCGTTGTAAAGGAACTTCTTCGAGAGATGGACCCGGAAGGCTCTGAATTAAGAAAAGCACACCGCCTGAGGAGGAGGATTTATCAAAACCCAGGTCCAAACTACTCATGGCATTGCGATGGCTATGATAAACTGAAACCATTCAGTTTTCCGATTTATGGTTGCAGGAGCAGGAAGATCATCTGGTTATATGTAACGCGATCCAATAACCAGCCAAACAACGTAGCAGCCTATTTTCTTGATGCTGTTGGAGAGTATTGTGGATGCCCAGTTGATCTCGTTACTGATCTGGGTACTGAAAATGGAATTATTGCGGCCATACAGTCTTTTTTCAGCGATGACCCAGATAGCCATAGATATGTGCCATCACCTCGAAACTAACTTAGACGTGATTTTATTTGACAATCTACGCGCTTAACGCCCTGAAAATACTTAATCAGATACATCGCTGTACGCACGCAGAACTAGTTTGATTATTCCGTGCCGGAACATTCCTGCTACATTCTTCGCATCTACTGTAGCAGTAACGAAATATCAACTCGCTTGATATATAATCAAACACATGAAACAAAAAAGACGTCAATTTTGAGCATAGAAACGCTTCACGATAGTAGAAATGAGTTCGTAAACGGGTAGTGGGTGGTAGACTCAATTCGCGGTTTGTTTACATCAAAAGTCACGTGACAGTACACGTGAACTCTAAAGCCTAAAAGGTGAATTAAGTGTGTTGTGTATCAAGCAATTCACTTCCTAGTTAGCAATTATTAGTTTTGTCAAAAGAGGTCTTTTCGCTATTTATGATAACATTTTGCTATTCTTCTTACTTGTCTGTCTGTTTGTTTTTTTGTTTATTGCCAATAGGAGCTGATACAACCCCTAAGGATAATAACTCAGGCTACCAAGCAGTAGAATATGCTGGGACTGGAAGCATGATAGGATTCTGGACTAAAATAAAGGATATGGTACGATGTTAACGTCTATCTAAAGCTATCCTTCAAATTTTTGTGAGCTGTGCTTGCATTGTATAGAGCAAATATCACAATATTTTTTTTAATTGTATCGTCAATATTAAAAGATGGTAAAATTTCAATCAAGAGAAATAACGGATATTGCAGCTGTATTTTGTAATTGAAATGACACAACTTGTTTTTCAGTGTTTGAAAGGAAAAGAGAGGAGAGAGATTGAGGAAAGTTGGTGCTATCCTTTGGAGATGAGATTGAAAGACAATATTATAGGACAAGAAGGAGCCATTCTCACAGTTGCTGCAGGTATGATTTTCTATGCGTCAAAATCAGTTTGGAAGACTACAGTTTGGCAATTTTGGGAGTAATATTCTACTGACTCTGTTTTTCATTTGTTTGCAGCAATTCGTAGAAGAGAAAATGGTTGGTATGATGGAGAACATCCCCTTGTGTTTCTCTTTCTTGGATCTTCAGGGATTGGTAAATTTCAGTGCTTTTTTGGAACATATTTAGTTTACACATGAATTTAGTCACAAAACATACGCGATCTGATATTTCATTATTAATGACTGTGACGTTTCATTATTCTCTTTGAATGTTCCTTCCTGTAGGAAAAACAGAGCTTGTCAAACAAGTGGCTCGTTGTCTTCATAAAGACAACAGGAAGGTAGTGCAGGATTTTTTTTCAATTGTATTTGGTTAATAATTTGTTGAAGTATTTAAAAGTTGCTTTCTCTCTCCCAGTGTTTGGTAAGACTGGACATGTCTGAATACCAAGAAAAGCATGAGGTAAGAGTTGATTTAAATGAAAAACTCAAAGAACGTTCTCAGAAAAAGGAAACTTTCCTTTGACATAGACAACTAAGGTAAAAGGTTTATACGGGTAGCCAAGAGGGGAGGGGGGGGGGGATAGTGGGGCACTAAAAAAGTTCAAGATTCCCCAGAGACTCTCAATTCCCATTGGCTTGTTGTGATATTTTCCTTTGTTTTTATTGGCTGTTGTACTTGCTTTGGTTTCGGTTTTACACTCAAACAAATAGCGCTTAAACTGGAACTTAAACATCTTTCTTTCAAGGTTGCGAAAATGATCGGTGCACCACCAGGTTACCTTGGACACGATCAAGGCGGACAATTGACAAAGGAACTCATAAAGTGTCCAAACGCTGTGGTGTTATTTGACGAGGTAAGAAATAAACGATCCTCAATTTTCTTAGACGTTTTTTTTTTTGTGTGACTAAAATCACTGGGCTCATCTCATTTTTTAATGTCTTTTTAGGTGGAGAAGGCCCACCCAGACGTTTTAACAGTCATGCTCCAATTGTTTGACGAGGTAGCATCTATACTTAAATTTGAGTGAAGATTGTTTTTTTTCTTCAATTTGAGTCATACTAGGTTTGAAAATTTTTCATTTTGTTGTTTTACTTCTTTTTAAGTTTTGATGAAAAAAAAAACCTCTGTTTTGGATTCAGGGTCGTTTGACGGACGGACAAGGGAAGACAATTGTATGCAAAGACGCCATTTTTGTGATGACTTCAAACCTTGCTAGTGAAGAAATAGCAAATCACGTATTGGAGCTGAGAAGAGAAGCAAAACTAGGCGCTGAACAAAGACAAGAAGGTGAATTTTGTTGTGAAGGCTTAAATTTCGCTGATGTTGGACGACGAAATGCGGGATGAATTTGGACAGACGTGCAACATTTCTAACCACAAATTTGCACCTCGTTCAAGTTACTCGTAAAATAATAGCCAGTCTGGCTGGAATACAATGGGAGAAGGGAGGGGAATGAGGAAAACGAGGAAAAAATTAACACAAACACACTAAACCAAAGTTGGTCTCAGGAAAAAAAAGTTTGTTCTTTTTTTTCCAATGTGTATGCCTTCTCGTGTTGCATGTGCAGGATATCACTGTGTTTCTTTTCAGGTGATGAAGTCAGCGAAAAAGTTACTTTATCGAGAAATTTTAAAGAAAGAGTGGTCCAGCCTATTCTGAAGGTAAACATTCCTTTGGCGATAAATTGCAACAAACGTGGTAAACATTTCCGTAGCGATAAATTGCAACAAACCTGGGTTTATGAAGTTGAGAAAAATGAGTGATGTCTTGAGAATTCGTGAGTATTCATTCTTTTAAAGCTAAAGGGTAGTTATCATAACATGTTCTCTAGCGCTTTTTGTTTCTCTTCGTATCGACAGAGTCAATTCGGACGTGACGAGTTCCTGGGTCGCATCAATGAGATTGTGTACTTCCTGCCATTTTCACGCCCAGAGCTTTTAAGCTTAGTGACGAAAGAGCTGGATTACTGGTCAAGAATGGTCTGTAATGTGCTCTCCTGTAACATTTTGTAAATGATCTCGAGCAGTTGTTAAAGAAGTAATCTAAGTCCCTGCCCAATTTCTTCTTTGTTTGAATACAGGCGTTGAATCGACACAATATCCACATGACTTGGGATAAAGAAGTCTTGAATGTACTGGCTGGTGGCTATGACGTACGTTACGGTGCGAGGTCTATCAAACACGAAGTAAGATCGATTATGTTTTTACGACTTTACCTTTTGGTCTAATTTTACCCTCCCCTCCTCCATTAAAACACTCACACCTCTTGTTTTCGACGGCTTTTTGTCAGGTTTTTTCTCTTCTCTTCACTGAAGCGTTATACATGTACTACAATTCAACGCCAAACATAGTGAGGAATTGAAACTAACATGAAACTTTTTCATATAACCGGCACTAAAACAATGAAATGGAGGAAAAATAATCACCGTTGAAAGGAGAATGTGTTGCTGGCAAATAGTGGAAATGCTGGTGACACAATCCGAAATTGTACGAAATGCTGTGGCTGTTGGAAAGTGCAGAAAGTCTTTCTTTGTAGTGTGGTAATGTATTCATAGTCGGAGGACCCTCACCTAAATATTTGCTATTATTTGAATTATTCTCATGCAAAAATTATTGTTTGTGATGCAGGTTGAAAGAAGAGTTGTCAATCAACTTGCTGATGCGCAAGAGCAAGGGTTAATAAGTCGTGGATGCACTCTACACTTAACAGTGAGCTACCCCAAAGATAAAACAGGACGGAACTCAGAGGAAGTAGCTCCTACCATCAAACTGCAACACATTACGGAAGCAGGGCATGAAATTGCACCTAATACAGGTGCCAATGAGAATAAATTTTTCTCTTTGGCGACTAAATTTTTCTCTCTGGTGACCAAATCCTGAAAATTAGGCACCAAACTGGCAACTAGAATGCTTCATCATAACCTTACCTAAAGATATAATGAGCTAAAAAGATTTGCAAAAGTAAATCCGCAGCAAACTTTAAGTTTGTTTCCAAAACACAGCACATGCATCTCAATCGCTGACTAGACGCCATTTTGGATTTAGGTGAGCTTAAAGGTTGTATATCATCCATCCTAGAGTCCACTTTGTGGCACATAAAAGATCTTTTTCCTAACTTCATTTGTTTGTTTCTCTTTAAAAATGGCGACCAACTTTTTTTGAATCGGGTACCACTTTGAAAAATTTAGGAGCCTAGTGGCTCTCAGAAAAAAAATTAATTTCATGCCCTGCATTGATGTTGGAAACTATTTTGTTCCTGAAGATAAACTGTTCTGTTGAAAAAGAGAAAACAAGCAACAATTGACCCAGGAATGGAAATGAATTTGAAGACACTTGGTCTTGAGGATTCAAGACCAACTGTAGATATTTATACCATTTTGGTCTTTCTGTCATGGTTATGCTTGTCATTTATTGACATTGCAGTGAAATTTGTGTAAAATGAGTACAATAGGAGCTATATTTGTATATTACCACAAATAAAAAATTGTTTTGATTTTGTTTGATTTTGTTTTCCTCTGTCTTGGATTGGAAATTTTTTAACCAAAACCACAACATACATAACAGGTTTGCTCGCTTTAATTTAAACCCGGTTTCCTTTTCTTGCTTTGCCTTGGACTTCAGACATTTTCCCATCTATCTGGTGAGGTACACATTTTGTGTTCATTGTTGTTGAGTGGCAAACACATCATTCTCATCTTTTTCTAATCTTGTTTTATTGGTGCTGGTTCTTTTTCTTCTTGTATAGCCACCCAGATGTAAAAACCAACAATAATATGAATAACTATCACAGTTACTCCTGCTGCACCTATTGCACCATTTGGATAACCCAGTATATCTGAAAAATACAGGAAAGTAGGAGTGATATCACTAAAGTAGCTTTCTACCATGAGTTAAAATAACATGTAGTGTAATGGTTACAACAAGTGTAACCTATTCTACTATGCAGGTTCTACAAAACTGGATGAGAGAGACTATCAGCCTGGAGAAAGAGTTAAAATTTCTCTTACTATAATTTTTCAAGCTAAAATAATGATTATTTTTAACCCTCTACACCCTAACATCAGTATGTATATTCTCCATACTGTTCTCTATACATCCCTAAGGTGCTGACAAGAAGGATTTGTTTAACATTCAAGAGCTTCCTTAGTTGGTGATCATTTCCTCTATTCTCAAGACCTGCATGTGTGATTCAGGTGTGATATTAGATGATCATCACTCTTAGGGGTGTAAGGATTAATTATCATTGAGAGGATATCAATACTGACACCCAAGGCAGAGCTTGGTGACATTTCTGTATGCTTCAACATCACATGAAAATACTTCACAATATCAATGCACTATTAGGCTGACAATTGGTGATAATAAAGAAAAATGTCAAATAGGAGATTATTGTTTAGTGGAAAAACAAATTCCTAGGACAAAAACTGCTAGAAATATGTAGGGAAAAATGTGAAATTTGGGAAAATTACTATTTAAACATTGGGAGTGGAAGGGGAAATTAAGGAAAACTTCTGTAGCTTTTGTACCAAAAAATAATATGGTTACCTTCAAAGAAGATTTTCTTGGAAAGGAAAAAGCAGGAGATTGGTAACAAAATCATGGCTAAGGTAAACTTCAAAAGAGTTATTAGAACTGACTTCTCACGAGGCCTGTAAATCAATCAATCAATCAATCAATCAATCAGTCAGTAAGCTACTCAATCAATCAATTGGTCTATTTGTAAGTTAGTCTGTTGGCCAATTCTTGCTTGGTCCATTGATGTCCGATCATCAATCAATCAGTCAGTCACCTAATCAGCAAGTCAGTAAGTCAATCAATCACTGAATCAGTCAATCATTCAATTAATCAATCAGTCATTCATTCATAGCACCTTACAATCAGTCAGACACCTAGGAAATCAAAGAAACAATCAATCAACTGATCAGAAAATAAGTCAATCAAACAATAACGATAACGTCAATCAGCCTGACAGTTATTATTGGTGAGTCACAAAAACTCTTTAAAAGCCCCGTTCCACCATCCAAAAATTATGACTCACGAATCTCATTTCTAAGGCAAAGGAAAAATCACTTTTTGTAGAGGTACAGTCATTCATACGTATTTATCTGATACAACAACAAAGCTATCTTGCACTTTGACAATTACAAGATTGATGAAACTCACCCTAAGGGTTGTCCTTGACTATCAGATACATTCATTGTTTTTAAGAATCTCGTATAAATTTATCGATAAGTTACTAAATCTGTACAGCGGTCACGAAATACCAAACTCCTTAAAAGAACCCTCGATCTATGTGAGCTACCGCTTCCTGTCCGCCATCTTCGTTTTCAGCTGATAATAGATGAGGTGCACTGGGACTAGTTAAGCTCATGCCCTCACGGTTCCGGCAGGATTACGTCAGACAACAACATGGCGGCAACAATTCGTCTTCTCCGAGGAAAATTGTCGCGTTCATCTGTGATAGATTTTCTTAAAAGCCATACCTTCACGACAGTGATCTTAAGGTTAAGCTCAGGAAATCTATCGAGATGGTGGAGGCTCTTTCTTCCTTCCAAAAAGAGCTTACAATGGAGAGTTGTAGCGGGATCAACCGCTGGTATGCTCTGTGGAGGAATTACTCTTTGTATGAGTTCAGGTACGATTGAGATCAACGCGATTTTGTTCTGCCTGATTCAAACTAAATGCCATAAGTATGGGAACCTTTATCCTAATATTTTTACGTGATGGAGTATGTTATTATTATAAGCCGTACCAAGACGAAATATTATTAGTGATTGATGTTATGGATATTATCAAGATGTTATAATTCCTGCAAAAAATCTAATATATTTCATTTTCGGTTGATTGCCACTTTTTACTGATTTAGTATTCGATGTTGATATCTTTTTTTATTTATGGATTGCTCAATTGAGTTCAGATGCTTGTTGATAATTTGATAGTTCTTTGTGCACGAATTAAATGTGTTGTGTCTTAAGCATGTGACACCTCCTAGTTAGCAATTATTCGTCTAAAAGTCAATTATAGTATAGAATTTTTCTTAAAAAAATGAATTTGCTTCTCCAGGTGTTTCTGAGAGAATGTGCAGATTAGCCAAACATAATGACACCAATGAACTCCAAAGGTAGGTGGCCTTAATGGAATTTCTTGTGCTTGGTTGTTTGTTTATGATGTTTTATAAAATAAAAGAGATACTACAAGCGGCCTGATTGGTTAAAAATCCACAAAAAATTGAAGTTTATTTTAGAAATGCAATAGATTGCACTTTCTATTGGTTTACTGGTGTAATAACCCACCTGGAATGTTGAGAGAACACTTGAAAAGTGCATGGGTTATTACACTGGTAAATTGATAGAAAGCACAGTCTATTGCATGAGCTGTGTTTTCAATGATTTCTTGTTTAAATTTCTGTAGCTATGTTGATTCTAGTTTCTTTTGTCTTAGTTCATTACCTAAAACAAAGGTATATAATATTATGTATCAAACTTGTTTGAAAAATTTTGAACCACAGAAAAAAACTGAACTGCAACATATACATGACATAATCCAGGGTGAATCAAAAGTCATAGACAATTTATTTGTTGTTTTTTCCTTGACTTGTTTCCATCCACTTCCTGTTATCAGACTGATCAATCAAGGTCAGAATGTCAATCAAAAGCATCAGCTGGGATGGACTCCACTTCATACTGCAGCTTTTAATGGCAGTGAGAGGTAACTGTTTGTTGCATGAATTCTTTTATTTTTTAATTTGTCTCCCACTCTTCCAACCTTACCCTCTTCTATTCTCTTTTATCTTCTGTTATTCCTTTTCTCAATGGTAAATTCTTTTGACTTGTGTACCATAGTTACCATACTCTGTGCAATTAAAATACTTCATTCAAAGAACTCTCTTGGTGACATGCTGCAAACTTGGAATCTACATAATTTTAGTTTATACAGTTTTGTGTATGTCTTTTGTGTTTATTAGTTTATCTACTAGCTAATTTTCTTTTCATTTTTGTATATTCCTCTTGTACTTGTATATTTAGGAATCAGGTTTTTAAAATCTTGAGTTGTCAAAGGTTAAATGCTGTCTCTTCTTCACAACAAATTCTGCTTTACTTACCTGCATTTAAAGGTCTTTGGCACTTCTACTAAAGGCAGGAGCTGATGTCAATGCAAGAGATGAATTCAGCACAGCTTTCCGAACTGCTCAAAAGAAGCACATGAGATCTTTTGATGGTAAGAGAACACAAGTTACTCCTAAGAATTTTTTAAGGTTTCCTTGAGATTTTGCAAGTACCTATCTGTAAATGCTACTGAGTGGAGAGAAGTATTTATGGTAAGTTTGTTACTGAAGAATGCAACACAGTGAGCCTGCCATCGCTTGCACCCAAAGCTCTTAATCTGAAGCTCAGCGTGTTAGCTACTGGACCTTTCCTTTCTTTCACAATGTGCCCATAATTTATTTTTTTAAGTATTAATGTTTTAGTGATATTGATGCGAGATAATGACTTCAGTGACAGACTCCATCGCAGTGCTAACTTCAGTGGCTTCACTCCACTCCACTATGCAGCTCTTGGTGATAGCCTTGAATGTGTTCAACTCCTTGTGAATGCTGGTAACGTTTTTGAGTTGTTTTTAATAAAGATTACTTTTATTAATGCACAGGACCAATCTATTTTAGCTTTTGACCCCTAATGTTGTATAGTGTGATATTTCTCCTTACAATATCACCCCTGAATCGCATAGTAAGGTTATGAGAATAAAGGAAGAAGTTCTTGATTGTTGAACAAATTCTCCTTGTCATCACCCTTGGAATTGTATAAGGAACAGTATGGAGAATATGGAACTAATGTTAGGGTATAAAGGTTTAAGTTTTTCACTCTAAGGATGTTGTATTACTTGAACACATTCTCCCTGCTGCTGTCTAAGTTGTGTATAGTTAGTGCTGTGTTTTATCAAAAGAGGTCTTTTCACTATTTATGATAACATTTTGCTTTTCTTCTTGCTTGTTTGTTTGTTTGTTTTTTTATTGCCAATAGGAGCCGATCCAACTCTTAAGGATAACTCAGGCTACCAAGCAGTAGAATATGCTGGGAATGTAAAGATTAAAGAATTCTTGATGAAAAAAATGGATGTGGTAATAGATGTTAATGTCTATTTGAAGCTATCCTTCAAATTTTTGTGAGCTGTGCTTGCATTGTGTAGGGCAAATACCACAATATTTTTAAAAATTGTATTGTCAGTATTAAAGATGGCAAAATTTCAATTAAAAGAAAAAACAGGTAGTGCAGCTGTGTTTTGTGACTGAAATGACACAACTTGTTTTTCAGTATGTGAAAGAGAAAGAGAGGAGAGAGATTGAGGAAAGACGGCGTTATCCTTTGGAGATGAGATTGAAAGAGAATATTGTTGGACAAGAAGGAGCCATTCTCACAGTTGCTGCAAGTATGATTTTTTATGCAACAAAATCAGTTTTGGAAGACTACAGTTTGGCAAATTTGAGAATAATATTCTACTGAATCTGTTTTTCATTTGTTTGCAGCAATTCGTAGAAGAGAAAATGGTTGGTATGATGAAGAACATCCCCTTGTGTTTCTCTTTCTTGGATCTTCAGGGATTGGTAAATTTGTTTTCTTGGAACAAAGATTCAGTTTATATATTTGAGTTTACTCACATAAAACATGCGCAATCTGATATTACATTATTAATGACTGTGACTCTACTCAGATTTTCTTATAACAGATTTCTGGAGCTCTGCATTTGAAAAAGTTAAATTTAATTTATTAGTGCAGTATGATCCTGCATTCAAGTTTCTAAATCATAGGGAAAGACTTCTATTCGTGTTTCATCATTCTCTCTGATTGTTCCTCCCTGTAGGAAAAACAGAGCTTGCCAAACAAGTGGCTAGGTATCTTCATAAAGACAACAAGAAGGTAGTGCAGGTTTTTTTGAAACTGTATTTTGTTATTACTTTGTTTAAGTCTTTAAAAGTCACTTTCTCTCTCCCAGGGTTTTATAAGACTGGACATGTCTGAATACCAAGAAAAGCATGAGGTAAGAGTTGATTTAAATGAAAAAATCAAAGAACGTTTAAGATTCCGATCTGTCATTTTACTATCTTTGAAAAAGAAAACTTTCCTCTGACAAAGACAACTAAGGTATAAGGTTTATACGGGCAGCTAAGAGGGGGGCAGATGAAAGGCAGAATTCTCTTACTTAAAAAGTTCAAGATTCCCCAGAGTTGTGGTAAGACATAGAAATCGGGCCCATTCCGTCGAAAAATTTGGCTGGTACCGACACCTCTACCTTATTTTACACAGCAATTTTCAAGTGAGGGTGGAATTGCTTTTGTTTGGTTTTGTTTTGCTTCGCTCTGTGGTTGGTCCAGAAAAGTCACACCACCTGCTCCACCAATTAGATTCAAAACTGAAACCAACTGCGTCTTCGTCACTCACGTTTTCCCGCGCTTCAAGCATTGTGCTTGTTCTTACTCTCAATTCCCATTGGCTCGTTGTGATATTTTCCTTTGTTTTTATTGGCTGTTGTGCTTGCTTTGGTCTTGGTTTTACACTCAAACAAATGGCGCTCAAACTGGAACTTAAACATCTTTCTTTCAAGGTTGCGAAAATGATCGGTGCACCACCAGGCTACATTGGACATGATCAAGGTGGACAATTGACAAAGAAACTCAAGGAGTGTCCAAATGCTGTAGTGTTATTTGACGAGGTGAGAAATAAGTGATCCTCAAATTTTTTAGAGGTTTCTTTCTTGTGACTGAAATCTCTGGGCTCATCTCATTTTTTAATGTCTTTTTAGGTGGATAAGGCCCACCCGGACGTTTTAACAGTCATGCTTCAATTGTTTGACGAGGTAGCGTCTATACTTAAATTTGAGTTAAAATTGTTGTAGTAGTTTTTTTAAATTTAGTCATTATAGGTTTTAAAATTTTTCATTTTGTTATTTCATTCTATTTGAGTGTTGATTTAAAAAAACCTCTGTTTTTGATTCAGGGTCGTTTGACGGACGGACAAGGAAAGACGATTGTATGTAAAGACGCAATTTTTGTGATGACTTCAAACCTTGCAAGTGATGAAATAGCAAATCACGCATTGGAGCTGAGAAGAGAAGCAAAACTAGCTGCTGAGCAAAGACAAGAAGGTACGTTTTGTTGTGGAGGCTTAAATTTTGTTAATGTTGGACGACGAAATGCGGGATAAATTTGGACAGATGTGCAACATTTCTAACCACAAATTTGCACCTCGTTCAAGTTACTCGTGAAATAATTGCCAGACTGGCTGGAATACAAAGGGGGAAGAGAAGGGAAGGAGGAAAAAGTTTACACAAACACGCGAAAACAAAGTTGGTCTTGGGAAGAAAAGTTTTTTTCTTTTTTTCCAATGTGTATGCGTTCTCGTGTTGCATGGGCAGGAGTTCACTGTTTTTCTTTTCAGCTGATGAAGTCAGCGAAAAGGTTACTATATCAAGAAATTTTAAAGAAAGAGTGGTCCAGCCTATTCTGAAGGTAAACATTCCTTTGGCGATAAATTGCAACAAACGTGGCAAACATTTCCTTAGCGATAAATTGCAACAAACGTGGGTTTATGAAATTGAGAAAAATGAGTGATGTCTTGAGAATTCGGGAGTATTCTTTTTTGTTAAAGCTAAAGGGTAGTTATCATGACATGTTCTCTAGAGCTTTTTGTTTCTCTTCGTATTGACAGCTTCACTTCAGACGAGACGAGTTCCTGGGTCGTATCAACGAGATGGTTTACTTCCTGCCATTTTCACGCCCAGAGCTTTTAAGCTTAGTGACGAAAGAGCTGGATTTCTGGTCAAAAATGGTCGGTAATGTGCTCTCCTGTAACATTTTGTAAAAGATCTCGAGGAGTTGTTAGAGAAGCAATCTAAGTCCCTGCCGAATTTCTTCTTTGTTTGAATACAGGCGTTGAATCGACACGATATCCACATGACTTGGGATAAAGAAGTCTTGGATGTACTGGCTGATGGCTACGACGTACATTACGGAGCGAGATCGATAAAACACGAAGTACGATCGATTCTATGTTCACGACTTTACCATGTGGTGTAATTTTGCCTTCCCCCCCATTCCACTAAAATACTCACACTTCGCGTTTCCGACGGCTTTTTGTCAGTTTTTTTTCTCTTCTCTTCACCGTTTTATTATTTTAATACAATTTAACGCCAAACATATGATAAATTGAAAATAAAGTAAAACTTTTTCTTATAACTAGCAATGGAAATGGAGGGTAAATGATTGGCATTGAAAATAGAATGTGTTGCCGGTATAATAGTGGCTGTAGGCAAGTGCAGAAGGAGTCTTTCTTTGTAGTGTAGTAACATATTCGAGGTCGGAGGACCCTCGCCTAAATATTTGCCATCTGAAAAAAATACCGAAACAAACGAGAACTGTAGCAGGTCTTTGAATTATTCTCTTACGAAAATTATTGGTTGTGATACAGGTTGAAAGAAGAGTTGTCAATCAACTTGCTGCTGCGCATGAGCGAGAGTTGATAAGTCCCGGATGCTCCCTGCACTTAACAGTGAGCTACCCCAAAGATAAAAATGGACGGAACTCAGAGGAAGTAGCACCTACCATCAAATTGCAACTCATTAAGGAAGGAAAAAAGAAAGTCGACATTGATGTTGGAAACTATTTTGTTCCTGACGATAAACTGTTCTTTTGAAGAAAAGAAAGCAAGCGACGAACGAACCGGAAACGGAAATGAATTTGAATGGGTAGTTAGCAGTGAGGATTCAAGACCAAGTGAAGATCTTTTTACCATTCCAGTCTTACGGTCATGGATCAGTCGTTGTTCAAAGGCTCACTCGCTGACACAAACAGAATAAGTGGTTCTCGCACACCAAAAACAAGATTTTCTTAGAACGTTCATGGAGAGCATGTTGGCTGAATTGTAGTTCACAGCCTCTCGATGGTTATTGTGTGAGCGAAGGAAGACTGACATGTGTAGATACTGTTCTGGTGAAGCCTATTTTAGAAATGTAAATATTGGTAAAGAAATACAACAGGGCCAGGATTGGAACGAATTCAAACGGCGCAAAAAATAAAAAAAAGCAACTGTTCCATGGAAAAAAACTCTTAGTACTGGATGGCTTCCAGGTGTATCCAAAATTTCAAATAATGGAGAAAATATAGAAACCAACAATTTATTAAGTAGTTGCATTCATCATTATAGTGTATTCCGGTGATCCAGGTCTCTCTACCCCTCCCCTCTCCTCCCTCCCCACTCCCCTCCCCATACATACTAAATTCCAATCATCATTGCCAATTGCGGTTGCCTTTGTATGGGGTTTTTACAAGGGTCTTGCTATGGTTTTTTTATATCAAAGCTAAAACTATTCCTGAAACTTATTTAACTCATTGTAACTTAGCAAACACAGTGAATATAACCAAAAACATTTTTGTGCTGGAAACATTCCAAACTGAAGATACCATTCGAATCCAAGAGGAACCATCACAGCTGTACCTCGTGTCTTTATCCTCCTCCTGAATCATTTCATATTATGACATATTCTTTTCCGTGTTCCCACTGTACTAGCAAAATCCTCTATAACGTATTAACTCAATATGTCTTTTAAAAAACGCTGAAACTGAGAGGAAACCAACAATAAAAACGAAGTAAAACGTCAGCCTAACTAATATCAGTTATTTTAAACCAGCGCCGCGAAAACGAATTGGTTTTGCAACCAAAGCAAAGTTTATGACTTGTGTTGCTTTAAGCGAACTGGAACATTAATTCCAGAAATCCGAAATTTCGAGTATAATAAGCGGGTTCGACATGTCATGTGCAATACCTGATATTATAGAAGAAATTCTTAGTTCTACTATAAGAAGAAATTCTCACACTTAAATCTAAGCGAGTCAATACTTTAAAATAATTCACTAAACAATTCCTTGTTCAAGCATTGATTGAGCAACCTTGATGAAGCCTCCGATATTTGCTCCCTTGACGTAATCGATGTAGCTTCCATCTTTGGACGTGCCATACTGGACACAAGTTTTGTGTATACTTTCCATGATGTCATGGAGGCGCTCATCCACGCCCTCTCGCGTCCAGGCGCTGCGCAGACTGTTCTGAGACATCTCAAGCCCCGATACAGCCACGCCTCCAGCATTGGACGCTTTTCCTGGTCCGAAGAGGATTTTGTTTTTGTGGAATTCATCAATCGCTTCAGGTTCGGATGGCATGTTAGCGCCTTCCGCTACAGCATGACAGCCATTGTTGATCAGCATCTCCGCATCTTCTTTGCTAATTTCGTTCTGCGTCGCACAAGGTAAAGCTACGTCGCACTTCACGAACCACGGTCGTTTTCCTTCGAAGAATTCTGCGTCAGGGTACTGCTCCACGTACTCGCTAATTCTACCGCGTTTGACATTTTTGAGCCATTTAACGTACTCTATCTTTTCCTGGTTTAAACCACCGTGGTCGTACATGGTGCCTTCAGAGTCCGACAGGGTAACAACCTTACCACCCAACTGCACCACTTTCTCTGAGGCAAACTGTGCCACGTTGCCTGATCCCGACACTGTGACAATTTTTCCTCTGAAGGTCTCGCCCCGTGTGTTAAGCATCTCCGCGGTGAAGTACACAAGACCGTAGCCTGTAGCTTCAGGTCGGAGAAGACTTCCACCGAAGCTGAAAGACTTTCCCGTCAAAACCCCGGTGAACTCGTTGCGTATTTTCTTGTACTGGCCAAACAGGTAACCAATTTCTCTTGCTCCCACGCCAATGTCTCCAGCCGGGACATCAGTATTTGGGCCGATGTGCCTCTGGAGCTCCGACATGAAAGACTGGCAGAAACTCATCACTTCATTGTCGGTTTTACCCTTGGGGTCAAAATCAGATCCCCCTTTTCCACCTCCCAGGGGTAAGGTTGTAAGGCTATTCTTGAACACTTGCTCAAAGCCAAGAAACTTAAGAATTCCCAAGTTGACACTGGGATGAAAACGCAGGCCACCTTTGAAGGGGCCAATAGCTGAATTGAACTCTACACGAAAGCCCCTGTTGACGTGGACCTCTCCGCTGTCATCTCTCCATGGGACCCGAAAGATAACGACCCTTTCTGGCTCCACAATACGCTCCAATATGTTACTGTCAAGGTAAACTGGGTGTAAGTGAAGATAATCCCAAAGAGAGCCTATCACTTCATGTACGGCTTGATGAAATTCGTGCTCCCCAGGGTTTCTCTTAACAACATGGTTCATAAAGTCATCAACACATTTGAACTTCATGTTTCCATCCTACGAAAAGGAAAGAAAGAATTTTGTTGTGCCAAAAGACAAGACCTGGTTATAAAGTTCTTCGTTACTGATGTGTGTTCGATTCTTCAGAGGTTAATTCCAAGGATATCAACACTATCTCACCGCAGTCCAAAATTGCGCACGGTAAGAGCGGTTCGAATAGTTTATCATCAAAATATTTCATATCTACCGTTGTACAAGGATTTCCGAGGTCTGCAGTAAATTGTCTGAAACTTGACTTCAGGAGGTCACGGTGAATTTTTGAAAAAGCTCTTATAAAAAATATTCCCCCTATAGAATAACACATTCAAAGCAATCTCTTCCTGGTCGGGGCGTGATTTGGCAGTGGTTATTAATGACGTCAACAAATAGGTATTCTTAAGCGCGCTAGTTGGCTCGCATGATCGCAGCGACTCAAGCAGGTGATTTGGAATAATGAATGACAAGTATAAGTGGTTTGTTAATCTTTACGTTGACTAGCTAACAGTTCACTTATATTGTGCTCTTGTTTTCTTTTTTTTACGCAACATGCTGCGTCAGTCATGACAGTTCTTGTGAACGCCAGATGGTCACACAAACCAAACCAAAAAATCACGCAATTATGGCAGAAATGAGCTTAATCATGAAATAATTTCAATAAGTTCGTCACCCAGCGATTGGTCATTCTGGGAAAGGATTCACTTTCGCTTTTTTGGTGTAGCTTCCGGGAAAAGGGATAATAAATACACTGGTATTACATTAATGTTCGAATTGTCGGTCGTTCTTCCAGCTCGAAAATCACAGGATTCTTGCCTTTCATGGCACAAAACCGGCCATTACACGACGTTACGTCTAAAACAAAATACTTCTGTTAGATCAATTTATCACAATTATGTTAATACGTTGTGTCCAAAACAGGGAGCTGTTTTGGCCAACAGATGGCCCGAAACGAAATCTTTAATCATTTCCAGTCGACGTTGTTTTTAAGTCGTCTTTAAAATTTCACCTAACGAGATTCAAATGAAACGTATTCCTACGCGCCACGAGAGAAGACTCGAAGCGTTCAACCCGATCAAAATAATTCAATTGTCACGCAAACCTGCTGTAGCTCCGGCGAAAGGAAATGGTTTACGTGGGCTTTCGATTTCCAAACTTGCATGCGATCGAAGTTAAATTTTGCTCGTTATTTACCTCGGCGGAGGACGGAAAATAAGTCAGCAGCTTTAACAGCTAGAGCCTTCAAATCTCTTGAATGGTATGTTTGTTTTTCGTCTTTTCAATTACCGTTTCCTTCCAGGTTTGCATTGGATTTCTCGTACTTTACTCCGGAACAATTTCTCTAACGATTTCCTCGCACTTTGAAACGAAAGAACTACTCTTATTTGCAGCCGCAAAAACGCTCATGATTGTGAAAATCGATAGCTGTAGACCAATCCAAGGCAGTTGTGTCTGTTTTTATGAACTCCACAATCATTGTCGGATCTTTCGTATAAATTTGCTCGATGTTACAAAGTGGATGGCTGTAGAGGTTCCTCCAGACATACTTAAGGCCTTACAATTAGCGATGCTTTAAACTTTTGGGCTCCCTACCCAGCAATGTTAACAGTTTTGATGATCCTGAGGACAATGATAATACGTCAACAAAACTGGTCGACTGGTTCCAGAATCTTTTACCAACACATTAGCACTCTAGGAGTTTGCATTTGTTCTCCTCCGATTTTTTAAAACACATAAAATCTCTCACTATTTAGCATAAAAAAGTGTCTCAATTAAAGCAGAAAAAGTCCGCTGAAATTCCTAACAAGCCATTGAAAAAGCTTTCATACAAACAAACTACGACGTAAACAATACCCACCGACATCTCGTCATTTTCTACAGAAGCCGTGGGATTGGGATAAATTCCTGACGCACATCGGACAGCCACTCGCCCAAGCAGCAGAGATAAGCCTCTCTGGGCAGAAAATCTCCTGGCAACAGATCGTAGAAACATGCCTGGAAGACTTAACTTCGAAAACAATTCGTTACCGATTCAGCTTCGATTATGCAGTATATTTCACGTCCCGGCTTGCTCTTGTCGTTTTGTCGAATTCTGATCAATATGGGGGAGTGTTATGGGTGTGGGCTGATCGAGTAATATGATTGGCTAAACGAAAGCGAGAATTACAAGGGGCGCAGTTCTACACGAGCGACTACTAAGCAAACACGGAACTGCCAGTCGTTGGTAAAAAGTTTGAATAACGTTCAATACACGAGGACAATCAATTTTGCATACAAGGTTAACTGAATCATTCAAATGTACCCAGAGGCAGTTTGTACCATCAGGTGGTAACAACACCTCTTGTTATGGACGTCTTCCTGATTAATTGATTGTGGCTCATACCGTTGAACCCACAACCAAAACCCTTACAATCACAAAGAAAGTGTTGTATTTATTTTCAGTTTAACGAGGGTTACACAAAACCAGCGATTTCCATGGACATTATCCCCTGCCATGTGTTGGTGAGACTCCATGCTCATTCATAAATTCCCTATAAACCACACAACTACCAGTTTTTCTTTGTTTTGTATTTATAAAACAACCCAGACAAAATTTCTTTAGGTAGATACAGTTTTCAGTCTATTAGTGCCCTTCAAACAACCAAAACTTTCTTGGGAGAAAAATTAAAAACATGTAACTTTGTGTTATTATACACTATTGAGGTACAAGAAGTTCAGTTTCCCTGAAATGAAAAGCACTCATGCCAATTACACTAGTATTACTGATCATCAACATTCCAGTAGACTGGCATAGGAAGAAAAGGGAAAAAAGCTTTCAACAAAAAGGCTTGAGGGTATAAAAACACAACACAGCACACCTGTATGTAACAGAAATTTACCAGCACAAGTCTCAATGCAAGACTACACATTCTCTCCTAATCAGGTGATTCAAGATTTCATCTGTCAACAACTGCTGAAATGACAAGATATAAAAAAGACAAAACAAAAATAACTGTATGAATGTTATGAAGAAGCTTATTGCTCTTCAGGAAAGAACACCTGAAGCCTGTGGAGTTCAATCTCTTGAGCTAGTTCTGGTTTCATGTAAATTCCATTAAATTAGCAAGATGACATGTTTTATTATTGCTTATCAGGGCAGAGTTTTGAAAATATTACTACACATGCAACACCTTTTTTTTATATCAGCAAGCTTAAACTGTCTAAACATACATTGGAAATTTAGAAACTCCTTTCTCATACTTTCGTCAAAGGCTAAAAAAAGTGTTTGATAAAATGAGATTAAAAAGAAAGCTGAGGCTCTCAGGATAGGCAAAAGAATTGTGCAGGGTCTTCGTTATGAACCTAAACTTTAAAACAGTGCTTGACAAAGCTTCCCATCACATTTCACTGTCACTTTATCCTTTGTTAATAACCATGATTAATCTATCTGTGTTGCGCCTTCTCTACTGAATTTGTCATTTCATCATCGTCATCAGCTACACCAGCCACAATTGATCCTTCTATGTTTCCCCTTCTTTACCGAACTCGTCATTTCGTCATCATCATCAGCTACACCAGCATCAACTCCAGCAGCTTCAATTAGACTGTTAGCCATCATCTCTGGTATCCTGGCAAAATCAGCTGGTAATCAAATAGCACTATCAGTCTTTGATATTTACTTTCATTCTTCCAATTGAAAGTGTAGTTGAACTATATATCGCAATATGGGAATGTTACGGTTTGTGCTCTGTAGAGCTACAGTAGCAGCAGCAGCAGTGACAGTAGTTCTGTAGTAGTGTAGTAACAGCAGTAAATGTAGTAGCACTGGCAGGGATTGCATTAATGGTGTTCTCCCCTAATTGCATGACAGGTAGCTTAATTTTCATACCAGTAGTGCAATATTTTTTTTCTCATGAAATTCCAAGAATTCCAAGCAATTTAAGCCGGTAATAAGAGGTAATACAAGCAGTAAATTTGACCAGTTACAACATGAAAAGGAGAACACTACATCAATTATGGTAAAACTTATTGGAGTAACACTTATTCTGGCCTTCACATACTAATTACTGAAAATGTGTCAGTATTACAGGAAAAATAACTAATAACAAATCAGATCTTGAGAGAAAACAGATTACACTTTGTCAGTTACCTGCTACTGTTGTCGCATAAATACTCCTGGTGAAGCGCCTGCCAAACTTGCCTTGTGCAGCTAAGCTATTAAACAAAAGAAAAAGAAACTTACTTAGACAGTTGTGAATACTTGTTTTCAGTCGCAGAACACCAGTGTCATTTATGGTAAGAGCAGGAAAAACTAGGAGGAGTTAGGTAAGATTTCCACACAGCCCTATACTTTGTATAGGTAATAACATGGTTTGGATTTGATTTACATTCTCCAAACTATTTCATGAGGAAAAGTATGGCTTCTGGAAGGGAGGATTACAATACTGATCAGATCACAGGAGTTGGTGGGTCAATTTGCTGCAGTTTAAGTAGAATTACATGTGCAGAGTGAAGGAATTTGCATGTTTTTTGTAGAGAACTGGGAATGTTTTCAATTGGTGGTTCCTCAACCGAAACAAATCACCCCTGAAAATGAATGAAGTGAGCAAGTTTCTAAAGAAACTGTGGTGCTGCGTTGGTGGGCGAGTAAAACAAGATAATTAGATTTCATCAAATGAGTTAATAAAGTAAATTAGCCACTATCAGTAGTTTCTAACACGACACTCGAAACGTCAGCTTAGAACCCCTGAAAATGGTGTTGGTGACAACTAGCTGTAGTTATATTGTAGTTCCAGTCCCTCAAAGGCAACCTTCATAGACATAAAAAAATCAAAATTTTTACTTACCACTGACCACCCGTGGACGATCTACCTAATAATCCAATCTGTACATTAATCCCTGTGAAGATGGGCAAATCAAAGATCATCGTAAATTTTAGACCGGAGTAAAGAGTCCAAACTTACACACTATATGTATACACGTGCGGTAAGGCTTATGTAATGTTTTACCTTCTTTACAGCTTCCTTGCTGAAGTCTTGAGGCATGGCGCTGCAGGAAGAAGGCCTAAATTAATGAGAGCTGATATATAAACTCACTGATATAAAGTTTGCTCTTACCACAAGGCGCGCTGAGGAAGAGAGCTTGGAAATCGAACGCATGCACCGGCTCGTCAACATGGCGATATTGATTTTTTGCGCGTGCGCTGGTGTCTCAAAGCTCCCAATGGTACATGGGATAGTTCTCTTTCGCGACAGTCATCATGGCGGCTCAAGTCAGCAAGAAAAAGAAGGTCTGAAAACCCACAAGATCTTTGTTGTAACGATTTGAATTATAATTTTCACATTACTGTAGTGAAATATAATTGTTTGAGTCGCTATTCGACACCTTAGTTCGATATGATGTTCGAATTACGGCCAAGATTGAAGTGGATTTATTTTTGTCGTAGTATCTTAATCGCAAATGACTGTGTACTGATAGCTAGCAATTTTCTGAAATCCAGGGAAATAGTGCTGTTCTGAACCTAAATTTTGCCCACTCGAGTGAAGCAATCAGTTTTATGTCAGATTGTAAATCTAGGATTTCGAAGAAATCATTGATTGAGGAAAGTTTTGGAAAGGAATGAAGCTAAGTTATTTATATATTTTCCCTGAGATCCTTTACTGAAAGTTTGGCTTTTTCCCTTACTTATGAAACGGAACAGTGGGTATATAAATTTTTTCAATATGTGCTTAAGTTGTTTTTCTAACTTTTTGATTGATTTAGTTCGTTGCTGATGGCGTTTTCAAAGCCGAGTTAAACGAGTTTTTAACTCGTGAATTAGCAGAAGATGGGTACAGTGGTGTAGAAGTGCGTGTTACTCCGATCCGAACTGAGATCATTATTTTGGCCACCAGGACTCAGAATGTCCTGGGAGAGAAGGGACGACGAATCCGTGAACTTACCTCTGTGGTACAGAAGAGATTTGGATTCCCTGAGGGAACTGTAGAGGTACTTGTAGAAATCTTGTAATCAAATTCTAAGGTCAAACAGTGTCATAAAGGAAGGCCTGGAGGAATCATGTACTTTGATTTTGCATTTTATAAGTACATTTAAACTAATATTCATTTTATTAGTATGTGATATAACAGTGGTAGCATTGGAGGCACACTCTGATTGGATTCACCTCCAAGCAACTTGTGTGGGACTTCCACCTGACAAAATTGTTATCATTGCAGAAATAAATGAGCTAAAATCCTCATTTTGTGCCATATTATCTCACTGTTTTAGTATTTACTAAAACAAATATTCACTTTCATGTCAGTGAATATTGGTGGATATTTACCTGGCTGCTTTGTGGCTCAGTAAATATCCATCACTAGCTGCCTCCACTTGGTTAATAGTTGTTTAAAAAAAAAAAAACAGTGTTAAAGATGACTCTAACTTTGATAAGAAGGATACTTTGGCTCATGCAGTCATGGTGATGATTTGCAAACAAATGGCCTAATCAAGATATAGTAAATCATTCCAGTTAAGGTCATCTTGTAAGGTCTAAGGACATGACATAGCTCTTGGGGTTCTAAAAACAATTTTTTTTCATGGTCAAAGATTTAGTCTACTTGTTCCATTTTAGGGAAATTTTCTTTTGCCTTTTTTTGTTGTCTGGTTTGCAAAAGAACTGGCATAATTTTTGTAGAACATCAAGATTGTTAACAGAAAATGTACTGATAATTAATTCTTCCCTCCAGTTGTATGCAGAAAAGGTGGCCACAAGGGGTTTGTGTGCTATTGCCCAGTGTGAGTCCCTTAGGTATAAACTGATTGGTGGACTGGCAGTGCGCAGGTAAGAATTCACGACATTTAATACTATATAAAAGGACATATGGGGACTATTGTAAATATCTTCATATCTGATGGAATGAACTGGTTACAAACTTGATTACATGTACATAAAAGGGATTTTAGTCTATTGCCAACATTTTTTTTGAAGTGTCATTTTGAAAATGACTGTAGAAGAGTTTCTTTCTGGCTCTAAAAGTGTTATCTTGACTTTGTTTCATGAGGGGATAATGTGGCTATTGAAGCTGGATAAGGGAATTTAAATTTGTATTTGAATTGATCTCCGCATGGGAACATCTGATTCATCAAACTTGCTTTTTTAATTCAATGGCAGGGTTGTAGCTGAGATATTAAGCTGCTAACTGAAATTTCAAGCAAGGCAGCTCAAAGATGTTTGATATTGAACAATTTCAGTGATAGAATTTGGCTGGCTGCCTGCAATTAGTGACAACCCTGTTATAACACTGTTATCATTCAAATAAAGTCTCTTATGTCATTGTGAACAGGGCTTGTTATGGTGTGCTTCGATTCATCATGGAGAGTGGAGCCAAAGGCTGTGAAGTTGTGGTGTCTGGGAAGCTCCGTGGTCAGCGTGCCAAGTCCATGAAATTTGTTGATGGTTTGATGATTCACAGTGGAGACCCAACCAATCACTATGTTGATATGGCTATTAGACATGTCTACCTCAGGCAGGGTATGTTTGTCTTGCTAGTTCACTTTCCACTTGTGTAGGCTTGCCAAACAAATACTTAACTGATGCTCAGTCCACAAGAATACAGTAAGAGAGGCAATTTTTTTTTTGGAGATTGAGAACAACTAGATAACTAAGTAACTGTTCTCTTTAAGATAGGTTATCTAGAAACACTTGTAACACTTAAGTTGAAACACTAAATACATGCATCTTGAGTTGGCAGTATATCGAAATGGTACTTTCGGAAAGAATCTAGAGTTGCTGCCTTGACACCCAAGAAAGTTAGCTGTAACCATCTGATAACAAGTTTCGAAATGAATTCATTTTGTCAGAGCCTCTTGTAAGATGATTCATAAGAAATTTTTATTTAAGAACACTAGAAAACTCTTACTGTTGTTAACAAAGACATTTTTGCCATTAGGTGTGCTTGGAATTAAAGTTAAGATCATGTTGCCATGGGACCCCACTGGCAAAACTGGACCCAAAAAACCACTCCCAGATCATGTCAGCATTGTGGAGCCCAAAGAGGAGGTTGTTCCAGCCACACCTATCTCTGAACACAAAGGAGGCAAACCTGAACAGCCAGCACCAACTCCTGGATTGTAGAGTTACCAGGTATTTGTATAATGTTTACTGTGATTTAGTCAAATAATTAAGGATGCTTTGTGGTGGATGGGACCTAAGCTATATCAGTTTTCAGAATTTTGACATTTGGCAAGAAAGTTTTTTTTTTCTTTCCTCTTTCATTGAAGAGTTGATTATGGCAGTTCTCAGAGAAATGTACAAATGACATGGCCATTATCATCAAAGAACATGATTTTCCAGGAATAGAACCTTATATCACTCTTTTATAAGAAGGGGCATTTTAAAATGTCTTTAGTGAGACTATCCAGAAATTAATATGTACCTTCATACTTAGATCCTGAATTTTTTTGTTTTTTATTTCTTTTTAATTTTAGGTCATCTACCAGTAAGGTTTTTAGACCTGGAACCAAGCATCCACTTTTTTGTTTTATTTTTCAGTTCTGAAAGCTTCAACCAGCTGTTTGCCATCTTGCTGTGTAAAAAATAATGCCAAGTATTGAAAATAAACAACTAGTAAACAAAGCAAAAACAGTTTGGTTTATTCTGTCACAGAGCTTAAGAGTAAGAATTCCAGTTTTTGTGTAATTAATCTCCCATTTCATTATTAGGTGCAAACAAGCAGGTTGTCTATAACAGGCCTTACTCACATCACATTTACTGTCAACATTACATTTCCAAACCAGTGAGTCCATTTCCTATAGTCTAAGAGAGCAAATGAAAATGGAAGTCCTATGTAAAAACAATCCATTACAACTTAATTGAAATAAATTTTAAATTCTGTATTCCCCAGCTTCATCAAACATCTCTGAAGCTTTATTAAGCTTTTCCAGAGATGTTGTCATATGCTGTGGTCAGCAGTAGCAGCCTTAAATAGTTATTTGAATTCCTGGAACTTGGATCAAGAGAAAACTTATCCTCATCCTCCACCCTGAAAATACAAGAGACATCTGAATATTACAATTATTTTTCATGACCTTCTCTGTAGTTAAACTACCTGATGGTGTCAAGCAGTTTTGCAAACTGACAAATTGACAATGGTTTGATATGGTCTGTACTCTAAACGACAACAATATTTGTAATCACAGTGGTCAAAATGATGTGGTCTCTTGAAGTGCAGCTGAGTAAGTCTGTACCAAATTTTGACCCCTGTGTAAGGGTAGAGACCATGCTAAAAACACTTTCACTTTGTTTTTTACTATAATATCAAATAAAACCGTTCTTTCAGCATGCTACAATTCCGTGACATATTGACTGTGCAGTGTTATCTATACTCTTATCTACAACTGCAAATTGGCCAATCAGATTGAGACACCTACCAATTGAAGTAAAAAATGACTTACTACATCCAACTACTTAACAATTATAATTTTATGTTAACTAACTCCATCTTGTTACTCTAAAGACCATACACATTTCATTTTGTGTGCACCCAGCTTGGCTTTTGCAGCTCCACTCAGACTAAGTATAGTCCATGTGCAGTGTAATAATTAATAACATGAAATATGATACTTATAGAGTAAATCATTTACTTTTTCACTGTAATTCTAGAAGACATGGAAGCTTGTCTAATGAATATCACCTACCTTGTTTAGATCCACACCAATGTCCCCAAATTTGGTTATTTTTCCACCAAATTTTTCCGGTTTTCTTGCTCTCTGTGAGAGGATACAATCAATAGAGATCTACAAGGTTTATACAAAGCAGAAGTTGAAGACACTCTAACCACTTTGGTACTTACTGACTCTCTCATTTCCCTGTCTTTTATGTTCTTTCTGTCAGCCTGGATCTGTGTGCAAGTAAGACATGAACAGAGCAAAGTTATATACCCTGTGATGGACCCAGTTCTAGCTCCAACAATGAGAGAACTTCCTCCTTGATATAAATGAGAATTTTTTCCTACCTGTGTTTTGATTCTTGCTTTTTCCTGATCCTCAAACTTTTTCTTTTCCAAAACTTTCCTTCTTTCCTCTTGTAATTGTCTTTCTCTCTCTGTAAGCTGTTTTTGTTAAATGAAAATCAACCTCACAAGCTTCAAGGGTTGGTATTACACATTTGTGACTATGAACAAAACAATATTATTGCATTTTCTTGATGGCACTAATACCATAAAGTTTCTACGAATACTTGCCATGAGAGCCATGCCATTTAGAATGAAGTCAGCCCTTTGTCGGAGTGATTGACGAAGGGCTAATGCTTGAAACGTCAGCTTTAAAACTTTTCATGGTGGCCAATTTATGTTATCAACTAAGTTGCAATGCAGCACCACAGTTTCTTTCAAAACTTACCCCCTTGATAACTGAAAAATAGCTTGGGCCATTGAAACTTAGCAACAGAATTCTGCTTAGTGAGCAGAGAATTGTCCAAAACTCTGGTCTCTCAGTATTAATATCAGAAAATTTAATACACTTGAGCATTGTTCTAAAAGAAGATCAAATTGAAACAATCTGGCAAAATTAAAAACTTAAAAGGTTGATGACTTACAGGTTCAGAATTAGAGGCTACTCCTGAACTCGATCTTGAAGGAATGTTGCTGAAAAAGGAAAGTAAAGTTTCTGTGGATAAAGGTGCAATCTCATGGGAGAAAAATCTAATTCTTTACATCATGGTAGGAGAGTAAGCGTTTGTATAAGTCAGGTAACAACAAACCAACACACAAAGAAGCTTACTTCAATTTCTTCATTAATATTTGTTTAACAAGTTGAACATCCTCGTCTGATGGAAGAACAACATGGTCATCATCCTAAAGGCAAATTCAGACAATTTTGCTTTTGACAAAAATTCAAATCAGCCTCAATTCAATTTTTTGGAATTTAACTTTGTGGTATTGATTTAATTCTCACATAAACTACACAGTACCTCCTGCCATCCCCAACTGAAAAGAAACTCCTGAGCTTCTGCTAGCTGCCACACTCTTACAGAAAATGACTTGTTTTGTTTTTTAACCTTTCGATATTTTTCATCTGTTGGAGATTTAACTATGTTACTGTCGAAAAAAGAGACGCAATCATGTGATATCATGTTTGAAGATAGGTAAAAACTAAATAAATCAATTAACAAATGAAATAACACTCAAATCTTTGACAGAGGAATTCGCTGTTGGCATCTAAGTTACAACCTCCCATTATGATCCAGAAAATCTCCCTTCAAAACAGTCCTCCTTATTTTTACTTTCCTAAAATTTTAAAGCACGTACTCATTATCAGCATAGCCTTAACTACAAGCTATCAAACAAAGTAGTGGAAGACGAGTTTAACATCAAGCTTGTGAGAGTATGAACCGTATAAATCCTCGAAATATTAAATAGTTGTAGCTTTACTTTGCTAGTGTTAATAGTGTTTCTATCGCTTTTCGCGCAGTTTCACGATCATGTTCTTTATAAAGCGATTCCAGTGATGAAATCAAGGATTGTTCTCTTTCTCCTTCTCCAAGCTTACTTCCGCCCTGTAAAATAAAATGAAAACAGCATTCGACTAGGTTGATATCAAAGGCAAAAAATTACAGACCACAATTTTACGAGTATAAAATTAACATAACTAAATCTAAATCGAAACCAAGACGTACAGAGTTGGAAGCCATGTTACTTTGTGGTGAATCAGCGTTTGTCAAGAAGTTCACTTATCATTACATGACATATATATTTGTTGCAGTACAAGCCGCTGCTTACATCAGGCTCAGATTTAAGAAATTTTCTCGTGTGCGCTCTCGTGAGCGTCGAACATTGTCGTTGATAAAGAAATAACTTCTCGGTCTTTGTTATTGATTTGAGGAAAATGCGGCGTTGAAAGTTCTATATAGAAACATAAATGAATAAAAGGCCACTATTTCTGGGGAGAGGCCGGGGACGTGGCCGCGGAAACGAGCAAAACAGTACAAAGCCGACTGGACGAAATGTAGGTACACTTCCTTCCTCTTCAAAATGGGGAAGTTCAAGTAGCGCTGTGGCCAATAATGGAGAGTCTCCCCAAAGAACTGAAGTGTCTAGAGAAAGACAGGAAAAGGCGAATAAAATAAAGGAATCTGCGAAAAAGTATTTGGAGAAATTGGACGACGAGTTTGAAGAGTCCTCGGAGGATGATGAAATCAACGACAGTGAAATATTGAACAAAACACTCCAGGACTACAGGAACACCTCACAAGGTATGAAGTTTAATGATATAGATATTTTTAAATTGAACTGTTGTGTTCGTAAATGTTAGAAGTTGCTGAGAAGGAAAAAGTTTTAAAGCACTGAAAAATGCACATATTTAATTTAGCACTTCCCCTTCCATTCCCTACCCCTCCCCCCTCCTTTCTCCTTTTCATTCCTTGAAACATAACGGGGTGGCTGATTGAATTAGTTAGGCTGGCTTGTCATCCGGCAGCATTTGTACTCTCGTTGGAATTTCTTGCTGAAAGCATGCGCAAGGACAGGCACCTGTGTGCGAGAATGATAATCATATGCAAGAGTTGGCCAGACATTGAAATCCAAGAAGCTGTTGGTACTTATGAGTTTTCCATGTTGCCATGATCAAGGTTTGCAGATGATGGAACATAACTTCACTGCTCATGTAAGAGTACCCTATTTGGTATTTTAGAGAAACTACCTGTGAATCTAAATGGAGACAACGACAGTGCTGTCAACCAGAGTACAGAAGTACCAATGAGAGTTGCCGTGGTAGATACAATATCTGAGGTTCAATGCCTGGACAAACCTGAATGGATCAAAAACTGTTCACATGCAGTAGCTTCATTAGCCATATTGGTTGCATTTTCAAGACGTTCAGCAAAAATAAAGAAATCTGGTTGATTTTTGACAAATACAATGTGCCATCTTTTCTTAAAGAAGATATGCCAAAAAAGAGGTAAATAGGCAAGAATCTGCCAAGGCTCTGATCAATGAAGAGACCCCTTTCACACACTAAGACCAAGATAGTGCTGGTAGACTATCTAGCACAGAAGACCATCAAGTTTGCCCAGCCAAATGGAGGACAGGTAGTTGTAGTTACTGTAGGAGGTCAGAGTGCATGGGAACAAGGGAAGATTTTTTATCTCCAGAGCAACTAAGAGTGGACAGATTCAGAGATTATTTTACATACCTTACATACTACAGTCAGAGTTACAACATTCACTTGACACACAAATTTTCATCTTGGCTCTCAGACATTATTCAAGTCTTATCACCAGTACAGGCAGGAACCTTCAAGAAATTATTCTTCAGGCAATTTTTTGTGCGATAGGCCCTGAAATGGCAGCCACCCCCCCCCCCCTCTCCCAGCTTAAAGTGGAGCAGACAAGACTGGAAAGCTTTCATGAAAACTGAAATCACTATTGGTCTTCCTGAGCTTGGAGGTGCAGGTGTGAGTCCCAGAGTTGAGATGATGGCTTCAATCAAGAAATTTGTGTGTCAACTTTATCTCCCCAAAACAGAAATGTGAAAATGTGCATTATGATGAAGACGACAGTGTTGATAATGATAATGAGAGTGATGAGGAAGAAGATGGTGATGAGGATGATTCTGATGTTTTGAATGGTTAGGTTTTGCAAAAAGATACTGCAAGTCCTAAGTTGCTAAAAAATTTACTTAAGATTAAATCTTGAATGCCTGTGGCTCTCTGGAGTGCAACAACTAGTTTTCTTCTCAGAAATATTATCCTTAATAATTATGTCCACTCACAGTTACTCAATGTGTGTTTAAGACATCAACAAGAACATAGATTTATATCTTTGGTTCTATTTTGCCTAAAATTAACAAAGTTATGAGATGTTTTATATAGTAGCCTCATTTTCATGCAGGGTCTTCAGGGGCATTTGTGAATAGGTTGCAAGAGGGGATACATGACTTTTCTGGATATTTAGGGTCCCCTGAAAATATCTTGTGCCGTGGCATGTTTTCAGCAAGAAATTCCCACAGGAGTACAAACACTACCAGACTACAAGCTAGCCTAACTTATTCAATTAGCCACTTTGTTATGTTTCAAGGAATGAAAAGAGAATGAAGGGGGAAGGGGTAGAGAATGGAAGGGAAGTGCTAAATTAAATATGTCAATTTTCTAGTGCAGAGGCTTGCTTTCAGCAAGAAATTCCCATGGGACTTGAATTATGTACATTTGCCCCTGTTAAACTTAAGTGCAAATCTTTTTGTCGGGTAAACATGACAGTTAGGCTCCAAACTTTGGTTAGTTCCTATGTCCCAAGATCTTAGCAAACCAGTGATCCACGATAGAGTTTTTCTTGGTGAAACTAATTCAGCTAAGATAAGGGGATTATTTGTGTTCATTTACAAGGTTTTGTCCCTACTTATCAGGGAATATGCTGTATTTCTTCCTTGTAGATAATGAGGCAGACTTGGGCAAAACTGCCCAGTACTTGATTGATTCCTGCAAACCTGGCTCAACTGTGTGTTTAATATGCATTGCCTCCATCAAACATGTTGATGCTGTGAGTATAAGTTGAATATAATATATATCTTCTATTATGTATTCTTACTGAATTCTGCTATTTAACCTTTAAATTCCCAAGGTTCAATTTCATAATCCTTTCCCATCCAAATTAGACAAGATTATACAGTGTTCTTTCAAGATAAAGCTGTTAGGGTTCTCAAAAGCCAGGGAGAGGTGCCTCACTGCTTGAAGTAGATGGCTGACAATTCAACAAATCTCACGTGCATTGGCAATGTGGTATCCCCTGGGATAAAAAAACGTTTTGGTTCTATGTCTATCTTCAACGTGAACACAAATCCTAGACTAGTGCTGTCAAATTCTGTCCCATTCACTTTTGAATTTCCTTGAATAACACACTTTCGTTTATGGTTAAATAGACTGCTACTGATGCTCTCACAAGTAAAGAAAAATAGAATTGGCCTTTGCAATTGGTTCTAGACAAGGCAAGAGGACTTAAAGGAATTTTGAATCTTCCTAAAAAATTGGTTCATTTCTCTGAGCAATAAATTTTAAATATTCCAGCTTTGGATGGCTTGCTGAAATATCTTTTCTCCTTAGATAAAGCTGCCAAATTAATGTTTGAAGAGACTCCCTCCTAAATGAGCTGGGGTTGTTTCTCTAGCCTTGCCTTATGTTTACTATAATGTTTCCTACAAAATCAGCGGCAGTCGGTGCATTACGTGTTTTTTGGATGTAAACAGTCTCATTTAAATTATTGGAATCAGGCTGTCCCGCTTGCGTCTAAACCGCCTTTTATCTATAGCCGGTATAAAAGTTATACCTATAGAGCAAAGTATAAACCATAGTTGTACCTATAGTGTAAGAACAAATGGAATATTTTAAATGTAGTATTTGAATGGTGAATTGTAGAATTTCTTCTTAGAAGAATTGACGCAAATGAATTTTTTACCTAGATCGAAGCAAAATTGAGAATTTTTTAATTAAGAAAGTCTTCATCGTTTAAAGCGTCCTTGGGCATCTCATTCTGCAAAAATGAACGTCGTTTTCTAATTACCTTAAAACATATACTTTTTAGTCTTTAAGAAGTTATTAATGCATAGTTATTGAAAGAAAGCAACAACCATTCATAAATTTCTGCGAAATCCGAAGTTAGGGCCTGATTCCTCGGTTCGTGCTCCTTTCTTAAGGACAACACTTGTCAATAAGCTAAGATCTCGGCTACTTTTGGTGCGGTACTTGAATGTACATATTTGTGCCCTGGAGAAGATCCTGCAAGGCTGTCTAAATATTCTTGAATCAGCGTGAGATACATAAAGGCTTAAAACTTATTTGTTTAAGGAAGTAAGATATATATTGAGAGCCAAAATGTTCCCTTCGGAGACCTCATTTAGTTTAAATGCTTTTTTGCATTTAAGACACTTTGCTTCCTGCAAATTTCCAGTGAAATCCTTGACCGGTGAATCCACTTGGCATCTGGGACATCTCACGGTGTAATCATCTCGCTGAAGACTCGGCAAAGTTTCTATTAGCCATTTGGCACGCTTGGATTCAAGTTCCTTGAAAGAGGTCTGTTCTTCTCCGTTCAGACCTTCAATATCCCAGTAAACATCATAAAACTTAAATCCAAGAACATCTGCGTTCTGCACTTTAATGAAGCCGTTGTCTGCCCAGTCGGATCCCCTGGAATCCAACAGTCGCAAATATTCGCTGTTGAAACTGGTTAATACTACTGAGTGGCCAGACCTTTGGGGATTTGATGGACGGGCTGTTATATCGATCTCTTTCTTTGTCAAAATACCTTTGCCGTTAGTTATGAAGAACTCTTTAAACCTATCCCACTCTTTGCGGGTAAGCTTAAATGTCGCAATCACTGGTCGGCTTGAAGCGACTGCTTCCATGGCACCTTTGACGCCAACTTGCTCGTAACGCAAGAGGTACTTCTTGCACATTTCATCCAGTACTTTTGTGATACTGTAGGCATCTTCCTTAAACTTGCCGATCATTTCATCTTTTAAATCTTTGAAAGTTGGAATGGGCTGTTGTTGGAAGTGGCCACCATAAATTCGCTTCATAGTCAAATGAAGCACTGTAGCAGATGCATGTGCATAGCAGGTGTGTCCTTCTTGCTCTGCTTGTGCTTCATAATCTCTTACTGACTTGTTTATGTACACATCGAGGTCGACGTCTGCAAGCAAATTGGACAACACCTCCTGATAACAGACGACGTTTCGAGCGAGGCTGCAAGCGTCTCCTAAGTGGTCAGGATGATTGACCTGCAGGAACAAACGTGTTTCATTGTTTTCAAAATCAATGGACCATTTACGGTTAACAAACATGGTGCGTGGTATCGACTGCGTGGTTAATATTGAGCTCAGTGAGAACAGGAACTGTGCACCCTCATGCCAGTCAGGTTTCATCTCACTGTACAGTCGTCTGGGCTCAATCGTTGTGGAGTCAGTGACAAAGCAGCCCACTACGTTCACCTCGGCATCCGTCAATTTTGAGACGGCTTCGTTTCTTTTCACTAAATCATCAATAGCTCCGTCTCCAGGCTCTCCGTCTGAAAGAACAAATAGGACCTTTTTATGACATGAAACCTCATTGGTTCTCATAAGTACTGTGGCCCTTTCGATTGACTCATACAAAGGCGTTCCACCATAGATGTAGGGCTCGATTCTTCGTAATAATTCTCGACTCCTTTCCTTTGAGAGTTCTTCCTTATCGAAACATCCATGTAAAATATTTGAGGCTTTGCGCACATCGAAAATGGAATCTTCTCCTACACTTTTCTTCATCAAATGTGGTGCAGCCTTGTCAATTACATCTTTGACGTCTTCTGTTGTAGCCCTTTTAAACGTCGTCACGGCAGAAGTAGCCACTGTTTCCACGAGGCCTAGAAGTGGATTATCCTCTGTATGCCAATCGCGGCAAGCTGGTGGTAGAAACTCAATGACGAATTTACGTGCAAATGACTGATCAGACTTGCATTTTCTTAGTAACAAATCAGCTGTGTAATCCGGTACTACTTTTCTGGCGACTTCCACGTCTGCCCATTTGCGGATGTAACGGGCACCGGCCTTCTCCAGTATTTGAAAAATTTCGTTTAAGTGGCTGGGTGTGACGGGCTCGTCATTTCTTTCGAAAGCTTCGTTATGAAGGTGAATGCGTTGAAGGGTTCCTAGGATGTCGAATATTTTCTCACCTTCTTTAGCCCCGAAGCCAACAGCAAAAACGTGGTTGTCAGTGGAAACATCGTATTTAATAAGGTTGTCAATGACCTCAAAGATCGAACGAGCCCACGGTTCTCCATCTTCATCAATACCACTTCCAATGCTACGCTCCATGGATCCGGAGACATCAAGTAGGATTCCAATTAATGCGGGCATGTTTCCTTTGTCTGCAATTATAATTATAAGAAACTGCTTGACATACTGGTTTACAAAAATACCAGTGAACTAAACTTTCGCATTGATTACACTATCACGTGATTATTGACCAACCCCGCGGAGATTTAGTATGAGATTACTTAGAATCGAACTTGGAAATATTTTTTTTCTTTAATTGTAACTATATAAGCGACTTAACGAATTCTGGCGCACTGTCTTTTTCACAAACTGTTTATCAGGATCTGTGTCTGCTTAGTATTCTATTATAGGGGACAGTAGATCAATATTTTTCTTTTTTCCACGTTAATAATAGTCATTGTACAAAACCATAGTCTGTGCAGAACCATGCGGACCATGCGGACGTCATGCTAGTTCGTCCTGGTTTTCAATTAGCTGGGTTCATAGAATGTATGATTTGAAACACCTGATCGCCTTTTTTTCCGGGAATATAATTAAATTGCAAATGGAAAAAATCCTCGGAAGGCCCAGCGGGCATATGTTACGAATGGCCATTACTTTAACTGCGGAAAGATAAAATTCACACAAAGCATAAATCAAACTTCATGAAAAGGAAGCAATAGCAGTTCTTGTAAGACCGATAGCACCTCGAGGTTTTCTATACTAGCCTTTTGTCGCTAAAAATCAATCCCCTGCGTTTCAAAGCGGATGTTTTTCTCAGCACTGGAGGTCGGGTTGCTGAGGAAATGTAATCATTTGGCGAGTCACTAGCTATGTCTGCATGAATTTATGTTTTAGCCTGTATTACTACTATCAGCTCCCTTCCAAAGACTTGGGAAGTGGATTGAATCCTTTTTTCATCGGGTCGTGTTAAAGATGTCGTGCCGAAGATTCTCAAAGTACGCTATTGCCAAAATTTGTATGTATTTACACTCTATAATTTCCTTTTCTGATGCCTTTTGGCCTAGAAATCTGAGTTGTGCGGTTCAAGAACCGCTCGTCAGACAAGAGCACGTTAGAAGTTAGGATTCTTTCGCTTTTGAGGTCTACATTTGAATTTGACTTCTATCAATATAGAAGCGCACTAAAGCGTATTCGATTTCCCTAAATACTCCGTATCTCGACTAGAACGCGACATATAATGGACTTCGACCAGTTTCGCTGCTTTTCGGCCGAGTGATGTAGTCAAAGTGGTCACACTGTAATCTTGTCAATCTAACCGAAGAAAGCGGTCCGTATGGATTAACAGTGGTCGATGTGTTGTTTTGGAACATGTTTTATTCGTAGAAGGCACGAAACGTGCGTATGTCCATTTCTAGGGAAATTATTGCAAATTTGGTGGATGCTTAGCAAGAGATTCATAATTTCTACTTTTGTTTGATTTCTTTGCTACTTATCGAAGATTTCGACTGGAAGAACTTGTTTTTATGATCCTTTTTGCTTTAGCAAGCTGTTTGATGTTTTTCTGATAACCTTTTGTCGGACTCTGTCATGTTTGAAGGTAAATATACTTCTGCTTTCGCTTTCAGGGTAAGGTTAACTTAGGCGGAAGTAGACCAAAGCGTGTTTGATTTCCCTCGATTTTCTGCTGTAGTTTTCGCCAAGAACATAAATTTAGCTTTATGGAAGCAAGCGGTAGCAGTTCTTGTGAGACCGATAACACCTTGAGATTTTCGAGTTTTCTCGACGACTTCTACAAAGCGAATGTTTCGTAGAATAAATGGAACTATTCCATTACACGCCACATTTCACACAAAACAAACCAACTCAAATTTCGGTTTTATATGTTAAAACACGTAGCCAATAACCCCATATCCTTTCAGGGTAATTGTATTTGTTTGAAGGAAGAAATTAGTAGTCAGAGTAGTATAACAGTCAATAAAGGGGGTAAGTTACTGAAGAAAGCTCTTCGTCTGAGCGAATAACAATTAATGGCTTACCTTAGAGTTTTGAAAGATTACAGAGAGGTAGACTGTATATGAAAACAAACAATGACAGCGTGGATTGGTCGTTAGAGGGCTGCAGGAGACAGAAGAAGCACTCAAACACTTTCAATTTGAATACTCGTTCCAAGTTATCTAATGTTCTGTAAGTTCCTATGACTGATAAAGAAACTCAAGCCAACTGCTTGTAACATGACAACAATGGGCTTGTCAGATATACTTCATTCAACCGTATTGGAGTGCGCCCGCACAGTTCTCTTATTAGCATATTTTCCAGTCTTAAGAATGTTCGAGATGACTTTTCTGGTTTTAATACTGTTATTTTTTTCGCGCTGGTGAGGATCTGTAGGAATCGAAGTAAGACAAGAAATAAAAATAATTGTGAGGAACTCTTTACGGGAGTTAAACTCGTACTTGTATGAAACTTGCCAAGAAAATAGCGTTCATAGTCTTTTACATAACAACAAGAAAAACGGAACAGTTGGCGTCAGGGGGACGGACCTAAAGCTAATTATTTCTGATGTGTTAACTAAATTGAATTTATTTTCTAGGAATGACGCAGCCCTCAGGGCTTCAACGATGTGATTCGCGCCATGGGATCCAAAAAATAAGTTTCAGCTTAATTTGGAAACCTATCTTTCCAATTACGTTCAGTTAGATATCTTTTAGTTTTAGTAGTAGGTTAAAGAAAATCTTAAAGAAAAACCAGGCCAACAACATTTGTGCTCGAATAAGCGATTTGCTAATTTTGCTTCTCCTAGTAGCTAATAATGTCAGCGAAGGTTCGCCTTGGGATATTTGACACCAATGTTCTCTTAAAAAGAAAACAAAATCATGCGGTAACTATGGTGACGAATATCAAACAGAGACGATGAAAAGGCAATTAACTTGTCATTCCGGTATAGATTGACATTCTAGGAATCTGGCTCAGTTAACTGCTTTTGAAATTTCGCTAAATTCTTAAGAATTATATTTCGAGTAGCTTTAGTACCTAATACTCAACTCTCGTAAACTTAAGTCGGTACATTACGTGTTTATTGAAAAGTTAACAGTCTCATTTAAATTATTGGAATCGGGCTGTCCCGCTCACGTCTAAACCGGCCTTTCCGTTATCTAAAACCGGTATAAAAGTTATACCTACATGTGTATAGTATATTCCATAGTTATACCTACAGTGTAAGAACAAATGAAAAGTTTTAATGTAATATTTGAATGGTGAATTGTAGAATTTTTCACACAAGAATTGACGTAATCATTGCGCAAAAATTTCAAAGATAGAAATTTTCACCTAGATTGAAACTAAATTGAGCATGGTTTTCATTACAAGATGTCCTCATCATTTGGTAAAGCGTCCTTGGGTATCTCATTCTGCAAAAACTAACCTCTTTTTCTAATTACCCTTAATCATATGCTTTTTAGCCTATATTGATATTTGTAGTTTTCAAGAACTATTCATAAATTTCTGCGAAATCTGAAGTTAAGACCTGATTCCTCGGTTCGTGCTAAAACTTCTTTCTTTAGGACACCCCTCGTCAATCAGCTAAGATGTCGGCTACTTTTGATTCGTTACTTGAATATACCTATTTGTGCCATGGAGGAGATCCTCTCCTCGTGCTAAGATGTCTAAATACTCTTGAATTAGCGTGAGATACATAAGGACTTAAAAGTTATTTGCTTAAGGAAATAAGATATATATTGAGAGCCAAAATGTTCCCTTTGGGGACATCTTTTAGTTCAAATGCCTTTTTGCATTTAGGACACTTTGCTTGCAGCAAATTTCCAGTGAAATCCTTGACAGGTGAATCCACTCGGCATATGGGACATTTCACAGTGTAATCATCTCGCTGAAGACTCGGCAAAGTTTCCATTAGCCATTTGGCACGCTTGGATCCAAGTTCCTTGAAAGAGGTCTTTTCTTTTTCGTTCAGATCTTCAATTTCCCAGTAGACATCATAAAACTGAAATCCAAGAACATCTGCGTTCTGCACTTTAATGAAGCCGTTGTCCGCCCAGTCGGATCCCCTGGAATCCAACAGTCTCAAATATTCGCTGTTGAAACTGGTTAATACTACTGCGTGGCCAAACCTTTTGGGATTTGATGGACGGGCTGTTATATCGATCTCTTTCTTTGTCAAAATACCTTTGCCGTTAGTTATGAAGAACTCTTTAAACCTATCCCACTCTTTGCGGGTAAGCTTAAATGTTGCAATCACTGGTCGGCTTGAAGCGACTGCTTCCATGGCACCTTTGACGTCAACTGGCTTGTAACGCAAGTGGTAATTCTTGCACATTTCATCCAGTGCTTTTGTGATACTGTAGGCTTCTTTCCCAAACTTGCCGATCATTTCATCTTTTAATTCTTTGAAAGTTGGAATGGGCTGTTGAAAGAAGTACCATCGAGTACCGTAGTGGCCACCATAAATTCGCTTCATAGTCAAATGAAGCACTGTAGCTGATGCATGTGCATAGCAGGTGTGTCCTTCTTGCTTTTCTTCTGACATCTCGAGCCAGGTCGCAAGCGTCTCGCAGGTGGTCGGGATGATTGACCTGCAGGAACAAACGTGTTTCATTGTTTTTTACCTCAATGGACCAATCACGTTTAACAAACATGGTGCGTGGTATCGACTGCGTGGTTAATATTGAGCTCAGTGAGAACAGGAACTGTGGACCCTTTTGCCAGTCAGGTTTCATCTCACTGTACTGTCGTCTGGGCTATGGTGTTCATTACAAGATGTCTTCATCCTTTGGTAAAGCGTCCTTGGGAATCTCATTCCGCTAAAACTAACCTCTTTTTCTAATTACCCTTAATCATATGCTTTTTAGCCTATATTGATATTTGTAGTTTTCAAGAGCTATTCATAAATTTCTGCGAAATCTGAAGTTAAGACCTGATTCCTCGGTTTGTGCTAAAACTTCTTTCTTTAGGACACCTCTCGTTAATCAGCTAAGATGTCGGCTACTTTTTATTCGTTACTTGAATGTACCTATTTGTGCTATGGAGGAGATCCTCTCCTCGTGCTAGGCTGTCTAAATATTCTTGAATCAGCGTGAGATGCATAAAGGCTGCAAACTTATGTGCCTAAGGAAGTGAGATATATATTGAGAGCCAAAATGTTCCCTTCGGAGACATCCTTTAGTACAAATGCTTTTTTGCATTTAGGACACTTTGCTTGCAGCAAATTTCCAGTGAAATCCTTGATCGGTGAATCCACTCGGCATCTGGGACATTTCACGGTGTGATCATCTCGCTGAAGACTCGGCAAAGTTTCCATTAGCCATTTGGCACGCTTGGATCCAAGTTGCTTGAAGGAGGTCTTTTCTTTTTCGTTCAGATCTTCAATTTCCCAGTAGACATCATAGAACTTAAATCCAAGAACATCTGCGTTCTGCACTTTAATGAAGCCGCTGTCTGCCCAGTCAGATCCCCTGGAATCCAACAGTCGCAAATATTCGCTGTTGAAACTGGTTAATACTACTGCGTGGCCAAACCTTTTGGGATTTGATGGACGGGCTGTTATATCGATCTCCTTCTTTGTCAAAATACCTTTGCCGTTAGTTATAAAGAACTCTTTAAACCTATCCCACTCTTTGCGGGTAAGCTTAAATGTTGCAACCACAGGTCGGCTTGAAGCGACTGCTTCCATGGCACCCTTGAGGTCAACTGACTTGTAACGCAAATGGTACTTCCTGCACATTTTTTTCAGTGCTGTTGTGATACTGGTGGCTTCTTTTCCAAAATGGCCGATCATTTCATCTTTCAATTCGTCAAAAGTTGGGATTTTGCCTCGGCGACCATGAATTCGCTTCATGGTCAAATGAAGCACTGTAGCAGATGCATGTGCATAGCAGGTGTGTCCTTCTTGCTTTTCTTGTGCTTCATAATCTCTTACTGACTGGTTTATGTAGACATCGAGGTCGACGTCAGCAAGCAAATCGGATAACGCTTCCTGAGAACAGACGACGTTTCGAGCGAGGTCACAAGCGTCTCGCAAGTGGTCAGGATGATTGACCTGCATGAACAAACGTGTTTCATTGTTTTCAAAGTCAATGGACCAATCACGTTTAACAAACATGGTGCGCGGTATCGACTGCGTGGTTATTGTTGAGCTCAGTGAGAACAGGAACTTTGAACCTGAGTCCCAGTTTGTGTTCATCTTACTGAACATTTGTCTGGGCTGAATCGTTTTGGATTGAGTGACAAAGCAGCCTACTACGGTCACACCTGCGTTCTCTAATCTTGTGGCCACTTTCTTTATTGCCGCCGAATCGTTCTCTCCTCCATCCGTGGGATCACCGTCTGATAAGACAAACAACAGCTTTTTGTGACTTTGAAACGTAGACGCGTGTTTTTCAAAACACTTAGTCGCCGTACGGATTGCTTGATACAAGGGAGTCGCGCCGTAGATGTAGGGTTCTACTTTCTCTAATAATTCTCGGCTCCTTTTTTTAGTGAGTTCTCTTTCATCATTGATGTGACCATGTAATATATCTGAAGCTTTTTTAACATTGAAGATGAGAGGTCTGAACTTGAGCAACAACGGTCGGGCCTTTCTCAGTGTTTCTTGGATGTCTTCTTCTGTAGCTTCTCGTACAGCCGACCCCACACTTGCGTACACATGTTCGGCCACTGTTAAAAGGGGGCTAAAAAGCTTTGCTTCTGAGGTTTCTCTAGGATAGTCTCGGCATTGTAGTGGTAGACACTTTTGGACAAATTCTCTAGGAAAATCTTTTTCAAAATCAGCTATTTCCAGAACTAAGCAAGCCTTTTGATGTGTTAACACTTGTTGGACGACTTCCCTCCTTGCCCATTTGCGGATATATTTTGCACCGGCTCCCTCCAGTATTCGGAAAATCTTCTCTACCTGATCATCTGTGGCTTTCTGATCAAATTTGGAAGACAGAAGACACGTCAAGATATCTAATAGTTGGTCGCCACCTTCAGCTCCAAAGGCCAAAGCAAATACAGAGTTATCAGGAGAGACGTCGTGTTTGATCAGGTTATCGATAACTTTAAATATCGAACGAGCCCACGGTCCTCCATCTTCATCAATACCGCTTCCCACGTTACGACGCATGGAATCGGAGACGTCAAGAAGGATTCCAATCAATGCTTTGGCCATGCTTCCTCGGTCTAAATTTATAAAAGAATCGGATTTGTAATGAAATGTAATAGAGCGTGATAAATGAACTAGAATACCAAGGTCCTGCCTTATCATACTTATACTTTATTCGTTCTTAATTTCGCGGGCCTTTAATTTCTCGTTTTTCGCGATTGTAAAAGAAATAAAGATCCTCTCGAAATTTAACACGAAAACTTTAATCCACTATAGAAATTTCAAATCACAGGAAAAAAGGATTAAAATGTAATAATATTATCATAAACGGAATGTGTATCGACAGATACACAAATTATGAACTGGTCTAATCGGTAAGTTTTATTTTGAATCTTCTCCTCTGAAATAACGTTGATTTGCAAAGATTTCACTCATGGAGTTGGGAATCTAGAATGAATCACCAGATTTGTACAAACTCCTTAGATAGTCTTTCGTGCAGTCGTCAAAAGTTCAGCATTTTTTTAAAATTAAAATGAAGTGCGAAAGAAATGAATCGCGAAATTTAATGCTCTCTTTTCATATTTACTCATTAAAATCGCGAAAATAAAACCTCGGAAATACTGTCTCGCCAAAATCGCGAAATTAAGCGCCAGTAAGATACTCGTTTCTATTGACCAGATTCTGCACGGTGCACCTACCACTGGGAAGCGAAACCAGGGGGAAAGGGGAAACCGAAAACACCCTCCCCATTTTTCCGCTGCCATTGAAATCTAAGATGGCGGCCATAATTTTCGTTAAGAAAAAACTGAGCTCTCGCTCGCCATAATTACGCCTGCTCTGTAGGCTGACGATCATACGACCTTGAAAACAATAGGATAAGTTCAGACCAATCAGCGGGGAACCCCCTACTTTGTTTCCGAGAATTTAGTCTCACAATAATAGTTCCTCTTTTTCTGAGAATTCTCACTATGGAAAGCGAGCAAAATTTTCCCTTTATCAACATATCAGTATCCACCAAGTGGACGAGATATGTTACGATATGATTCCATAAAATTATGAAAAATGTAGTAATAAAAAATTTTTTCCACCACATGGTACGTAGTATAGAGTTGGTTTACTTTCGAGACAAGTTTTTACAAAACTGGTCTCGCGCCTCTAACTCTCATAGTACTCGAAACCGTGGGACCAAGGAGAACCGAAGACACTTTAATTATACGTTATCCTGCACAACACAATCGTAAGCAGTACGGTAACGATCTTGCCAATTGTTGGCATTTTGCTAGCGGTGGGTCGAGTGTAAGGTTTGCTGTTTATATTGATGTAGCCCACAGTTAGCGCTGATCCAGGATTAATTGATTTTGTCGAGCACGCTTTTGTTTCTTTTTGTATGAAGAATGGACGTTGATGGATATTGGTTTTACAAACTACGACCAGTTTCGCTGCTTTTCGGCCGAGTAATGTAGTGAAAGTGGTCACACTGTTTTCTTACTGTCAATCTAACCGAAGAAAGCGGTCCGTATGGAATGTATGGATGAACAGTGGTCCATGCGTTGCTTTGGAATATGTTTTATTCGTAGAAGGCACCAAACGCTCGGCCTCCCATTTCTGGGAAAATTATTGAATTGCAAATTCAGTGGATGCTTGGCAAGAGATTTATAATATCTACTTTCTTTTATTTCTTTGCTACCTATCAAAGATTTCGCTTGGATGAACTTGTTTTTCTGATCCTATTGGCTTGAGCAAGCTGTTTAATGTTTTCTGATAACTTTGGTCAAACTCTGACATGTTGGAGGGTAAATATACTTCTGCTTTCGCTTTCATTGTTGAGTTAGCTCAGGCGGAAGGAGCGTATTTGATTCCCTCGATTGCCTGCTATAGGTTTCGCCAAGAACATCAATTTAGCTTCATGAAAAGCAAGAGATAGCAGTTCTTGTGAGACCGATAGCACCTCGAGATTTTCGAGAGTTTTCTCGTTGACTTTTACTTCTACAACACGAGTTTTACTTAGAATAGATGATACTGTTCCGTTTCACGCCATATTTCGAGCAATTTCGAATTTAGTCAGAGCATACCAACTCAAATTTCGGTTTTACATGTGAAAAAAACGTAGCCAATAACCCCATATCCTTTCGGAGTACTTGTATTTGTTTCAAGTAGGAAATTAATAGTCAGAGTAGTATAACAATCAATAAAGGCGGTAAGTTACTGAAGAAAGCCCTTCGTCAGAGCGAATGACAATCAATAACTTACCTTAGAGTTTTAGAGGATCACAGAGAGGTTGACTGTACATTGAAACAAACAATGACAGCGTGGATTGGTCGTTAGAGGGCTGCAGGAGACAGAAGAAGCACTCAAACACTTTCAATTTGAATACTCGTTCCAAGTTATCTAACGTTCTGCAAGTTCCTATGACTGATAAAGAAACTCAAGCCAACTGCTTGTAACATGACAACAATCAGCTTTTCAAATATACGTCATTCATCCGTATTGGAGTGCACCTGCGCAGGTCTTATTAGCATTATTATTTTATTTTTCAATCTTATGCTTGTTCGAGATGGCTTTTCTGGTTTTTATACTGCTATTTTTTTCGCGCCGGTGAGGATCTGTAGAAATCGAAGTAAGACAAGAGATAAAAAAAATTGTAAGGAACTCTTTAGGGGAGTTAAACTCATACTTATATAAAACTTGCCAAGAAAATAGCGTTCATAAACTTTTACATAACAACAACAAAAACGGAACGGTTGGCGCTAGAGGCACGGACCTAAAGCACTGTCCTTTGTATAAATTATTTCTGATGTGTTAACTAAATTGAATTTATTTTCTAGGAATGACGCAGCCCTCAGGGCTTCAACGGTGTGATTCGCGCCATAGGGTCCAAAACATAAATTTCAGCTTTAATTTGGAAACCTATCTTTCCAATTACGTTCAGTTAGATATCTTTTAGTTTTAGTAGTAGGTTAAAGAAAATCTTAAAGAAAAACCAGGCCAACAACATTTGTGCTCGAATAAGCGATGTGCTAATTTTTCTTCTCCTAGTAGCTAATAATGTCAGCGAAGGTTCGCCTTGGGATATTTGACACCAATGTTCTCTTAGCAAGAAAACAAAATCATGCGGTAACTATGGTGACGAAAATATGGAACATAGACGATGAAAAGGCAATTAACTTGTCATTCCGGTATAGATTGACATTCTAGGAATCTGGCTCAGCCAACTGCTTCCGAAATTTCGCTAAATTCTTAAGAATTATATTTCGAGTAGCTTTAGTACTTAATACTCAACTCTCGTTAACTTAAGTCGGCACATTACGTGTATATTGAAAAGTTAACAGTCTCATTTAAATTATTGGAATCAGGTTGTCCCGCTCACGTCTAAACCGGCCTTTCCGTTATCTAAAGCCGGTATAAAAGTTATACCTACAGTGTATAGTATGTTCCATAGTTGTACCTACAGTGTAAGAACAAATGGAAAGTTTTAATGTAATATTTGAATGGTGAATTGTAGAATTTTTCTGACAAGAATTGACGTAATCATTGCGCAAAAATTTCAAAGATTGAAATTTTTATCCAGATTGAAACTAGATTGAGCATGGTGTTCATTACAAGATGTCTTCATCCTTTGATAAAGCGTCCTTGGGCATCTCATTCCGCAAAAACTAACCTCTTTTTCTAATTACCCTTAATCATATGCTTTTTAGCCTATATTGATATTTGTAGTTTTCAAGAGCTATTCATAAATTTCTGCGAAATCTGAAGTTTTGACCTGATTCCTCGGTTCGTGCTAAAACTTCTTTCTTTAGGACACCTCTCGTCAATCAGCTAAGATGTCGGCTACTTTTTATTCGTTACTTGAATGTACCTATTTGTGTTATGGAGGAGATCCTCTCCTCTTGCTAGGCTGTCTAAATACTCTTGAATTAGCGTGAGATATATAAGGACTTAAAAGTTATTTACTTAAGGAAGTAAGATATACATTCAGAGCCAAAATGTTCCCTTTGGGGACATCTTTTAGTTGAAATGCTTTTTTGCATTTAGGACACTTTGCTTGCAACAAATTTCCAGTGAAATCCTTGACAGGTGAATCCACTCGGCATATGGGACATTTCACGGTGTAATCATCTCGCTGAAGACTCGGCAAAGTTTCCATTAGCCATTTGGCACGCTTGGATCCATGTTGCTTGAAAGAGGTCTTTTCTTTTTCGTTCAGATCTTCAATTTCCCAGTAGACATCATAGAACTTAAATCCAAGAACATCTGCGTTCTGCCCTTTAATGAAGCCGCTGCCTGCTAGTCAGATCCCCTGGAATCCAACAGTCGCAAATATTCGCTGTTGAAACTGGTTAATACTACTGCGTGGCCAAACCTTTTGGGATTTGATGGACGGGCTGTTATATCGATCTCTTTCTTTGTCAAAATACCTTTGCCGTTAGTTATGAAGAACTCTTTAAACCTATCCCACTCTTTGCGGGTAAGCTTAAATGTTGCAATCACTGGTCGGCTTGAAGCGACTGCTTCCATGGCACCCTTGAGGTCAACTGGCTTGTAACGCAAATGGTACTTCTTGCACATTTTTTTCAGTGCTGTTGTGATAATGAAGGCTTCTTTTCCAAACTTGCCGATCATTTCATCTTTTAATTCAACGAAAGTTGGAACATCGTTCTCGGGACCATGAATTCGCTTCATAGTCAAATGAAGCATTGTAGCAGATGCATGTGCATAGCAGGTGTGTCCTTCTTGCTCTGCTTGTGCTTCATAATCTCTTACTGACTGGTTTATGTACACATCAAGGTCGACGTCTGCAAGCAAGTCGGATAACGCTTCCTGAGAGCAGACGACGTTTCGGGCGAGGTCGCAAGCGTCTCGCAGGTGGTCAGGATGATTGACCTGCAGGAACAAACGTGTTTCATTGTTTTTTACCTCAATGGACCAATCACGTTTTACAAACATGGTGCGTGGTATCGACTGCGTGGTTGTTATTGAGCTCAGTGAGAACAGGAACTTTGCACCTTGGTCCCAGTCTGTCTTCATCTCACTGTACAGTTGTCTGGGCTGAATCATTGTGGATTTAGTGACAAAGCAGCCAACTACGGTCACACCTGCGTTCTCTAATCTTGTGGCCGCTTTCTTTATTCTCGCCGAATCATTATCTTCTCCATCTGTGGGATCTCCGTCTGATAAGACAAACAGCAGCTTTTTGTGACTTCGGAACGTAGACGCGTTTTTTTCAAAACACTTAGTCGCCGTACGGATTGCTTGATACAAGGGAGTCGAGCCGTAGATGTAGGGCTCTACTCTCTGTAATAATTCTCGGCTCCTTTCTTTCGAGAGTTCTCCTTCATCGATGTATCCATGTAATACATCTGAAGCTTCTTTAACATTGAAGATGCGAGGTTTGAAACTGACCAACAACGGTTGGGCCTTTGTCAGTGCTCCTTGGATGTCTTCCTCTGTAGCTTCTCGTGTGGATGACCACACACTTGCACACGCTTGTTCGGCTCCGGTTAAAAGCTGTACCTCAAAGGCTCCTCCAGGAAAATCTCGGCATTCTGGTGGTAGACACATTTGGACAAATGTTTTTGGAAAATCTTCGTCCGACTCAGCTTTTTCCAGAAATAAGCAAGCCTTATGACGTGTAAATACTCCTTGGACGACCTCCCTCCTTGCCCATTTGCGGATGTATTTTGCACCGGCTCCTTCCAGTATTCGGTAAATCTTCTCTATCTGATCATCTGTGGCTTTCTGATCACATTTGGAAGACTGAAGACACGTCAAGATATCTAATAATTGGTCGCCGCCTCTAGCTCCAAAGGCCAAAGCAAATACAGAGTTATCAGGAGAGACGTCATGTTTGATCAGGTTGTGAATAACTTCAAATATCGAAAGAGCCCACGGTCCTCCATCTTCATCAACGCCGCTTCCCACGTTATCGCGCATGGAATCGGAGACGTCGAGAAGGATTCCAATCAATGCTTTGGCCATGCTTCCTCGGTCTAAATTTGTCAAAGAATCAGATTTTTAAGAAAAAGTGAAATATAAAAGAGCGTGATAAATGAACAAGAATAACAAGTGCCTGGACGACCTCCTCCTTGCCCATTTGCGGATGTATTTTGCACCGGCTCCTCCAGTATTCGGTAAATCTTCTCTATCTGATCATCTGTGGCTTTCTGATCACATTTGGAAGACTGAAGACACGTCAAGATATCTAATAATTGGTCGCCGCCTCTAGCTCCAAAGGCCAAAGCAAATACAGAGTTATCAGGAGAGACGTCATGTTTTATCAGGTTGTCAATAACTTGCAGGAACAAAACGTGTTTCCTTATCATATCAGATTTTTAAGAAAAAGTGAAATATAAAAGAGCGTGATAAATGAACAAGAATAACAAGTGCCTGCCTTATCATACTTATACCTTATTCGTTCTTGATTTCGTGGGTCTTTAATTTCTCTTTTTTGCAATTGTAAAAGAAATGCGAAATTTAAGACCCATGAATAAAGATCCTCTCGAAATTTAACACGAAAAGTTTAATCCATTTTATAAAATTCAAATCACAGGAAAAGATGATCAACATGTAATAATATCAACATATACGAAATATGTATCGACAGATATACAAATTATGAACTGGTCTAACTGATAAGTTCTATTTTGTATCTTCTGTTCTGAAATAACATAATTAAAATCAAAGATGGCGGCCATAATTTTCGCTAAGAAAATACTGAGTTGGCTTGGTTTCGAGACAAGTTTTCACAAAACTGGTCTCGCGGCGCGAACTCCTATACTACTCGAAACCATGGGGAAAGGAGGAACCGAAAACACTTAAACTATACTTCATCCTGTGCAACACAATCTAAAGCAGTACGGTAACGATCTTACCAACTGTCCGCATTTTGCCAGCGGTGGGTAGAACGGAAGGTTTGCTATTCATATTGATGCAGCCCATAGTGAAAAAATTGCTGGTTGATCGAAAGACAATACGCGCTGATCTAAGATTAATCGATTTTGTCGATTACGATTTTCTTTGCTTTTGTATGAATAATAGACGTTGTTGGACATTGGTTTACAAACTACGACCAGTTTCGCTGCTTTTCGGCCGAGTAATGTAGTCAAAATGGTCACACTGTTTTCTTCTTGTCAAACTAACCGAAGAAAGCGGTCCGTATGGATTCGTATGGATTTGCTTGAGCAAGCTGTTTAATGTTTTTCTGAAAACCCCGGTGTGGTCAGACTCTGGCATGTCCACAGGTAATGGAGATCGGGTAGCTTAAGAAATGTAATTATTTAACGAGTCACTGTGTTTGCGTGAATTTATATTTTAGCCCATATTACCAGTATAGAGGCTGGCATTGGGATTTTCGGTTTTGCGGTTTTGGCTATTTTTTCGTTCGTTTTGGTGTGCATTGCGGTTTGCGGATTTTCCGTTGTTTAGCATATGGTTTTCGGTTTTCGCGAAAACTGGTAACTGGTTTTCGGACCACGCTCGAGGTCCTCGAGAGAGCAGCTGAAATAAAGCCCATACGAATGCCAAGTCCATGGCATTCATAAATACTGTAACGAAATTAGTGTAGTTATCGATCGATCAGGGTCTTAACAACTGGGACATGAAAATGTGGCGGTTTTGACAGTTTTACATGCGGTTTTCGGTTTTGATCGAATTTTTTTTCGGTTTTTTGGTTTTTGGTGATTTTTTTCTACGATTTTGGGTCAGACAAGAGCACGTTAGAAGTTGAGATTCTTTTGCTTTTAGGGTCTACATTTGAATTTAACTCCCATCAATACGGAAGTGCACCGAAACGTTTTCGATCTTCCCTAAGCACTCTATCTCAGCTGGAATGCGACATGTAGTATTTACAGAGATCGAGGGCGATTTTTGTTTCAAGTAGGATATTATTAGATTGCGTAAAAGCTAAAAACATACCTATACGTTGGTAGAGATCGTTACAGAATCGTTACTTTCCTGCGTGGCGTTAAAGGACTGTTCGAGACGGAGGAAGCACTCAAACACTATCGTGTGCTACCAGGACTAAAAAATAAACTAACGCCAACTCTTTGCTCACAATCGATCTGTCAGATTCATTGACCAATCATCTGTCATCTAACACGTGTCAAGGAGAATATGCTTACGCAGGTATCTTATTAGCATATTTTCCAATGCGATCTTTCTTCTCTGATCTTTTTACAGTCCTATTCAGGATCTGTTCTTACCAAAACAAGATGAGGAGTTAGAAGTTTCTCTTGATATAACGTTCATGAAGGAGGTAGCATCCGAAGACTGTTGTATGACAGCGAGACAAGCTGAATAGTTGGAAATGAAGAGACGGATTTAATGTACTGCCTTGCCTGAAATTGTTTTAGTGTTTATTTAGATGATCTTTGGGAAAGTAGTTCACGGGGCCCGAACACGTAGAGAGACTGGGTCGAGTGCGCAATGAGCGTGGGTTTTTCGGTCAATAAAATTCACGATGACGGACAAGATAGAGGAAAGACTTATAGGGAAGCATTTGACTCTATTGGCCTCGTCTCCCTCTTGCATATACTGGAATATACCTTAAATGAATTTTTCATTTATATGTCAACTAATTTGTATTTTAACTCATTTGTGATATTTTATTAAAGAATGTCCAAGATAAATATTTAAGGGGTCAGTTCGAGCATACGCAATTGGTGCATTTTAAACGAGAAGCTCGTAACTTCAAAAAATGGGTAACGAAAATAACTGGGAAAAATCGTAATTGTTTTCTAACAAGGCGAGGTTTTTATACTCCTAAAAACTGTAAAGATTAAATAAAGAAAACCTAAACACATCCCCTGATCTATAAATTTATGCAGGTCTCAATACCATATTTTCTGTCGTTATGTTTACAAGTCGCCAGAATCTTGAATCATCTTGAATAAAAGAGCATTATTCAAAACGATCTAAAGCCAATTTTTTCCATGGAAAGTACAATAGAAGAAATGTTGCTGATAACAGTCAGTTATGAGCTGCTCCCCAAAACTCCTTCGTTGCTTAATCATGTACAGTTCAACTGGAAAAAATGGGCAAATGAGAGGTTCTTTTTATGGGCAAAAACGGGATGTTTGTTTTTTAATCCTTCAGAAATACTTTAGAACTTCCTCCTTTGATAGATTTTTTTTTTTAAATTTAAGGTATGGAGCTGCAGCCGGTGTTACTCAACTCTTCATCTGCAGTGCATTCAAAAGTGGGCCAGGGATGGAGCTGCTTATACTCAATTAACCTCAGATGATACTCTAAATCCTGCTGAGTTGCCGTGGTATTGGTATGTATAATGGATTTGCTTACAATAATGGCCTGAAATATGAGTTGGGTCCATTTTGTTACTCTTACTTTTGTTCTAGTTTATTTTTCTTTTATTGTAATTTAATAACCAGCTGTTTTTTTGTTCCAATAATTCAGCCCGAAATGCAGGTGTGAATTCAAGCAGTCTGAATGTCCCACAAAATATTATTGCTTTTGTGAAAAACAGGTATGGTAGCTAATTAAATCAGGAAATTTTTTAATTCGACAAGAGTCTTTTTGTGAGGTTGAGTTCTGTATTTCCTCCATTCAGTGCCACACTTGCATGAATGCTGCCCTCTGTTAGACGGGGAGGATAGAGGCAAACTTGCTATTCAGTGTGGCTCCTTTAAATAAGTTCTATTTTCAATTAAAGGAATGTTTCATTTATAGGTAGATTATAATGGGGAGAAAAAAAATAATAAGACTGTACAGCTACAATTCAAGCATCACCTTAAATATTTATATCAAAATAGTGAGAATCGGAACACAAATAACACATTAATTACTGTCTAGGGCATATGTGTGGTTATTATAATTATTTACCATTTAATTTTAAATTTAAATTTAATTTTATGTCAATGATTTGAGAAAAATTATGAAACATTGAATACTAACTTAAGATGAATATTGCCCTTGAATAATGCTGCAGAGGCATAGCTGAAAGTCTGATAGATGGCCTGCAGCATTTTGTAGAATCCATGTGGTGCAGAGTAGCATTATTTTTAGAGTAAAGTCGCATAATTATAGGTAAGGGGATGGTATAATTTCAGGTCAACCCATCTTTTGACCCCTGGTTGACACCACACTCTTGTGGCCAATCTTGTAGCAGACCTCTCAAGCCTGAGTGTGGACATGAATGCCTTCTTCTTTGTCATCCAGGTACAGTACAGATCAGTTAATCATTTTACCTAAAATAGTGTATAAGTTAGAGGATTGACAAAGAATGTTCTTTACTTTCATTTTGCAAGATTATCTTTTGAAAAATTATATATCAGTATGATAATAGAGCCCTATATGCAGTGGTATTCTTTATTATCTGTAGCGGAATGAATCATCAGGCTTATTTCTATATAGCCATTGAGCCCATCCCTTCAGTGGAATTTAATGGTCAATTCAATAAAGGCAATGGTGAAGCATCAGCTTTAAGCAGATTTTTATGGAAAAATAAATGAGAATTTAGTGTTATGTCAATTATGATACCCTCCAGCTGATAAGTTTGTCATTTCTCCTCATGTGCTCTTTGTATAATGCATTGAAGTTGTGTCAAGAAGTTAGAAATTGGTCGCTTCACTCAAAGTGCTGTTCCGTGTTGCATATACAGGTCCGTGTCCTCCGTGTCCGAAGACTGTGTTTGCATCCTGTCACTGTGGATCTCAGGCACCAGTGGTCAGGCGCTGCAGCGGCAAATCTTGGTCGTGTGGAAAGCCTTGTGGAAAGTTACTTTCTTGTGGCCAGCACAGCTGTGAGTCCCCATGCCATGCTGGTAAGGAAACAGTGTGTTAGCCAAGTACATAGCATGTTCTCTTCTTTATTCCGTAAATTTGGAACTGTAAAGTTGTGGAATTGATTTCAATTGACTAAATCTGTTGTAACTTGCTATTACAAGATTTTCCTCCTCACATCGTAGGTGACTGTCTACCATGCCCTAAAGAGAGTGTGCAGAGCTGTCTGTGTGGTAAAATGACAAATAAAAGACCTTGTGCTAGTCCAGATTGGCAATGTGAACAGGTGATGTTTTGTCTCACTGATAATTAGGTTAAAAGTGAAAAAGCTCAAGAATGAATCTTATTTGAATATTGCTATTATTAACAATTTGCTACAATTAGTTTTTCAGCTTACTTTAGCAGTTGTACCTTTTTGTGACTGCTGCAATCTTTCAGGTTTGTAACAGAGTGTTGTCCTGTGGCCATCATAGATGTGAAAGACTGTGCCATGCAGATAAGTGTGGTGAATGCCCAAGAACAGGAGAAAGAAAATGTCCCTGTGGACAAACTTGTAAGTATTTTGCTTTTGTCAATTTTGTTTATTTTATTTTGTGTGATTCTCCTTCAAAGTTAAATAAGGCATTAACATGCTGAAGCTCTCTGTTGTCTCTTTCAGCTCTTTTGCTACCCTGCACAGAAGATGTTCCAACCTGTGGTGGCACTTGTGACAAGCCATTGGTTTGTGGCAGACATAAATGTGCTCAGCAGTGTCATACAGGGTCCTGTGGGGTTTGTCGACGGTTAGTTACGAAAACTTGCCGTTGTGACAAGCGTGAGAAAAGTGTTTTGTGTTCCCAAGAGTTTCTGTGTGACATTAAGTGTCTGAAGATGAGGCAGTGTGAACGACATCCATGTAAACGAAAGGTGGGGTGTTAAACTGACTTTATAAGCAACAAAAAATGTTTCTGCAGCCTGATGGCTAAATTGTATGCTCCTAATCAAAACTGTAACAAAATTCTCAAACGTGATTACTTATCACCAGCCCGATTTGAGCACAAATAGGACAGGGTATGCTTGATTGGTTATCACCAGCCCGATATGGGCACTAATAGGGCAGTGTATGCATCATGCTTGTAATTGGACAGAGTAATGGGACAGTTAAAGGGGCAGTTAACACGTCATGCCCGTATAAGTGGACTGAACGCATCTTGTGCGTGCACTGTTGACTCGCATTTTTCAGAGCTAACTGTTTTTCTAACGCAAACATGTAACAAATGTCTAGTTTCTCTCTCAAATTTTGTCATAGTTTTAATAAATTGGTAAAAGGACTTTGTGTAGTCCAATTCTGTCTGTAATCATACTTAAAATACCATCATTAATTAATTGATGCTACTTATTCATTTATGTCTATGATTTGTTTGCAGTGTTGTGATGGAGGTTGCCCTCCATGTGAACAAACTTGTAATCGAAATCTGAACTGCAGGAACCACAAATGCCCATCACAATGTCACAGAGGTATTGCGCATTGTATCAAATTGATGTTTGTATGTCTTTGTTGCAGTGGTTGACCTAACACTTTGGTCAGCTTTATAAGATTTATTGGACAGTTATTTATTTCTTTATTCCTATATTCCCTCATATGTAGGACCATGTTACCCATGTCCCCTCCAGGTAGATGTGAAGTGTTTCTGTGGTTCTACAGTTCTTACAGTACCCTGTGGACGTGAAAAAGTTACCAAGCCACCTAAATGTGCTGAATTTTGCAGGTTAGGATGCGGCTCTTAATATGTGTTCTTTCTGATAACTTCTTTCTGAGGTTTTTGTTTCATCAATGCTTGTCCATTAATAAAAATATGAAAATCCAAGCTAAATGGAACCCCTCATGTATTTGCATGTTTTGATGGTTATTACCAGGATCAGAGGACCACCTACTTTTGTCAACATATATAATAGTCAATTACATTGCCTGTTGTTGTGTGACCTTGGGAAAGTGTGCCTTAATTCCCATATGTTTCTAGTCACCAGAGATATATCTTCAAATTGCTACGATTTCTGTCCTCTCTTTGAATTGTGATTTAACATTGGGATGAAATGTTTCTTACTATATTGTAACAGAAACATTGTCTCTTACAGCCATCCTCCAGATTGTCATCACCCAAAACGCAAAGTAAGTTTTAGAAACCTACTTATCTATGAAAACAGTTGTAAAACATTTTTGTATTAGTGGTAGTTGCTCTATGTCTTTATGTCTGTTGTTATGGCAACAGGAAGTACAAAGTGAATGTACTGTTCTGTCACCGATTTGATCAGAATTTGATTTTAAACTGCAACATGTACTTTAGATCGAGAATGATGTTGTGATTAAATGGGTTTGTTAAGTTGTCTTTTTATGTTTTTCCTTCAGCGTCATCACTGTCATTATGGCTCCTGCCCTCCTTGCCACCAGCGCTGTGATCTGCCACTTCCTTGTGGGCACCCTTGTCCTGTCAGCTGCCATGACAACAAACGTGACCAATCAAAACTCTTAAAGGTTTTGTATGTTAGTTATAAATGTCATACTCATGATAAGACGATTGATTTCAATGAAATGATAATACCCATATGCCCTCTAGTGGTGTTGTCCTCAACTGTAGATGTTTTACAGTTGTCATTTTGTTTCTAGTCGTTTTCAAATGGATTCCCGGCTGTATCTAAATCAAATTCAGAGAGTACTAAGAAGGATCCAGTACCTTGTCCTCCATGTGTTGTTCCAGTTGAGATGTAAGTAGTGAAGAGCTCTGCCTACATAGGAATCTTTTCAATTTCCCCGTTACCTCTTTCATTCTTCCCTCCTGCCTCTGTGCAACTCTGATTTCTTCTGTGTGGCTTAAAGCAAATGAAAGGACTGCTGTGTAGGCTAGTCAAGTGATAATTTGCAATTTTATCAATGTTTTTCCCTGTCATTATGACTTAATCAACCTGAGTTTATATTTATTGTTGTTGCCATTTTTAGGAGCTGCCTTGGCAAGCATGAGGTGTGTTTTCTAACCTTTCCATTTTGATGTTAATGTATCCTTAAAATTCACTCGTTAGGCAACTTCTGAACTGTACAGCTTGTATTTTTACAGCCTCCACCTAATTGTCCTTGTCAAGTTTGTTTTCTTTAACTTGTATTAAACTTCTTAAAAGTTTCTGTATCAATTTTTTTCTAGTGAGTTAACCTGTGTTCATTTTTCCCGCCCAGATCAGCTCTCTTGCTTGTTCTTCTGCAAAGCCATTTTCATGTGCTCGACCTTGTGGCCGTCAGCTTCATTGTGGAAACCACACTTGCCAACTGGAATGTCATGTTGTCACTGGTGTAGTTGATAATCAACAGGTAAACTTGTACTCAGATAATTACAACAACGTGTCTTTCTTGGTTCAAGCTGGTCATGGTTTCATGGGAACAGAAACTGTGTAGTGATGACACAGAAATCTAACTGAGTGACTGTTCTTACAAAAAATTATGGTTTTGAAAAATTACTCTTTTGGTTTTGGTATTGATTTAGGCAGGTAAAGAATGCCAAGATTGTGAGGAAGCTTGCGAGAAACCTCGGCCAGAGGGATGCACACATCTTTGCCTTCTACCATGTCACATTGGTGAGCAAATGATCAATGAAAGTTTTTCTTGTATAAAAAAATTTCAACTATATCATGATTGTTATTACTTATGTCAAGAGTTCTTCAGGATGATCTTATTAAAATGAAGGTTCTTTTGCAAAAATTCACAATACTGTCTATTCTGGCTTAGTGCAACATGTAATTGTTTTTTCTCAATCACAGGAGATTGTCCAAAATGTAAGCAGATGGTGAAGCTTCCTTGTCATTGTGGCTTAATGCTGGTTTATGTGTCATGTAGGTAAGATACTGCATGTGACATTATAAAGTTCATCATGTTATTAATCTTTAATATGTGGTATGTATTTTTGAAGAAGGAGTTCAAAAACATTCTCCTTCTGGTGCTTTTTGTCTCCTAGTGAATTAACCTCAGTGGATGAACAAACTCGCAATGAACTAATGTCCTGTAAGAATCAGTGTCCAAAGAATCTAGTAGTCTGTGGTCACCGGTGTTCATCCAACTGTCATTACGGCCCCTGCCCATCCTCTGAGCTGTGCAATAGGAAGTCTTCTGTGAGGTGTCCTTGTCGCCGTAAAAAGAAGGTAAGTCTTCTGTATGGTCCAATGCAGAGTAAGTGGATAATAAAAGTAATGTGGCACTGTACTGGTATTGCTTTGCTTCACTCTTGTGCTATTGCAATAAGTCAGGTTCTAAATGTAAACCAATGGTCATAACTTGGTCATTCTTCTGTTATGTTTTAAGGCGTTTTCTGCTTACGAGTTCTCATTGGCTCCATTGTTTTGGATGATTGATTTTGTTAAACAACGGTGAATCAAAATAAACTTAAGTGTGCTTTGAGACTGTTTAGCTTGACAAGCCATGATTAAACTGTGGTGTTTCTTTTCTGTATCAAGGATTTTCCCTGCCGCATGGTGCAGAAAGGTGAAGCTAAGTTACTTTGTGATGAAGAGTGTGAAACATTTAAAGCTAAACAAAAGAAATTGTTGAGTGAAGAAGATGAGATGAGGAAAAAAGGAGAACTTAAAGCACAACAGGTAACTTGAACTCAACTTTCATCATTCAGAACCCTTCAAACAAGCAATGTGAACTCTCTTTTCTACCCACAATCTTTCACTTTGCGCAGAGAAATCATTTTAAATACTAGTTCTTAGAACCGATGATTCTTGATACAGTAGCCTAAGTACAGTTAGCCTAAGGATTACTATAAGGTAGATAAAGGTGTAGTCTGCACTCGAGCAAAGTGGTCCATCCAGCCAGATCTTATCCAGGTTTCAATAGCATGAAGTAACTAGGATGGAAGGAGGAGTACTACTCCCTCCCTGAATGGGATGCCAGTCCATTTAAAGTAACCCCCCCCCAACCCTAACCCAAACCCCCCTTCCCCCCTTACCTGACAATTCGTCAGTACCCATTTCTACTCCTGAGTGGAGAGAGGCACTGTTTCCCAAGAACACAACACAATGACCTAACTGGGTTTGGAACTCTGATTTCTTGACCTGGTAAACAATGCACTTACCATTACACACTGTGTCTGCTACAATAACTATAATTTGCCATCTTGTTATTAACCTAGGAGGAGCTGGAGTGGTTTGAGAGGAAACAGCGAGGGAAGAAACGGCGTCCAAGGAAGCAAAAAGAAGAAATAATTGAGCCATCGTGGTTCCAGCGTCACTGGTTCACTATTGTCATGTTTCTGGGGGCAGTAGTCTTGATGGCTGGACTCCTTCTTATTGCCGTGGACTAATTAAATTTAACGGGTACATTTGGATGGTGTGCTATATCACAAGCCTGAGATTTTATTTAAGATAAAAAATAATAATTCAAGTAAACTATTCTTTCTTGGAACAATTTTTGAACACTTTATTACAAAGAGTACATGATATTATTTTTAATATCAAATAAACAGTGTACTATATAAAGTATTTACAAAGATAATGTATTTACATTTGTTCAATTTGAGGTATTTCTCGGAAAGAATAAATTGATTTTAAAGAGAAACTTTACAGACTTGCATGATTGCGTTTATTTTGACCTTACTTTAGACTCGCAAAATCAGATCTACTTAGTCCTCTGGCATTATCAAAAACCTACCCACTTAATATACATATTCCGTTGATCCAAATTGTGATTTGGCAATGCTAACAGCACGTGATTTCTTTCGACCATCTTGTGTTGTTTCCTCCGAGTCAGTTTTCTTGGGTTCTTGGTGTTCAGCTACCACTTCAAGAAATTCAGGTACTCTAGTGTTCTTTTTGTCTATAAAATCTTTGAATGCTTTTGCTCCATGCATGGTGGAAAGTACAAAAGTATTGCTCTAAGTTGTAACATTGTAACTATGTTTTTGACTGTGTGGTGTAGTTGTGCTGGTGCAACCTCTTTCCCAGTGTATCTCTCTCACATACTCCTAAGGTAATGAAGTAGAGAAGGAAATTTTTATTAAGGGGGTGAGCAATGGTCAAAAGGAAGGAGACTGGGTGAAACAGTATAGAGAGTTGATGTTTACAGTTGGTGCCACAGTCTTACTAACTTCTGCTTTTCCTCTTGGACTCAGACAGTGTTTTATCCTGCTATGCTTCAAGGCTCCCTTGGTATTCGTGCTCATGTCTGGACGAAAGACCACCAAAAGGTAAGACAAGTTTTCAATAGAGTGCAATTATTATTACCGTGAAATAGCTAGCTAACTAAATACCACTTAATAGCGCTAAGTTCTTTCTTTTCTATTCTTGGATTAGCACTATTTAGCACTAATTAGTTAGTCTATTTCACGGGTGTATTATTTGCACTCTATGATGTCAGTGATCAGTAGAGTGGTTTTAAAAAACCCGTAAAATAATTATCATTATTTTAATACTGTGTATTAAAGCGTAGTAATGTGTATGTCACTATTAAATTGCATTGTTTAATATCCAAGTTGAAGTGTAATAAAGTGTATTACTGCAAAGTATGTTAGAAATTATTTCGCGGGTTTATGAAGACCACTCTATCGTGAGCTTCATAGATGTGATTATCACTTTCCAATCATAACGCAGATAATTATTTCTGAAATATTGTACTTTATAGGTAATAGAGAAGATAATCGAAATATTGCCAAGAGAACCAAGAGTCAAACGAGCGTTGCTTGATTTTGAAAAGTTGGTTCTGAAAGCCATTCCCAAAGTACTGCCAACAGTGAAACTATTCGGTTGTGGATTTCATTGGAGCCAGGCCGAATGGAGAAGGTATGAAAGTGAGGTCTGAAAAAGGAAACAATAACAAGAAATCTGTTCTTACTTGTGTTTTATTACCTCATCAGATCCAATATTTGGGACTTCAGGCTGCCTACCATGAGCACAGACCGACCCAGATGTTCGCGAGGAAAGTCATGTTCCTACCATCTGTGCCCTCAGACGACGTTGAGGACATGTTTAACCGGCTCGTACAACAGGCTGATCAGAACGCCGCTCTACAAAACCTTTTTGAATACGTGAGAAAAACATGGGAATATCCGCACCAACAGCTACATTGAGGATTGGCACAATAGGATGAACCAAAGAGCCTCTTACCGCCATCAGCTGCAATTTTATCTGCTAGTGAAATTTCAGCACAGTGAAGCAATGCTAGCAAAGCTTCAAGTGGAACTTGTTAGTCAAGCTAAACTCCCAAGAATTCAACGAAAACGCTATCGTGACATGCAGTCAAAGATAATTAAGCTTTGAGATCGTTTTGATAATGACGAAATCGATTCGTATAGATAACTAAAGAAATGTTTAATTTTGACAGTGCCTCCGGTTTTATTGTTACTAGATAGCAAATGAATGTATCATTAATTGTTGCAATTAAAATTCCATAATTGACATTACTTGAACTTTATATATTTAGACAAAATAGGTCTTTAGTACTTTTTAATAAAAAGTGAAACAGTTTGCGAGTTTTTACTTTGACTTCAGAGGAGGGAGGACTGGTGACAATTACTTTCAAAATCAACATGGCGTCCTTAGTGTGGGTCGTTATGTTTGTAGTGGATGATGTACTGTCAAAACTAAAAAGTTTTTTGTTTAACAAAGGAAAAGTAATAGAAGTAATCGTTCGAATGCGGAGTTCTTTACATTTTCATAGAGAGAAAGATTTGTTCCTCTCTTCAAGAATAGTGATCGTGTTCACAAGCGTTTCCATCTAGTCGGAGTTGTTACATAAAGAAATATCTAAGCTCTCGCCGTTGGATCTTATTGAAAGTGACATGTGATGGTGAAATATCTTATCAGTATAAATTAGAATGCCTTTTACATTGAGGTTTCTCACTAATAATTACTGTGCGAAATGACTATTAAGAATTGTGCGAACGGTCCAAAACTTGTGGGAAAAGACTTGTGCGAAAAGTCTTTGGTGCGAAATGTCCTATATTCGTTTCATATTAAAGCTAACCTCTTTTCTCACTGGAACTGGCAAGTGTAAAAGTTTGCTCAGATCGATACAAATTCCCTAGAAAATACTAGCCCAGTTCAAAAAAAGCTTCTTTCAACCTGTTCTACCTGTTCATCTTACTTCACTAGTTTTCTCAAGTCAAATCTAATGTTTAATGCCTGCATTGTGCCTATTTCTTTCTATATGACATTTGCTGTTTTTTTTGTTTTTTTTTTGTTTTTTTTTTCTGCATGGATAAGTTGTTTTGCCTATGAAAAGTAGAAAAATTTCCTTGCTTTTTGTAAACCGTCCTTGGTTATTTCTCTCCGCAAAACTAAACTTGATCTAAATCTTTGAAGATTTTTCTTTTTTAGGACCGCTAGGGTCGGTTGTTTATGCCAAAATGACGATTACTGTAATCATACCTGTCAACTAGTTTGGGCAAGCAAAATACCACTTATAAATTAACTGAAACTGATATTAAATCGTTTTCATTCGGCGCCTTTGTTCAGGTTATCCTGTTATGGAGGTTGTGATATCTTCCCTATAAAAAAAAGAAAGGCTAAACATTTCTCTATCAGAGTAAAAAGGATAACGAGGAGAATTTATGTGCTTGAAGCAGTGAGATAAATGTTGAGAGCCAAAATGTTTCCTTTGGGGACATTTTTCAGATTGAATTCCTTGTTACATTTGGGACACTTAGCACCTGACAAATTGCCAGTGAACTTCTTGACCGGTGAATCTTGCTGGCATCTGGGACAATTCACGGTGTAATCATCTCGCTGAAGACTCGGCAAAGTTTCCATCAGCCATTTGGCACGCTTGGATCCAAGTTCCTTGAAAGAGGTTTTTTCTTTTTCGTTCAGATCTTCTACTTCCCAGTGAACATCATAAAACTTAAATCCAAGAACGTCTGCGTTCTGCACTTTAAAAAAGCCGTTGTCTGCCCAGTCGGATCCCTTGGAATTCAACAGTCGCAAATATTCACTGTTGAAACTGGTTAAAACCACTGCATGGCCAAACCCTTTGGGATTTTCAGGACGGGCTGTTATATCGATCACCCTTTTTGTCAAAATACCTTTTCCGTCAGTTTCGAAGAACTCATAAAACCTACCCCACTCATTGAGGGTAAGCCCAAATGTTGCAACCACCGGTCGGCTTGAAGCGACTGCTTCCATGGCACCCTTGAGGTCAACTTGCTTGTAACGCAAACGGTACTTGTTGCACATTTTTTCGAGCACTGTTTTGATAACGGCAGCTTCTTTTCCAAAATGGCCGATCATTTCATTTTTCAATTCTTCGAAATCTGGGATTTTGCCCTGGCGGCCATGAATTCGCTTCATAGTCAAATGAAGCACTGTAGCTGATGCATGTGCAAAGCAGGTCTGTCCTTCTTGCTTTGCTTGTGCTTCATAATCTCTTACTGACTGGTTTATGTACACATCGAGGTCAACGTCTGCAAGCAAATCGGATAACGCCTCCTGAGAACAGACGACCTTTCGAGCAAGGTCGCAAGCTTCTTGCAGGTGGTCGGGATGGTTAACATGCAGGAACAAACGTGTTTCATTGTTCTTAACCTCAATGGACCAATCACGTTTAACAAACATGGTGCGTGGTATCGACTGCGTGGTTGTGATTGAGCTCAGTGAGAACAGGAACTTTGCACCTTGGTCCCAGTCTGTCTTCATCTCACTGTACAGTTGTCTGGGCTGAATCACTGTGGATTTAGTGACAAAGCAGCCAACTACGGTCACACCTGCGTTCTCTAATCTTGTGGCCGCTTTCTTTATTCTCGCAAAGTCATTAGCTCCTCCATCTGTGGGAACTCCGTCTGATAAGACAAACAGTAGCTTTTTGTGACTTTGAAACGTAGACGCGTTTTTTTCAAAACACTCAGTCGCCCTACCGACTGCTTGATGCATGGGAGCGTCGCCATAGATGTAGGGCTCTACTCTCTGTAATAATTCTCGGCTCCTTTCTTTTGAGAGTTCTCCTTCATCGATGTATCCATGTAATACATCTGAAGCTTCTTTAACATTGAAGATGCGAGGTTTGAAACTGACCAACAACGGTTGGGCCTTTGTCAGTGCTCCTTGGATGTCTTCCTCTGTAGCTTCTCGTATGGATGACCACACACTTGCACACGCGTGTTCGGCTCCGGTTAAAAGCTGTGCCTCTAAGGCTCCTCCAGGAAAAACTCGGCATTTTGGTGGTAGACACGTTTGGACAAATGTTTTTGGAAAATCTTCGTCCGACTCAGCTTTTTCCAGAAATAAGCAAGCCTTATGATGTGTAAATACTCCTTGGACGACCTCCCTCCTTGCCCATTTGCGGATGTATTTTGCACCGGCTCCCTCCAGTATTCGGAAAATCTTCTCTATCTGATCATCTGTGGCTTTCTGATCACATTTGGAAGACTGAAGACACGTTAAGATGTCTAATAACTGGTCGCCACCTCTAGCTCCAAAGGCCAAAGCAAATACAGAGTTATCAGGAGAGACGTCGTGTTTGATCAGGTTGTCAATAACTTCAAATATCGAAAGAGCCCACGGTCCTCCATCTTCATCAACACCGCTTCCCACGTTATCACGCATGGAATGGGAGACGTCGAGAAGGATTCCAATCAATGCTTTGGCCATGCTTCCTCGGTCTAAATTTATACAAGAATCGGATTTTTAAGGAAAAGTGAAATGTAAAAGAGCGTGATAAATGAACTAGAATACCAAGTTCCTGCCTTATCATACTTATACCTTATTCGTTCTTAATTTCGCGGTTCTTTAATCTCTTTTTTTCGCGATTGTAAAACAAATGCGAGATTTAAGACCCGCGAATAAAAATGCTCTCGAAATTTCAGTAACTGCCAAACTTTAATCCACGATAGAAAACTCAAATCACAGGAAAAAATGATTAACATGTAATAATATCAACATACCTGTATACGGAAAATGTATCGAGAGATAAACAAATTATGAACTGGTCTAACTGGTAAATTCTATCTTGAATCTTCTGTTCTGAAATAACGATGATTTGCAAAGATTTCACCTGTGGAGTAGAGAATCTAGAGTGAATCGCCAGATTTGTACAAACTCCTTAGATGGTCTTTCATGCAGTCGTCAAAAGTTCAGAATTTTTTAAAATTAAAATGAAGTGCGAAAGAAATGAATCGCGAAATTTAATGCCCTCTTTTCATATTTACACATTTTAGTCGCGAAAATAAAACCTCGGAAATACTGTCTCGCCAAAATCGCGAAATTAAGCGCCAATAACGTACTCGTTTCTACTGACCAGGATTTAGAGGAAGATTCTGCACGGTGCATTTACCATTGGGAAGCGAAACAATGGGGAAATGGGAAACCGAAAACACTCTCCCCATTTTTCCGCTGCCATTAAAATCAAAGATGGCGGCCATAATTTTCTTTAAGAAAATACTGAGCATTCGCTCGCGAAAATTACGCCTGCTCTGTAGGCTGACGATCATACGACCTTGAAAACAATAGGATAAGCTTAGACTTGTCAGCGGGTAACCCCCTACTTCGTTTCCGAGAATTTAGTCGCACAATAATACTTCCTGTTTTTCTGAGAATTCACACAATGGAAAGCGAGCAAAATTTAAAAAGAAAATATTTCTTTAATTTAAAAGCACATCAGTATCCACCAAGTGGACAAGATATATGTCACGACATGATTCCATATAATTATGAAACATATAGTAATCAAAAATTATTTTTATCACATGGTACGTAGTATAGAGTTGGTTTTTTTCGAGACAAGTTTCGAGACTGGTCTCGCACCGCTAATTCTCATAGTACTCGAAACCATAGGACCTGGGAGAACCGAACACACTTTGATTATACCTCATCCAGGGTTCAAAATAATTTTCAGCTTTTAGCGTGAATTTGTAGGCTTTTGTCAAGGCTCATTTTTTTCCCAGCTGCCAATAATAAATTTCAGCATCAGAATCTTTATTTTGATCAACATGTTTTGTTGCGGCAATCCCTTTTCTAACAAAGCGTAGTGAATGGCTCAATTTTTCAGTGTTCGGTCAAGAGTGAAATATATAACTTAGTCTAGACAAATTGCCGCGCTTCTCCATCATAGCCACAGGAAATCCGTACCGTCAAGCACCGACTTTTATTTGAATACATGAGAAGGCGTTACTAACGACATCAAACAGGATTTGGCTGAAAATAAATCTTGGTTAAGGTAGTATGTACTTGCAGAAACATAAACACGGTGTACACGAACTTGCATGTTTCACGCTTGAACAAATACGTAGAAAGCTGAATACTCTGAAGAAAAATACTCCTTTCAGCACACTTCAAATTTCGAAACTTTATACTCGCTTACGTGTCCTAAAAGCCTTTAAAACATTTGTTGGCTGCTTTATCGCCCGATATGAAATGTTCACCACACCATGGCAGCGACTTTAACTTCAGTTGGGCGATAAATAAGCATAGTATTTTCTATAAAATACTAGTTCTTCGGTGAAATATCGCTGGCAAGTGTGCAAAAAGTTCCGGCTGCCCTGATATTAGATTTTGTAAAAGCTAAAAACATACCTACACGTTAGTGGAGATCGTTACAGAATCTTTTCTTTCCTGAGCAGCGTTAAAGGACTGTTCGAAGCAATCAAACACTATCGTGGCCACCAGGACTGAAAAATAAACTCTTTGTAACTGTCTGACAGATGATTGGTGAATGAATCTGACAGATATCTAACACTTGTCATGGAGAATCGGTTTCCTATTTGGCTTAACTTACTCTTAAAATAAAATTCATGAAGGAGGTAGCATCCGAAGACTGTTGTATGACAGCGAGACAAGCTGAATAGCTGGAGATGAAGAGACGGGTTTAATGTACTGCCTCGCCTGAAATTATTTTCCAAGTGTTTATATTTTCATGGTTTCACGTGGCCCGAATACGTAGACAGACTGGGTCGAGTGCCCAATGAGCGCGACTCGTGCTCAGGGTTTTACCTTCAATGAAATTCGTGATAGAGGTTAAGGAGGAAAGATTGCGAGGAAAGCATTTGACTCTATTGGCCTCGTCTCCCTCTTACATGTACTGTACAGTATCTTTAATACATTTTTCCATTTATATGTTAACTCATTTGTATATGAACTCTTTTGTGATATCTTATTAAAGATTGTCCAAGTTAAATATTTTAAGGAGTCAGTTCGAGCATACGCTATCTGTGCATTTCGTTTGATTTTAAACGAGAAGCTCGGAACTTCAGAAAACGGCAACACAAATATCTGGGATATTGTGCCAGATATCGTAATGGTTTTGTAACTAGGGGAGGTTTTTACACTCCTAAAACCTGTAAAGATTGAATTTAGTAAACCTAGACAGATCCCTTGATCGATAAATTTATGCAGGTCTCAACACCATATTTTCTGTCGTTTAATTTGGTTACAAGTCACCAGAATCCTTTGGATCTTTCCGATCAAATGAGAATTATTCAAAAGGATCTGAAGCCAATTTTTTCCATGGAAAATACGACAGGACAAATGTTGCTGATAACATAGAGTCAGTTATGAGCTGCTCCCCATAATTCCTTCGTTGCTTAATCATGTACATGCAGTTCAACTGGAAAAAAAGGGCAAATGGGAGGTTCTTTTATGTGCAAAAACGGGATATTTGTTTTTTAATCCTTCAGAAATACTTAAGAACTTCCTCCTTTGATATATATATATATATATATATTTTTTAATTTAAGGTATGGAGCTGCAGCCCGTGTAGCTCAACTCCTCACCTGCAATGCATTCAAAAGGGGGCAAGGAATGGACTGAGCTGCTTATACTCAATTGACCTCAGATGATACTTTAAATCCCGCTGAGTTGCCGTAATTTTGGTATGTATAACGGACTTGCTTACAATAATGGACTTCTGAACTTTTACTCTGATGCCTGAAAAATAAGTTGGTTCCATTTTGTCACATTTATTTTTTTCAGGTCTTTTTATCTTTTTAAATTATTAATTAATAACCAGCTGGTTTTGTTTCAATAATTTAGCCCCAAATGCACAGGTGAATTCAAGCAGTCTGAATGTCCCACAAAATATTATTGCTTTTGTGAAAAGCAGGTATGCATGGTAGCTATGATTAAATTAGAACATTCTTGAATTTGACAAGAGTTTTTCCTCTGTTTATTCCACATTCTGTCAAGTTTTTTGAGGTTGAGTTCTGTATTTTCTCCATTAAATGCCACACTAATGGCCTCCATCAGGCGGAGAGGATAGAGACAATTTTTTGCCATACAGTGTGGCTCCTTTAAATAAGTTCTATTTTCAATTAAAAGAATGTTTCATTTATGGGTAGATTATAATTTGGAAAAAAAAATAACAAGACTGTACAGCTACAATTCAAGGATTACCTTGAATTGTAGCTGTACTATTTATATCAACATAGTGATTACTGGAACTTATAACATATTAATTACTGTCTAGGACATAATTTGTGGTTATTATTAATTAATATTATATTTACCATGGCCAATTCAAGAAAGGCAATGCTGAAGCATTGATCAGCTTTTAAGTAGTTGTAGAAAAGTGTGAAGTGTAGGGAGGACATCCTCAGATTTTTAAGGAAAAATAAATGAGAATTTAGTGTTATGTCAATTATGATACCCTCCAGCTGATAAGTTTGTCATTTCTCCTCATGTGCTCTTTGTATAATGCATTAAAATTGTGTCAAGAAGTTGGAAATTGGTCACTTCATTCAAAGTGCTATTCCATGTTGCATATACAGGTCCGTGTCCTCCTTGTCCAAAGACTGTTTTTGCATCCTGTCACTGTGGATCTCAGGCACCAGTGGTTAGACGCTGCAGTGCTAAATCTTGGTCGTGTGGAAAGCCTTGTGGAAAGTTACTTTCTTGTGGCCAGCACAGCTGTGAGTCTCCATGCCATGCTGGTAAGAAAACAGTTTGTTACCCTTGCACATAGCATTTTCTCTTCTTTATTCTGTAAATTTGGAACTGTGAAGTTATGGAATTGATTTCAATTGACTATAAACCTGTTGTAACTCGCTGTTACGAGTTTTTCCTCCTCACATTGTAGGTGACTGACCACCAGTCTAAATATGCTGAACTTTGCAGGTTAGGATGCTGCTCTTAATATGTGTACTTTCTGATAACTTCTTTCTGTGGTTGTTGTTTTCATTAATGTTTATCAGATTTTGCCCAAACTGATTTTATCAGATTTTGTCCATTAATGAAAATATAAAAATCTGAGTTAAATGGAAACCCAAATGTATTTGCATGTTTTGGTGGTTGGTACCAGGATCAGAGGACTACCTACTTTTAGTCAAAATATATATTTAATAGTCAATTACATACACTGCCTGTCATTGTGTGACCTTAGGAAAGTGTGCCCTTAAATTCCCATATGTTTCTAGTCACCAGAGACATCTTCAAACTGCCACGATTTCTGTCCTCTCTTTGAACTGTGATTTAACCTTGGGATGAAATATTTCTCACTATATTGTAACAGAAAAATTATATCTCTTACAGTTATCCTCAGTTCTTCTGCACAGCTTAAAGCAAGTGAAAGGACTGCTGTGTAGGCTATCAAGTGATAATTTGAAATTTTGTCGGTATGTTTTTCTCTGTCATTATGACTTAATCAACTGAGTTTATATTTATTTTTGTTGCCATTTTTAGGAGCTGCTTTGGCAAGCATGAAGTGTGTTTTCTTAAATTTCTATTTTGATGTTTTGGTGTCCTTAAAATTAATGAATTAAGCAACTTCTGAATTATACAGCTCATATTTTCGCAGCCTCCACCTAATTGTCCCTGTCAAGTTTGTTTCCTCTGACTTGTATTATTTTATTATTGTATTATTTTTCCCACCCAGATCAGCTCTCTTGCTTGTTCTTCTGCAAAGCCATTTTCATGTGCTCAACCTTGTGGCTGTCAGCTTCTTTGTGGAAACCCCTGCTGTCAACTGGAATATCATGTTGTCACTGATGTGGTTGATAATCAGCAGGTAAACTTGTACTCAGATATTTTCAACAATGTGTCTCCCTTGGTTCAAGCTGGTCATGGTTTCATGGGAACAGAAACTGTGAAGTGATGACATGGCAATCTAGGAGAGCCTGAACCCCAGGATAACTATATGGTAGGTAAAGGTGAAGTCTGTACTTGAGTCAAGCAATCCATCATGCCAGATCTTATCCAGGTTTCAATAGCATGAGCAGTACTACTCCCTCCCTGAATGGGATGCCAGTCCATTTCAAGGTACCCCCCCCCCCCCACACACACACACAATTCGCCAGTATCCATTTTTACTCCCGACTGGAGAGAGGCACTGTGAGAGAAAAGTGCTTCGCCTAAGAACACAACACAATGACCCAACCGGGTTCGGAACCCTGACATCTTGACCTGATAACCAGTGCAGTTACCATTAGACATTGTGTCTCCCACAATAACTATAATTTACCATCTTATTATTAACCCAGGAGGAACTGGAGTGGTTTGTGAGGAAACAGCAAGGGAAGAAACAGCATCCAAGGAAGCAAAAGGAAGAAATAATTGAACAATCATGATTCCAGCGTCACTAGTTTACTGTTGTCATGTTTCTGGGGGTAGTAGCATTGATGGCTGGACTCCTTACTGCCATGGTCTAATTAAATTTAACAGGTACACTTGGATGGTATACTATATCACAAGCCTGAGATTTTAAATAAGATAAAAATAATAATAATTCAGGTAAACTATTCTTTCTTGGAACAATTTTTGAACACTTTATTACAAAAAAAGTACATAGCATTATTTCTAATATCAAATAAATAGTGTACCATATAAAGTATTTACAAAGATAATGTATTTACATTTGTTCCATTTGAGGTGTTTCTTGAAAAGAATAAATTGATTTTAAAGAGAAACTGTAGAGACTTGTTTGATTGCACTTATGTTGACCTTACTTCCAACTTGTAAATTCAGATCTACTAGGTCCTCTGACACTATTAAAAAACCTACCCACTCAATATACATATTCATTTGAACCAAATTGTGATTTGGCAACGCTAACAGCACGTGATTTCTTTCTAACATCTTGTGTTGTTTCCTCTGAGTCAGTTTTGTTGGGTTCTTGGTGTTCAGCTACCACTTCAAGAAATTCGGGTACTCTAGTGTTCTTTTTGTCTATAAAATCTTTGAATGCTTTAGCTCCATGCATGGTGGAAAGTACATTATCCTGTGGAGTTAGATAGAAGTTCATTTAACACACTTGTGTAGGTGCAACCTCTTTCCCAGCTACCTCTTTCACATACTTCTACTGATGAAGTAATGAGGGAGAATGACCTAGCAGTGGAAGGGTGGGGAGAGAAGGAAACTTGTACCAAGGGGGTTAGCAATTGTCAAAAGGAAGGAGATTGGGTGAAGCAATATAGAGAGTTAATGTTGTTTTGTTGTGTTGGTGTTTATAGTTGATGCCACAGTCTTACCAACTTCTGGCTTTTCTTCTTGGACTCAGACAGTGTTTTGTCCTGCTGTGCTTTTGGATCTTGTAATGGTTCGCCACTGGCACGAGCTTTCCATGTTGAGGGGCTCAGGTACCATGCTCCATATTTAACCTTCACCCAGCTTGGAGTGTACTTGGTTTTGGCCTATAAACAAATTTCACGCAGCACCTCATCAATGATATTCTTCCTCTCAAAAACTTTCATATAAGAAGTTCGTGTGTTTTAAAACTCAATGTGAAGCTTAGAAAAATCATGAGCACTTTGATTTGAATTTTAAATATCACCAGCTGTATTAATAAATCAATCACAACTAGGAAAACTGGAAAACTTCAACACAATTAAGGAAAGGATAAAAAAAATTGAAGGAAGGGAAAAGTTTTTTAGTTCCACAGAAGGAACACATACATCTCTTTCATTACATTTGCTTCCACAATTGGCTTGAGCGGTCTTGCACTTTACCTTTTCCTTTTCAGTTTCTGGCACTTGTCTTGTTTCACTTGGCTTTGGTAATGGAGATCCAGTGTTCATTCTTAACTCAGGTGGAACATTTGTCAGTTCAACAACATGGATAGGCACCGACAGTGCTGGCTGCAAACAAGATAATTGATGAGAATTTAATGGGAAAAAAAAATTCTGTTCTGAATACAATAAACCCTGGTCTACACTGGCTTAATTAGATTTAAAGTTGAAAAGTATTGTGACTGGAAAACATTGTTTATCATATCACTGACTCTTGCTAGGAAGGATTGAAATAGACACTAACCTTTGTTTCATATCCACTGGCAAATAAACTCATCACGGTTGACTCTTCAATATTGTTACTTTGACCACCCTTAAAAATTATGAAAAAGAAAGAAAATTGAGGTATTCAAAGTCCAGAATATCTAAATTACCTTCAGTTCATAGTTTTTTAGAATTATTTATTAAAATAAAACTCACCAAGCCAGCCACCCATTCACAAAATTCCTTGGTTACTTCTTGTATCCTTGCATCCTGAAAAAGGAAGTACATGCAGTCTTGAGTCCTCTCATATACTGCAATCCTATATGCACTTATTTCATTGATTCAGAGAGCAGTGAGTTTAAAAAGTGATCCTGGATAATTGCTTTGGTTTCGCTTTTATACTTTGGTCTGTGGTTTGATCGGGAAACTTCGACCAACCAAATGCAAAACTGAAACCAACCCCAACGTGGTCACTTGCATTTTTTTTGCTCTTACAAAACAGATTGCCAAAACTTTGAGATCTCATTGGTTGATAATGATGTTAACCTTTGGTCTGATTTGTTGTTGTGGTTACTTTTTTTTTGTTTTTTTCCTGGTTTGGATTTTTCAACAGTAAGGTGAAAACTGCACTAAAAGATGTTATGACTTAACCAGCAAAGCAGTTTTTGAATATCAAAATATTTACCGATGTTGGAGACTCTGCCTTGCGCCTACTAGCTCTTTTGCTCTCTTCTTTTTGTACATCTTCTTGTTTAGGGAGCCACTTGTATGTGAGTTTGGACTGATCCTTCTCAGACTCAGAGTTGCTGTTAATATGTCAAACAATTTTATTTTTTTCAGTAACATAAAATAAACAAATTAACTTATGTAAAGATATCAATTAAAAATTGCAATGAGTACATTATTAGAAGAAACTGTGTTGCTGTACGAAAGCCTCACCTTAATTTTCCAGACCCTCCACTCTTTACAGACTGAAAAAGAAAAAGAAATGCTAAACATGAAAATTAGAAAGACTTCATGACTGCCCTCCATGTTTCAGCACTTCCTTCTCCCAAATATTTTTTAAAATGCAAATTATCTATTAGGTATTACAATCAACACAAATTCAGGAGACGTGTAGTAATAGTAGTAGTAGTGTCTTTCTATTACAGGTTTCCCTGACTAGAAGAAGGTCTTGGAGGCTGCCTTCCTTTGAGGAGCGGACTTCACTGAGGGCCACTATTTTTAACATTTAGTCTGGACATTTTTTGGGAGGTGGAGAGAAGATTCTTAATACTACTCAGTCAGATGCGACCCACTGACTGAACAGTGTTAAGAACCTAATTCCCAGCTTAGATCTCATCTGTCATTTTTCAAAATGTTTGCCAAAGAAAATTTTAGCCTGCATTTTTCATGTAACTTTTTACCTGCAGTTCATCTTGATCTCCAGCTCCTTTGGCTTCCTCAGAATCCTCATCACTTTCCTGTGAAAAGGAAACATTTGAATCTTGACAGTCTTTCTGAGCTTTTGGTTTTGTAAGAATAATAATTTCAAGTTGTTATAAAGTTATGAAAGAGATTAATGTGCAAACTGTATCTTTACCTGCATCTCTTCATCTCCAGTTTCACTGTCAATGTTCATCTCTGGATCTAGAATCTCAACAACATCTTCAAACACCTAGATCACCACAGAGAGCAATAAGTGATGAGTTATATCGTAGAGTTTGATGCCATCAATTTTTACATCATTTTCGCACCCCACCAAGTTAAATACAACATTGAATAGATTATCTTCAACCTATATTATCCAGAACTCGATTACCAAGATTTTGTCAATTATCTGGACTTGCTTCTCTGGTCCCAATTATCTAGTACGAAAGTTTATATTTATTTCTCTATTTCTTTACCAAGCTTAAAACTTACCATCTCTCTTATTCTGATTACAAAACATGACACCATAGACCTTGCTGATCCTAGCAGTATGCTGGATCAGCAATATATAATTATGAACTTCATATATGGCCTTGCTCACCACAGAGGCTCTGCGGTTCAGTGGTAGAGCATCTGAACGCAGAATCCAAAGGTCTAAGGTTTGATTCCTCACAGGGACTCAGAATTTTTTCTTTGTCCCTCACTCATGATGAGACAGAAAACATCTTAGTTTCTCCATTTATATTCATATTTTCAGTAATCCAGAATCTCAACTATTAAGCCCAGTCTCGGTCCACAAGTCTGGATAATTGAGGTTCAACTGTATTAGTCTTGACTTCCAGAAAAGCCATACAAATGCAGTGGTTCCAAATTTCTCATTCTTTGAACTTTTGCAGTTCTCTAAGCTGCAACCACCTTGGTCACCATGGTCAGTAAGAAAACATTTCAGCTACTAAACTTGCAGTAAGACATACATTTTGGCAACCCAAGTTTGACAGTAATGTAGCAAGTTTATGATGTTATGTCTCCATTGGCAACAAAACAATCAGCACTTGTAACCCTTTAAGCAGCAATGAGTATCATTAATTACGCAACATTTAAGGTAAACAAACTTACATCAGGAGGTAAAGACTCTTCTAAATGAGGAAAAAGAGCCAAAGGATGCTGTGTCAAGTTAAACTCAATGTCCTCCACCCTACCTCTTCTTTGTTGTTGAAGGGGAAGTGACCTGACAGATACCATAAAGAACAAACCTTATCAAAATTTTTCCCACATGATTCAAATGGATTAGAAAGTTTAGCTAAACTAGATTATGTAAGGTCTAACCCAGTTTGCAGATACAATGGTGTCAGCAGTCAGTTACCTATTCTAAGTTGGTCAATTCTTCTCTCTAATAGAACTTGTACTGCACCAGCACAGATTACATCAAGGGATGCAAGGAAAAAAAGGTTATATGTGTAACAACTTGTAAAAATACAATGTACCTTGAAAAACAGGCTTCATTCTTTGTAAATCTCACTCTGTCCTTCATATATTCATTTATTGTTTCATCAGATCCAGTTATGTTTGGTCCTAACCCAGTATTAGTCTGAAAGAAAAGACATGTAAGAAAAGTGGAATTACTTTTTCCCAAGACTGTTTTTTATATCACTAACTTGACCCTTTCTATCTTTGATTCCCATCACCTCAATATCAGTTCTCTTCACTGTCTGCTTAACTTTTCTCACAATTTAAGCTCTGAGAATTGGTATCAATAAAAGCAAATAATAACCCTTAGTTGATAATGTTCTTTTTTTTTTTCATCATCTTTCTGCTCCATAATGAACTGGTTTTGTAAAGAGAAATTTCATATGGATCACTCCAAATAAATTATCCTCATACAATATTAAATTTCAAAGGAAAATAATTCCAATCACAAAACAGAAAACAACATGACCATCATGACTCAATAAAAGAGATTGTTAACCCTCCACACTCTAGCATCAGTGTGAATATTCTCTATACTGTTCTTTGTACATTTCCTGACAAGGAGAATTTGTTCAACAACGTAGATCGAGTTTCTTTAACTGCTGATCATTTCCTTCATTCTGGTGATCTTAAGGTTTGATTCAGGGGAGATATTGTGAGGAGAAATGAGATGCTAGTCACTCTTAGGGGTCCAAGGTTTAATGCCCTACAAGCAGTTTTCTATTACCAATCACTAAATAATTAATAACTTATAATCCGATGATAATTCGTTACTAGTACGTCTACGCACTCAGTCTCACCTTCTTAACATAATTATAATTAGCTTCAGGGGGAAGACCATCCCTAAAGTCATCGCTTCCCTTCTCTAAAAACGTCCAAGACGTGCCGATCAGCGTTTCTGAATTTCCTCTGAGCTTTCTTGACTTTATATACTTTGTCTCTAATCTTTCTTTATACCTGTGTGTAATAAAATTACAAATAGTTTAATCAATTCGATTGGTACAACAAAGTCATCCATGTATACCATTGAAGACACAAAAAGAGAAGATTTAACTTTCAATCTAACTATTCCTTTTATTAAGCAGCACAGAGCAAAGCATATTTCTCCACAAATTCTCCATGATTTGTTCGCCATAACAGCAACAGAGCTGATCTGATGGAATAAATATGGCTTTCTCAGTGAATGATTCCACACTTAATATGCTATTAACTTCATTTTCAACAGCCTCTTATACTTTTTATTGCATTTGGACAGTATAAAGGCTTACTTACCATGGTTTAAGTCTCTTTTTCCCGTCTGTTTTGGTTTCTACTAATAGGAGGTCATACTTGTGCGCCATATTGGAACACAATGAAAAGATTGCGTTTCCTTGGTTACTTAGATAGTCGGACTTAGTCTCCCTAACGAACGCTGAGGGCTCTGGGAAATTAGAACGTTACAACGTCGAAGTACTGGAGCTTCGAAACATCACAGAACGATCTAATGAAAACTCAATTTTTTTTAAGATAAAAAAGATTCTCTTTTAATTTACTTCTGATTGAACTCGTGACATTGCGGAATTTTCTACATATTTTCGATTTATTAACAGCATGTTCTTTGGCTTATCCTTTTTTGCTTCTAAGCTCAATCAAATCTTCATCAAAAATTTGTGAGGGGTCGACGCAGCCTGTCATTCCCATACGAATTATTATTTATTGATAAATATAATTTGAAAAGTTTTTTTCCATTTGCCTTACAATGAAAATAATTCCAATTAAACTACTGGTACTCAAGAAGCAAAATATACGGCTTTGAACAACAACGGCTCGTTACGAATTCTTCGTTTTCAGCAAAATTCAGGGCTCGATCACGGCCTTGTAAGGTTAAACTTGTATCCTGGGGTTTGTTTTCGTCTTTAGTACACACCGTCTCGCTTTATATGGTGGCCTTGCAAAACTTTGAAATAATCTATCTTCTGCAGTTTAAAGAATGCTTTTTTAGTCTGTCTGTAATTGATTGAGTAATTCTACCCCAAAGTTCAAATAAAATGCTTTTTTGTCTTAAGGTTAGAAAACGAGTATCATATTTGCTTTTCATGTCAACAGTTATTAATGGAGCGACCATGAAAACTAAATAAAGTCAGTGATAAGATGAAAATGAAATGTCCATAAAACTGCGTGAGAAGCACGTTCAACGCTGGTAAAACGGCAGGCATTGGAACACCTATTTGCTCAATCACTAGCATAACCGGATCTCTCCGCCGCGGGTGACCCATGAAATCTCCTTCCCGGAATCAAAGGATATTAATGAAAAAGCTACAGATATAAATATTCATCAGCTTTTTGTGCGGTACTGATATTTTTTTCATTTACGTCAAAAAGAAAATGGTTAACAAAATCACCCTAAAAGAAAGGTCAAATCTTTTTTATTCTGAGCGTAAACTAAACTGAGAAAAGAAAAAACATTAAAACTTCTTATTTTCGCATGAAATCACAGCCGACATTGTTGAGAGCATGATCTGTTATTTGTGACTTTTATATTGTATATTTTGGCATAATATGCATAACAGAATAATAAAACGGGTATTTCTAAGTTGTTTTGGGATTGCGATGAGAGAGTTCTCTTGTCTATTCAATCGTTTATTTTCTTTCATTTCATGATTGCGCAAATTTTACCACGCACAGAAAGATGCTTCTGTCGAATTGCCTCATAGCGTTTCTTCGCCTCAAAGAAAATTTAACTTAAGTTGGGCGATGGAGTAAATTTTGTCCTTTCCATTGTTAAGAAGTCGAGCGACGGGAATAAAACCTGCTAGATCAGCGTTTTGGTTCTTTCGACCAATTTAGTGGGTGTGAATATCATCAGGTTTCAAAAGCCACTCGGAAATAATAATTTTAAGTGTGGGGGAACATCCTTCATAATCTGTGAAATATCGCCAGTTAAGGAAAATGAATTCGGCCAGTTAGTTATAGGATCATCTAAGGGCAACGCACTGCATACTCATAAAACGCCCTGGAATTATTAAAACAGAGACGAGTCGAAAACAAACGACACATTCTGTTTATCTACGAATAATATTTTTGTCGTGTTTTGGAAGGATTTACAAATTGGTGTTTTAAAGCGGCCTTGCACCTGTCATTTTTATTGACGCTTTTTAGGAGTGCCCAAAAGCTATTAATTGAACTGTCGAATTAAATTGTCTCCAGTCTAATGGAATATTCCTCTATCGCCAATCTCTTACCGTATTTGTATTTGACACCAACCTTCATTAAACTCTGATCTCTGCATGAGCAAGGCAATTAACATTTTGGGAAAAAAACATCCTCGGGTGACAGGTAATTTAAGATATTTTCGTTTGCGCGAGAGGTTGGGCAATTTAATTTTAGATTAAATTCAATGATACTAATATGTATTATTTTCCATGTTCCGTGGGGTCAGAATCCTGATCTAACGACAATACAATAAAAACTTGTGGTAGATTCATAAAGATTGATAATAAAGCTTTACCAAGAGAAATTCTGTTAAAAAGGTCCGCTCTTTAATTGTATGCTTAAATTAAACCACCGGCCCGTCAAATTTGACAGTCAATAGAGACTTGCCAATCACTCACTCATCGCTTTCAATTAAGGAAAATTTTAGGGGATTTGTTGTCGATGCGGAACGGTGAAAATCGCTTCCTGTATTCGACTGGACTCTAAATCGATTGGATTGCCTTGGAGGATGTCTAGTTTTGCTACGAAAAATTCCATGATTGCTTCCAAGATGCATGACTTCTACGTGCTCGTCGCATTTTTCGGATACATCATTGTTTTTTCCCAGTTTAGTTGTACTACGGTTATTGGTGGGTCGCAAAATCTCTGCCCAAACATCACAAGGTGCTCATGCTCGTACACACATCGTATAGTTAGTGGGAAACCGCCATCGACATATGTGAACGCAATATGCAGTTTTAGAGAAGGCAGCAAGTTGACGGACATTCCCCAAAAACTACCACCAAAACTTGGAAAATTTATAATGGATTCCCAAAATGTTGGTGTGCTAAAACATGCCTCGTTGAGAAATTACCCGTTCTTGTATGAGTTATACCTGAAGGACAATAACATTAGGTCCATTGAGCCGGGATCTTTCCATCATCAGAAAGATCTTGAACTACTGTGGCTTCAAGATAACAAACTCATTAACATAAGTCGTGAAACTTTTGAGGGATTGAAAACCCTGAACGAACTTCGTTTGGATCATAACAAGCTACAGAGGATTTTCCAGGGAACATTTTCATACACACCACTCTTGAGAAAGCTCGATCTTCGGAATAACACAATAAGTGTGCTCGAGGAAGGTGCATTTGACGAATTGGATTATTTAGAAAATATTTTGTTAAGTTTCAACTCTCTGACAACTATTAACAAAGGTGTTTTTGGAAATTTAATGTCCTTAAAGACTCTGGAGCTGGCTTCGAATGGATTAAAGACAATTGATGGAAATGCTTTCGATTGCGCTCCGTTAGTCAATAAACTAGTGTTGAATGGAAACAAGCTCGATAAAATTCCCGCGAAAGTTATAGCGAACCTTAAGTTTCTAGAGTTTCTTTATGTCAACAACAATCCACTAGAGTTAATAGAAGCAGATGCTTTCAAAGGGCTACGACGCCTGACCACAATTGAATTAAGTCACTGCAAAATTTCTTCGATTCAAAATGGGTCTTTTGATGACCTCGGACACCTTGAAGCGGTCCATCTACGTAATAACCCTTTAAACTGCAATTGTCACTTGAGATGGCTTCCGACATGGTTGTCAAGGAGACCAGGATTGACATTTGATGGCGCCATTTGTCACGAGCCAAATGACATTTCCGGAACTGGTTTGAACTCGGCAAACCTTACATCCTTTGTTTGCTCATGCGCAGCGTGTAAAATGGATGCAAATTGCAGCGGGGAACCAGTCAATTGTTCCTGCCCAGACAACTGGGCGGGGTCATCCTGCAGTGATACCTGTCAGTCAGACAGCGGGGCTGTCGGTACGTGTCAAAACTTTGGCGGGAAATGCTTTTGCGGAAGAAACATAACTACCAAGCCGTTGTCAAGTGCCATTTGTTCATTCAACATAACCTCAGCAAAGTGCAGCGAAGATGGCGAATTAAAAAAAAATGGGTCTCGTTTAGAGTGTAAATGTAACATAGGATTTGAAGGGAATGGAAGTCACTGCACTGACATAAATGAGTGTAACACGGGGAAACATTTCTGTCTAGAACATTCAGTATGCATCAATACGCAAGGATCACACCGCTGTGAATGCCAGGAGGGGTTTACAGAGGAAGTTGAAGGACTGTGCATGGACGTAAATGAATGTTCGAGGCAAAAACCATGTCGTGTCAACGCTACATGCTACAACAGTCTAGGTATGTGGTCAATTTAGTGGATAACTTCATTTTACCATTCAAGTCACTAGCTGATTGAGTGTCAATGTGAGTGAAGTGAATGAGTCGAAATGACGTCCGTACTTGCTTGTTACAAGTAATCCAGGATTGCCCTAAGTTTTTTTTCACTTCATTCTGTAATTGGCCTAGAAGACTTGCGCCAAGTTTTCAACCAATCAGGTACAAAAATAACTAGTAACTAATTCCGAATTGGTTGCTGGCTTTTTTCCCGCGCTTAGTTCAGTTTTCTTTACGTTGGGTTCTCATTGGCTCCCTGTGACATTTTCTTAATTCTGATTGCCCTTCTGATTGGCTGACGTGAAAGCCTTGGCTAAGGTTTTAGGACACTGGATCGACAAATGCTTTTATTGTTGAAAGATCAAGCGGGCTGATAAACGCTGATTGACCCATGAACCAAACTGTTCCTTGACCGAGTGTGATATAATCCGAAATTCGATTTCTTCCGAAACTGTGATGCCTAACTAAAGTCCTCGATGTCTAAAAGCCAGGAACTGAAGCAGCTCTTATTACGCCGGATTCCAAGCATCAAATCTTCATTAACACGAACGAAAACTATTTCAGTGATTATTTATTCCTAAAGGCCTAAAACTCCGACGGGAGTCGTTTAAGATGAGAAAATTAAAAGTTTTCCCTAAGTTACCGCTCAAAAAGGAATTAATCATGATTATTACCGGTTTAAAAACTCAGCTCGACAACGTAGGAGCACAGTGACTGCAAATGAATACAATTTTATGATCAGATAAGGAAAATGCAATTCTTATTAAAATGTAAATCACTCTATTACGATTGTTACCTTGCAAACATCTCCTTCATCGAAAGGTGCTAAATACATAAATGTCACTATTTTTTATTTGAAGGAATTGACAGCTATGAACACATACAGTTTTGCCCGAAGTGCGAAGAAATATGCGCCGGAATATTGTTCTTGATATTTACGTTTGCGTTTCTCGTTTCATGGCTATTGCGCAAATTTTCACATTGATATCCGTAGTATCCGAGCTACGTTCTCACCAAGAAAGAGAAAAAAAATATTTGGACAATCTCAAAGATAGATCTTAGATTTTTTCCCTTCCCGGGATTGATTTGCGGGAGAAATGATCAAAAAAGGAGAAATTGAGTAAAATTTACAACAGTCAATCTTTTTTTTTAAAATAAAGATTATGGCTCGGTCCATACATTAAACCAAAAATGTCCGTATTACATGGACTATGCTCAACTTATTGTAATGGAGGGTGTGTCGAAACAAATTAATTTTCATCAGGTTTATTGGTTTTATAGTTGGTTCCTTTATTTGACAAGTTTTTACCAGGCTGTCACTGGTTTTCAGAGGCAAAAACAATTCCACACTACAATTTTATTGACGTTTTTATTAAAATTTTCTATCAAACCGACGGCTTGATCTAACATTGCGAAATGAAGGTGAACAACTGATTTTAATGAAGAAAGCAGATATTACCTTTTCTTTCTTTGGTACTCGAATAGTACAAAAATTGATCTATTATGGTTTAGTTGATTGTGCGAGTGAGCAAGGTTTTAAGAGGTTGAAAGGCACACTACATGACAGCTTGTTTCAAAATTACAATCCTTGGTTCAGAGGCTGTGCTGGAAAACAATATGAATCAAAGCTACATGACATTCCAAATAGCATATACATCACATTTTACTTTGGTGCGATATTGAACAGAAAAACCTCACCACATCCCAAAGCATCCACGAGTACTTAAAATTCCAAGTTAATCTTTTTATTGATTCTCTCCAGGCTGTTAATCATAAATCCGTGTCAACTTGATGAAACATGGAATCGTTTGATGTCGTAGAAACCCTTTTTGTATGAAATGATCGATCGCAACAAATACAATTCTCTAGGTTTTACCACTTTTCACCCGAAAAACGTTTCTGGACAGCTTCAAATTTTGAAATTAAGTTTCGTCTCTAGATCGCTTAGCCCAGCTCATTTCGGCGAAAACACTGAACAACATCTACCTTGCATAAAACGGCTCAGAATAACAGCTGAGGTGAAGAATATGAATCAAGGAGGTATCATAATACTTGCGTTTGTGGTTGTTAATGATTTTATAGACTTGCTCGCTTGCTCCACCAACAGAATATATTTATAATTACCTTATGGATTTAATTAGTTTGAGAAAATTATCTTTAACTACCTTTTTTCATTTGCGTAAAGGTTCATATACCTGCATATGCCACGCGGGCTTCGTTGGGGATTCCTGTATGCCAGAACCAGAAAAGCCGACAGATCTCAAAATAACAGTCATTTCTAGTACAGAGGCTTCCGTGTCATGGACTGCTGTGGATATTTCTAAAACAAAGCTAATTAAAGTGGAATATAAACGATTTGGGATTCGTGGCGAGGACTGGGAGGTTATAAACCTGCAACCAAACGAAACAAGAGCAACTTTGAGAGAGCTGACACCTCATGCAAACTATTTGGTTCGTGTAGGTATGACGGTCTTGTTGATTTAGAACACTCAGCCTCCATTACCACTCGATTAGGCAATCTGTAAGTACTAAAGAACCATAAAATCTTCATTATTTAGTGTTCAAAGTATGGCAGAACTTTCCGAGCCCACATTGTATTTATCAGCCACGATCGAATATTCAACAAGTGAACGTCCTTTGAAGTTTTTTAAAATCGCCGTCGACAACAAACGAAAACAAACGAACCACAACAACAGAAGTTTGGTGACAGTTTTTAATGAGAATGTCTCTGATGTTTCGTTAATTACTAGGATCTGAAAGCGTGTGTGAGGTCAATATGCACTGTTTGATGATTTCCCTCACTCCTGTCACTTTTCTACTGTACAGATTGATAGACCTGCTGGGGCGTATGTATATCGATTAGTCCTGAGATTTTAAGTGTTGTGATCCCTGCGATAATTTTTATTTCATATAGTTAATAATTCTTTAGGGAAATAGTCACTGTGATAATGGTGATGATGATGATGATGGTAATGGCAATAATGCTGATGACGATTTCTGTCTTTTTTGTTTTTGTCTAGGTGCTATTTCTTTTTTTAACACAAGCAATTACAGCGAGAAGAACCTATTCACAACTCTCGTAGCGAACACCCGGGGAACACATCCGACAACAGACTCCCACTCCGACGGAGGTTTTCAAAACAGCTTGGTGATCGTTGTGGCGCTCGCAGTGAGTTTATTTGTGCTAATAATCATCGCAGTGTTACTCGTCTACTTAATGCGAAGGAAGAAGAAGCCCAAAAAGGGGAGCAATCCACAATATGTCCCTGGACTGGAGGACTTGATTGAGATGAGAACCCGTACTCAGAGTGGTGGAGCTGATCACAGAGGAAACAGAGATCATTTGGAGTTAGGTAAAGCAATCAATCCGTTGGTATCTGGTGGAATTCGAAGAGCCTTCTTATTCATGCGACTCGTAACCATATTTGTTTATTGAAAGAACGTGGTTACATGGAAAAGGACTGTAACTTATAAATGTTTATTTGGAAGCATCAGTATGGCCGAATTTTATTTCATATAAACACTTGCATTGTCTGATGTTAGACGACGAGCCAAACTCATTGATTAGAGCTTCATAGTGGCAACGCAAACATAAACGCATAATGGACCTATTTAATGACTCAATCGTAAATCTTTCTTTTTTTAATAATAGTTCTATTCCGACCTAAATTATGTCTTTCATATTTTGTTACTCCTCAGGCGGTAATCTGCATTCGTTCTTAAGCGGTACAGTCGATCACACTGATGAATGGGAAATTGAGCGAGACCGTCTTCTAACTGGTCAAAAACTCGGAGAAGGCCAGTTTGGTTTGGTGTTGGAGGGTACACTTATGACTGGTGAGTACATGGAGTGAAAGTCCATTTAGTGTCGTAAGCCTAAAACAAAGTTTTTACAGCTTCTGGTGGAAACGATAAAAAAAAAAAATGTCACAAGTGGTGTGAAGTATCAAGTCAAAAACTATTTTACTGATTTTTTTATATTTAATACTTATTTAATACCTAAATTCAAACTGTAGAGTTATTTGCATGGGTTAGGCTATCGCAATGAGTCTTCTGATTGTGACTGTTTTTCTAACTTTCATCAGTACACGTGCTAAGTTTGTCTACTGACGCTGCCTCGCGCTTACACTAACGTTCTTGTGTTTGGCGGTGGCCGTCAAAGATTAATTGTTTGACTGGAAGCATTAAGCCCCTTTGTTGTTTATTTGTTAGCTTTTTGTAAAATTGTTTGGGTTCTCGCTCTGGCAACAAATGTTTAATGATTTCTAAATGACTTGGCAGGTAAGCCCAGACGCGCCTACCAATAGTGAATATAAAAGCACCCAACTCATAGTATGACTTTGGAAACTAATTTCGATTTTGGACAAGCCTAACACATAAGAGATTACGGTTCGATTTTAGACACTTGTGTCCGATTTTGGTCACTGGTGTCCAATTTTAGACACAAGCGTCCGATTTTTGGACACCAGTGTCCGATTTTTTTCACTAATGTCCGATTTTAGACATTATTGTCCGATTTTAAGTGCTAGAGTGCTACTTTGGATGATAGTGACGATTTTGGACACTTGTGCCCAATTATCCAGTATTATACACTAGAGACCAATTTTGGATGATAGTGTCCGATTATCCGCTTGTAGAAACTCGTGTCTAATTTTACACACTAGTGTCCAATTTTGGACAGTAATATCTGAATTCGGACACTAAGGTGCCTTTGTGAACGCTATTGTCTTAGCAGTAGAAGGTTAGTTCTGATGTCGAACCGCACTGTTTTATTTATTGATGCTACTGGACCCTGTAGAGATGACTGCACAGCAAAAACTGATGGGGGAAATATTAATTTTAATTTTTTCCCCGACTTAGGTTGGGATAGTTGGAGTGTGCCTCAGACACACTGTGTTTGTGATTTGCTGTTGAAAATAAGTTTGAGGTCTTAATTTTTCCTTTACTGTTACAGATGACGGCCCCATAAAGGTTGCAGTGAAAACCATTAAAGAACACGCTGATCGCTTTGATTACAAGGATCTACTCCTGGAAATGGATATGATGAAAGAGATTGGACAACACCCACATGTCGTCAGCCTAATTGGCACATGCACCACACCAGGACCGCTGTACATAATAACCGAGTATGTTTCAGGTGGAAACTTACTTGATTACCTGCGTTCCAGCCGTCCAGCGGATGAGACCTACGTGAATATCATCTCCACGCTGAGTTCACGTGATCTTCTTAAGATTGCGTTGGACTGTGCTCGAGGAATGAATCACATTGCTCTGAAGAAATTTGTCCATCGAGATCTTGCCGCTAGAAATGTTCTCCTCACCGCTGAACATGAAGCGAAAGTGGCAGACTTTGGACTTGCGCGTGATGTTTATGGCGATGGGCAGTACGTTAAGACTGGAGTGGGGCGTGTCCCTATAAAATGGATGGCCCCCGAATCCATTCAAGATCAGATCTACACTACCCGTTCGGATGTCTGGTCTTTTGGGGTCCTCCTATGGGAGATTGTTACCATCGGGGCTTCCCCGTATCCCTGTGTTCCGGTGAATCTTCTCCTAACGAAACTCCTATGCGGCTATCGTATGTCTAAGCCAGCACACTGCTCTGACGAACTCTACGGATTGATGAAAACTTGCTGGCGCTTGGATCCCGAAGAAAGACCGACATTTCCCGAAATTTGCGGCACCTTGTCGGAGATGCTGTCCGAATCGGCGAGGTCTTACGTCAATATCACTGTCAGTGAGGAACAAATGGGGTCTGGGGTAGAGTTTAGCGACGACACCAATGAGCAGACGACCTCTGTTTAATTTCTGTTTCATCAAATTTTTTTTGCGCGTGAGTTTAGTGATGCCGCTACTAAGCAGACGACCCCTCAGATTTTCTTGTGCGCGAAAGTTGGATGTTAAAAACATAAGCGAAAGTGTTATTAATGTATAAGATTAATGTAAAATAACACTTGCATTGTTGCATACTTTAGAAACCTATAGTAACAGTTCGGCGAGCTTTCGTTTTCTTTTTTAATTTACCTTACTCGCCCTTGTTCCAAATTCCTGTCCCAGATTTTGTTTGCGAAGTATGGAGCATTTGTGAATAGCTGAAACCAAGAGATTATAATATCTTGCTGTATAACATGAATATTGAATTCGATTTAAAAATAATTTGATTTTAAACGATGAAAGTCCAGAGCCTCTAGAAACGGAAAATGCTCACAAAGAGATAAAACTTGAATCATGGATCTTACTAATACACGTGCGTTAGATGTGCCATGGCAATAAAAGAAGTATTTATCATCAATCAATAGTTTTAGTTTTTTATTTACCTAGACGGCGATCTCGATGGGTTTCGACTTAGTGTCCCGTTCATGGGCTTCTAGCTGGTCTTATAGAAAAAAATTGCTAAAATAAAATAAAGAACAGTACAACAGTCTGAGGAGAAAGATGTGAAAGACTTCATCTCGCGCGGAACAAAGTCGAGGAATGGAAGGCTCCTGTGTGCTCTTTCATATATATGCTCCCCTCAACTTCTAAAGACCTATCTCATTGTTTTTCCATATTTACAAAGTTTACCTTTCGGCTTTTATCGTGTTCAATAAATTAAAATTATGTATTATTTATAAATATCATTACATGTTCCATTGGTAAATTTTGATAATCTAAGCATCATACCCGGTAAACCCATTAAGACATCATCTGTTTTTCAAAAACATTCTGAAGTACTGCAAACTGTGTTCACCTCTCTAAAAGTCTTTTTGAAAAACATTAATTTGAAAAATGTTTAAAACGAAGCATAAGATGTGATTGTCGTTTTCTGAACAAACTTGTCACAAACCAAAACTTGCAAGTCACTCAACTTCTTCCTGTTTTCCCTTCACAGGCCTGTGACCTTTGAATCTTCTCATTCAAAGTCATTGCGCTTTGTCAGCGGATCAGTTCGAAAATGTTTTACCGAAATTCCTCATGAATTTCTTTATGTAATTTTAGAATGTTTTCTTCTTAATAAGAATTTGTAATTGACATGCCAAATAACAACTACATTGAGTTTTTTTTAACACTATCGATAAATGTAGTTTTAGCTTCTCCGTTATTTTTAAAACTTCGTTATCATATAATGGATTGTTTCAGTCTGGAATTGAAATGATGCATGTGCAGAACTCTCAGAGTGTCTTCCCACATCGTTTTCAACCTGCACACGCTCCAGCTCATCTGAACCTTCGGTAAAATCATTGCTTTCTGATTCATCTTTTTCAAACTCGCTTCTCAAATTAAAAGAAGCTGTCGGAATTTGCTCCAAATACGAATCTGCTCCTTCTAAGTTGATGTATGCACGTCCAGTCCGCGCTAAAAACTCGTGCAAGATTTTTGCTAACTCAGCAAAAGTAGGTCTTGCTCCCGCATCCAGTTGCCAGCAGGCTCTCATAACCTCGTACATGTCATCGGAGCACTGAGAGGGCTTCTGCATGCGATAACCAATCATAAGCTTCCTCATCAGCAGTCGCGCTGGAATTCCCGGGTAAGGACACTGGCCAATTGAGATTATTTCCCATAGCAACACCCCAAAAGACCAAACATCTGACTTGGAAGTATATGTATGGAATTGAATGGACTCAGGTGCCATCCACTTCACTGGGAGTCTCCCCGCAGCCGTGGTTTTGGTATAAACACCCTCTGATTGCAAGTCTCGAGCAAGTCCAAAATCTGTCACTTTCGCAATCTTGTTTTCAGTCAGTAAAATATTCCTTGCAGCCAAATCTCGATGCACTATGTTTAGATTACTCAGATGACTCATGCCATCAGCGACGTCTTTGGCAATGTTCAGCAATTCTCGCTCGTTGAGAGACGAGGTGATATTGATATAATGTGGATGTTGACACCTGCTTTTTCGAAGGAAGCATAGCAGGTTTCCGCCGGAAACGAACTCCATCACTAAGTACAGCGGTCCTTCCACAGAACATGCTCCCAAGAGGCTGACGATGTTCGGGTGACTTCCGGCCTGCTTCATGATTGAAAGTTCTGCCATCAAGTCTTTATAGTCATAGCGATCAGCGCCTGGCTTTAAGGTCTTTACGGCTACTTTTATTGCTCCTTCGTCTGAAAACAAGGAAAATTAGTGAACTGCATTGCTTTCCATGCCATTCACCACGCAAGCGCGTAAGTGCGAGTTCAAACGGTTGTACCCAGGCTTCTGATGATAGGAAGTAAATGTAGATTCCAAGTCATTCCATGAGGAGCGTTGATCGGGTTTCGAACAACCCAGACCTGCGCTTAAAAGGCCTCAAAATAAAAATAAAAAGCTCGAAAGGGGTTTTTCTTTTTGTCTTTATAAAAGAAACTAGAAAAATTAGTTATCGAGTGATTTTATACCTTTATCTAACGATCCTTCCATTACAACACCAAACGCACCCTCTCCAATGGCTGCAAAGATGTGTAGCTTCTCACGGGGTATTTCCCATTTGTCATCTCTCAGACATTCTTCTAGTAACAAAAATGTGGTCAGCAGTACATTTGGTACGTTTTGCTGAAGGTGATTGTGCATTTCATAGGCGCTGCATAGATAAGTAAATGAAGGCAACCTTATGGCTGTGTGCTTGTGTACCACCGCAACATTATCATTTCTATTTCATCTACTTTTTTCAAAAAAGCGTGCATCGCAATAGGTAAAGGGACGGGTTTTAGATCACCGTGTCACTGATAAAATAGATTACGCAAGCGCAGACTTAAGGATACTCATCAGATAAGCACCCTATGTTTCAATCATTTGTTCACCATTTTCTCTAACACGCTCTTACCTTGCGTACAAACGATGTTGGTGAATCCTAACTCGTGAATGTTGTACAGGTCAACATACCGCCTAGTAGACTGTTTTCTTTTTCTCTTCCTGTCCGTGGATCGTTTGGCATTTCTGATCTTTTGGATTCTTTTGGGAGCGATGCAACAACCCAGTGCAACGATCAGGACAACGAAAACAAGTACGGAAAACGTGGTTGTAACTATAGACACAGTCTTATTTTGATGTTTCATTGACTGACAGATTATTCCGTCTCCATGGTAACCATTTGGACAGAAGCATCGATACGAGCCTTCTGTGTTAATGCAGTCAGCGCTTTTGTCGCATACACTGTGCGCTTGCGCACATTCATCAATATCAGAACAGTTAAGAAACGCGTCTCCTTGGAAACCAGGTTTACAAGCACACTGCCATGTTAGGTTTGAATTGATAAGTTGAGCATTTTCTACGCAGACTTCGGACATATTAGAGCAAAAACATTTTCCTTGTGAAGAGCTGCACACCATTTCATACAACATGCCAATACTGTCATTATGAAATTGACATGTGTCAAGACATGATGGACCCGCCCACTCGCTCGCGCACTTGCACGTTTTTCCACCCAAAAAGCACTTGAATGACTGTTGGCAACAATCACATGTGCAATTCATCTCAGACCTGTTTAACCCTGCCAATGTTCTTCCGCTTAACCTCTTGGGAAACTTGCACTTGACCTGTGGCCAGTGATAAAATACGGTGGGATCATCGTTAAGCCATTCTTTCATCCAAAGCATATCACAAGTGCATTCTAGTGGATTGTTATTAACAGCAAGCTTCAATTGAGGCATAATTTTCTTTAGATTCATACCATGAAACACTCGAACTTTGCAAAAACTCACATTGAGGAATTCCAAGGAACGTAAAGTGACGAAAACATCCAAAGGAATAAACGCTACTAGGTTTCCACTGAGGTCTAGTTTTTTAAGGGCCTTTAACGGCTTCATGGCCTCTTTTGGTACAAAAGTAAAATTGTTATGATTTACGGAAAGGAATTTCAAGTTTGTACATTCAGAAAATGCCTCTTCTTCAAGAGAGCTAATCCTGTTGAAACCAAGATTCAGTGTATGAAGTGACGAAAGTTTACTGAAATGATTCGGTAAGACTGCACCCAACTCATTTCTAGATAAGTCAAGATAAATCAGTTGTTTGAGGCCGCTGAATGCTCCTTCGCTGATTACAGAAATTTCATTCGCACTCAAATCAAGATTGATTAGGGAATTCAAACTCTGGAAAGTTCCATTATGTAGTTGAGTGATCCAGTTTCGATCAAGATACAGATTCAGTAGGTTTTTCAACCCTTCAAATATACCTGGGGTGAGGTCAGTCAGTTTGTTTGCTCCCAGATTCAGTGTCTGTAACATTTTGTTATTTAGAAAGCTCCTTTGTCCAATAAATGACATATTGTTTCCTTCCATGAATAATTCTCTCACGTGCCGAATCTTCTCCATTTCAATAGCGTTTAATCTTGAAATCGCGTTGAAACTGAGGAGTAGTCTACCAGTGTTAATTGGCAATTCTGCTGGGAATTCATTGAGGTTTCTTTTGGTGCAGTTGATCGCAACTAGGGGAAGGTTGTAGTTCTTACCATGTTCTTGCACAGTTAAGTTGTTGATGTTTGATGTATAGCTACATCCCGAAGTGTAAAATGATCCAGTATTTTCATGGGCATTAAAGAGTTTCTTGGAAAGTATGTGAATCAAATAAAATAGAAACACAACGCGAAAATAATCTATCATTTTGAAATATGTTGAGGCAACGGTAAAAAATCCCGTCCCGTGAAAATCTTGAAGCCGGTTCACTTTATCGAGAAGAATCGGTTTGCGTGAGGGAACACTTTGCGTAGGGGAAAAGAGTAATTAAAGACGTTTGCGCACCAAATTTCCTTATATCGCTTTGGTTATTTCCGAATTCAGTTGAAGAGGTATTTCATTATTCCAGACGTTTCTCAAGTAAACTTCAATCCTTTCCAGTAAACTGCCATTGACCATTAAATTTCTTTTATATATGCGAACACCCTTCGGTTAAACTTGAGGAATAAAATGAAAAAAAAAAATTTTTTTATCTCGGAATTGCTTGTTTGCGTGACCTCAGCAGTTTCAGCGTTAATTGTTTAAAAGACATCTCAACGTGTCTCTGACAAATCTGCGGAATCGCTCCAGGGGTCGGTAATACATGATCTCATTTTTGTTATTAATCGATGCTAATGAAAGCGTCGCCAATCTTATTTAATTTCTTATGCTACCAATACGGCAGTCCAAGAGATCTTATTCTCTGAAGGCAGTATTTTTTTCAAAGATCCCTTTTTCTAATGCTTGAGGAATGGCAAATTATTGAAATTACCAAAGGAGATAAACTTCAGTTCTTTAGCGACTTCCTGTTTGTTTCGCCGAAGCTGCGTCGATGTGGTTGTGTAATAACATCTACAGGCGCAAAAAAAAGAAGGTTGTAACATATGAATCAGTATTGCTTTTCAGGAAGAGTGTAGTTGCCAGAGAAATAAGGGTCTTGGTACTGACCGGGCATGCGCCGTACATGTTCATGGTTTGAAATGGGAAGTGTTCGTGATAACGCGAGACGAGCGTTATTCGCGTGCTTTAGTCAGTCACTACCTTAAAGAGATGTATAGAGAACAGTATGGAGAATATGCTTACTGATGTTCGGGTGTTAAGGGCACACAGGATCGAAGGAACATTACCAGGATCTGTGGTGCGTACTTATTAGCTCTAGCCAATCAAACTTGATCTGATTTCTGCTAATCCCCTCAAAAATGCAAAACAGTACAACAGGTATATATTGAGGACCAGTCCGGTGACGTCTTTATTAAAAATGATAGTTTTCTAAAAATTCTTAAATTGAAATGGCTCCTACCAACTACAACGATTTTAGTCGACTTTCAAGTTGCAAAAGAATTTCACTACTTTCTGACAATTGCTTCAAGCTAACTATACCACAGCAGAGGTTGTTTACAGTATTCCTCTTCAAATTTACATCACTGATAATAATTATGTAACCAAATTTACTGCAGAGTGTTCGCATTGGAGTACTCTTGAATGTCTGTCAGTATGTTTAAGCCTGACTATGCAATTGAATTGCTTAAAATTCATAATTACTGGAGAGGTGTACATTCTGTGCTATCAAGTTACTAGCAACCCTCTAAAAACCCCAGAAGGAGAGCAAGAGCTCTTGATTGTTCAACAAATTCTCCTAGATAGTAATATAGGGAATGTGTGGAGGATGATAATGAGAATATGCATACTGATAATAGAGAGTAGAGTGTATTCACTATCCAGGAGATAACTATACTCAAACTGAAATATTTTATATTAAGGACCAATAAACAATGTGGTCACTGAAAAAAAAACAATATTGTAAATCATAACAAAAACAAAAACAATAACAATAACAGAAAGATTGAAATAAAAAATCTACTTATTTCAACTGGCTTCTACTACATCAACACTACGAACAAAAATTTTAAAAAATGAAAAGGTAGGAAAAGTTAACAATCAAACCCTTTATGTGGTTGTTCATATGTTGAAGCATCAAGATATTGAGAAACTTATTTCTCTTTAATTATTTAGCTCTTGTGCATCATGTAGAAAAAACTACTATAAGATAGAACCTTATATTTGTTTACACCAATTCTCCAGTCAATTTTCATAACCACATCACAATTCACACCTCAGAGAATATTCATCACCAACAAACTAGACCTTCAGTATTGATCATCACAATCAGTAATTTAAGCCTGAAATTTATAAAATTTCCTACTAATATTATTTCACTCTCTGTAAGATATTTTTTTTTCATAATTTTGAAATTTTCAACACACACAAACTGAGAAATTCTTCATTCAAAATTAATCCTTAACAGACAATTATCATATAAATGAATTAAATCCCCTTGCAAAATGACAACAAAGTAATTTTTTATTTTTAGCTGTGTTGGTTGTGGTAAATAAAAACAAATGCAATATTAAAAAAAAAAGTTAAAATAAACCAAAAGGCTGAGAAAGTGCCAGCCAAAATTTCAAATTCTCAGTTTGTCTAATTTTGAAAATTAACCTAAAAAATAGACACCAAATCTATAAATTGCTAAACTTGTAATAAAGGTGGTGATATGCTTCTACAAAAATGGCAGGAGGGTTTCTTTCCATTTTCAAGAGGAAACGGACACCACACCTTACGCATCATAAAATTGACCAAAAACACCAAAAAAATTCCCCCCACGGCATCCACACCATAGTGGTGATTTGAATACAGAGCAGCCCATGTGATCCAAACAACATGAAACATTGCAAACTTTTCATTTATCCAGGGTCCACTAACTAATATTACTGCTGGCCATGCAACGTGCAGTGAAGGAAATGCTCCAAATGGCAATGGAGAAGCTGCATAAAGTCCGTGAAAGAATGGAACACCTAATGCTGCATCAAGTCTGTGAAATCCCGCTTCATTAGCTCCTGCTTTGAGAACATCTCCCATGGGACTAAAAACAACTGAGTCCACATACCAAGGTGGTGCTGTTGGGAAGAGGAACTGTATGATGGTTGCGACGAGATTCACCCATCCTGCACACCAAAGAAACGGAAACACTCCACGAATGCTATGATTGCTTACAATTTTGAATAAGATGAACAGGAATGGAAGAGCAAAATGAAATATATAAGGAACTGCAGCAACACAGTCAAGTGCGGGATGTGCAAATTTTGCCAGCATTTGATGAGGAAGGCAATGGAAGACTAACACTTCCATCCAAGGTAAGAAAGTATGGTTGGGTTTTGTCACTTTGCCAAGTCCTAAAATTGTCCGTAGGAGTGAATAATTCGAATAGACTAATAGATAAGACAGAAATGGGATGGCGGCCAATAAGGTGTCCTTGAAAGGAATCTTTTTTATCTTTCTTGGTAGTTCTTCAAACCAGGAGGTTACTTCAGCCTATAGAGAGAGAAAAAAATAACTTAAAGTTGTGAGACTATTTCCCTCTAAAGTCCTATCTAAACAAGCATCAATCATTTTCAACATAAAGCAAGTCATATTGATGGCTCAAAAATAGGGGTTGACCAAAGATCAGAAAACTCAACCTTTGTACCAATTTGATCCTTTTAGAAATTCAAGAATAACAGCAGAATGTGGCAGAGGGTTCAATATCAGGAAAATTCTGCAGCTTTCTAGCTTCCTCAACCACATACCTATAACTGACAATATTGAAAGGCACCTAAAATAAGAAATGCTGAAATTTTTTAACTATTTTCTAGATTTATCATCTTCCAGTGATAAATTTCTGTGTTAAAATAAGTAATTTTACATCACTAAGAACACTGAAGTTGAAATTTTTTTCCATCTTAGATTAAGGATCATGGATTTTCACAAAAACAGATTACAGAGTGATACAAATAATTGCTAGACAAGAGTAAATGTGAAAATGGACACCTCTTGCGAATATTGCACAAGGCATTCTTTGATAGAGCTGCCATTGTTGTAACAGCTTGTCATGATTGATCAAACAATTTCTTGATTACAATCCACAAATATATATATAAAAAAAAAGGTTAAAGCACATGGAAAAAAGAGATTTGCAGCAAACAAAGCTTTAATCTCTCAATCAAAACAAGAATGTGTATACTAGCATGATTTGCAGATGTTTTCAATTATCATTCACATTTGATTTAGATGCAACTTCCTAAAAACAACCCTGACAAAGAAAATAAAATTCGCAGTTTGCATCAATTTTCCAAATTAGCACTGTTGCAATTTTTATTAGGCCTTTCCAAGCAAATGTTAATTTCGTGATTCAGTGATCATGATAAGCGATTAATTTTGGCATTGGCACTGCTTCCCAAAATGTCAGCACCCTAACCGCAGCTAAGAAGACCAAATTCAAGCTACACTTAATCTACTTGTACTCTAAAAACATTAGAATTTGATTTACTAATTTGACAAATCTTTCAGGCAGACTTCGAACGGTTTGAAAACATCACACCCATTTCGTGGCAGATCAGATGCATGTGCGTGACCTTTTTGAAGTGTATCAAGTTCCAGTAAGTTCTCTGACTCGAGGTACATCCTCAAGCAAGAGGAACTTCAAAAAAAGGTTGAAATCTTAATACATTTCCTTCGAAATACTGAACCACAACACAGCAGTTGATTAAAACGTCACAGTTTGTTTTTAATATCCGATGCAAATCAACGGAGTGTTCTTTACATGTCGCAGACCTCCCTAGAGTCAGCACGTCATCTCATTGCGCAAAAACGATGCCGCATTAGTATCCGATTTTATAATAAATGAATACCTTCTTGAAGCAATGAATAAGCCTGACATTACGCCTTGAGGCTGGGAGAAGGAGAATATTACAAGAGCCCGACTTATCAATTATTCAAGCAACGTTGGAATAATTCTACGCTTCGTTGGCCCCAGGGAAAAGTACTAACAACTGGAGCAGGATCCGAATTCATAACAAAATGTTCACACGGAAATCGCAACTTATTGTCACATGAGCAATGATATCCGACTGAAAAATTCTGTAGCATTCAATTGCGTGCACATGTCGATACAACTGTGCAAAGAAATTTGGCGATTTCTGGCAAAACAAACGACTACTCTCGCTCGATCGTCAAATCATCTAATGACGAAAACAGTTTCTCGTAGCAAAACCTACCTGCTTGGTTTCCCAATAAATTTCAAACGCTTCCTTCAGCGATCTTGCAAAGCGATTCCATGAAATCAGAATCTGCAAATAAAAATATGCAATCGGTATGAGCACGTGAAAAACAAGCCCTGGGAAATTGCAAAGTATTGAGGAGACTGTTTTAACTCTTTACACATGAAATGCACATGGGAGGTAACATTCACGAAACGTGCAAAGCAAAACATGTAAATTACCCTTCCAGTTTTGTCGTGGATCATAACGTTCTTATCCCCTCGAAAATGCTTTCCAGACCTCGTTGTCATAGTGCTTAGTACTTTATTTATTTTCAAACTGAAATGTTTGTCTTTCTTGAAGCAGCTAGTCGGTAAACCACGAGTACTTTCAATAATCAAAGCGCGCCAAGTCAAACTTTATTCCAACGATTCTCCAAAACAAATCTCTCTTTAGGAAATGGCACTAACTCCACAGCGTCTCTTTCCCGTAAACTTTCAGAAGCAAAGTGTTTATGCCTAATGGCTGCTCGTATCTTCTCTCCAGGAAATGTTGTGTCAGGAAAAGTTGTGAAATACAACCAATATGGCGTTCGTCGAGCGGGCGTGTCGCGAATCAACAAAACGAAGTTAAATCCAAACGTCCAAATTCAGCTTCAAATCAACGGGTTAAGCTCTTTCGACAGAAAAGATACTAAGAAACAAGTTTCCTTGAACTGTATGGAGTTTCTCGGGTAGAAAGGCGTGTTCGATCGTACGAACTTCCCTCTCAACCACTCGCTCACTCCATTACGGTGAGTTGTTGAGAAAGAAAGGTGAAGGGAAGCATGCTGGGAAATAACTTTTGTTACCATAACGATAAGGCAGATAGCGCAAAGTCCAACGCGCAACGTCATCGATAATTTTTGCTTGTACCGGAAGTCGTTGGCGCACACGCTTCATTCACACCTTTTTCTCAGCTAATTTCAAGTGGAATAACTCTGTGGAGAGATTTTTCAATGATAACGTGTAATTTCCCGGAGTCACGTCTGAGATTTCGAGTCTTTTCTTTTTCATTAAAGGCTCTCGTCGTCTTCAGCACGAAAATGGAATTTAAAAAAAAAATCATTTTCCCTTTACCATATTTGGTCACGAGGTTCGATTTGGGTTTATGATTGTGAATTCTCTTATCGTTTTTTCTTCACGATACCCAAACTAAGCTATGAGGTGCACGTAGTGTGTAATCACCCACTCTTGAGTCAATTCAACGTTGAAAAAACGATGAGAGAAAAGACAATGAGAAATCAGAAATAATTATTGAAGACAAGTCAAAAAGGAGATTTATGAACAAGAAAAAAAAAAAAAAAAGAAATCGACAAGCACAACCTGCTGAAGTGGACTTTCATTTCATTTCTGTCTTTCAGATCACGTGTGGGCAGTCTTTTTATATCCCCCTCAACTCAATTTTTATGCTAAATTTATTAGACCGTCGCAATCGATCGTTTCCGCTTAATTGATTATCTGCTGCTAGAAAGTTTCAAAAGAGTGAAAGCAGCTAAATGACTCCAATTTGATGGCTCGTTGATCGAAATCAGCGGCCCAACCATTTAAGCGCAATGTTTGTCACGAGTTTGAGGAAAAGTTTATCAGCTAGCCCAAAGGGAGTCGATTCCCAAACCTTCCCTTTTTTGTGCTCCGGAAATATCCCTTATAATGACCGGGAACTTCATTGTGAGCTGAACTATAACTAATTTTATGTCAAGAGTACTGCATACTACCAAGATCAGCAATGCCCAAATGGTCGAGGAAATGAATAGAAAAGAGAGATTGTAAAAGTCTACTTCGATCTATGACCGATCTCAACTCTTCTCTTATTCTTCAGATTGAAATAATTTTCTCGGCCCATCACGATCTGTTCATGTAAAATATCCGCATGCATACTTGGGCCTGACCGCAGCCGACCGCAGCCGACCGCAGCCCGCCTCCGCTTACAATTCCAAGTAAGGCTCGCTTCAAATTAGAATAACCGGAAATGTTTGGACTTCATATCACTCTTTTCGATTAAGTTCGCAACAAATTGTCTTTCCTGCACTACATGCTAGTTTCCATGGTTTTCTCGGAAGAAAAATGCTGCAAGGGTTGATACGTGTTTAAATATGTCTTAGCGACAGGAAATTATATTTGTAGTGAAGGTTACTTTCTATTTTTTCCGAAAAAACAAAACAAAACAAAACAAAAACAAAACAAATTATAATAATACAGAACCTTTGGCACCCAAGCAAACATTGTTCCATTATCGCAGAAAAAAAATCACTTACAAAATGCGGAAACTACACCAAATTCAGTCTCCTTAATACGTCATTGCTGATAAAGAATAAATCAGACATAACAAAATGATTATTTAGCGATTCGTTGAAAAACTTGCGAGGGAGCTGAATATTCTTGATATTAGAAGCAGCGGAAAGTGAACATTTTTGTCCTCATAAGATAATGGAAGGCAAGTGCTAATATAAGTAGCTGGCGTTACTGATGCATAGATAAGAGATATATTCTTGCTCTTTTATCTTTTTCCTTCCTTTCCATCTTTTTTTTTTAACAACCCACCGTTGAATACATTGCTAAAGATCCTATTATAATTAGACTTAACTCACCTTGCGTGGTTTCATCACCCAGCGTTAGTGAGAGATGTGCTCTAAGATTATTGCACCCTCATTCTTGCCTTTCTTTGTTCGAAACTACGTCTGAACTAAATGATAGATTCGAAATAACAACTTGGTGTGATAAAACTTTATCCCAATTATCTACAATTCAAGAATTGATGAAAGCGTGCTTATGATTGGCTGAAACTCAATTCACTTGAGAGCTGTATAAATTGCTTAAAATCTTTCTTTCTTGTCAGATAGTGATTTCTTAATTTCCCCGCTAGTTGTTTCATCTATAAATAGTTCTTCCCTGTGAGATTTTTATCGGATCTCATTCGGATGCCACTGAAACAGCGCTGGATATTATAGAAGCTTTTAATCGTTTATATGGCAACACTGATTCTCTTGAAATACCGGCCTGTTAAATTCAGTGAAGCTGTGTACACAGAGACCCAGGATGTATGAGCTTTATATATCAATATTTACCGTTGGTTTGCAACCTCAACACAAAACCCTACTAATTAGCTCTCGTTTTATCGGGTTGTTAAAAAGGCCTCATAACCAAGCAAATGAATGAATATATAACACAAGTGTTTTTAATGTTTAAATGAAAGCTGGACGGTGTTAAATTTATCAAGATTTCATCGAACTCTTTTTGCAGCAGTGAAAAACCTTCCTAGTCAAGGCGACAATGAGGCGTTGATCCTAATGTTCTGTTAAACGGTTAGAAAAAAAGCACCGAAAAAAAAAACCCGAAAAAACAAAAAAAATCACTGTTTACATGAGAAAGTTAACTTTTATCCCCTGTCCGTCCAGTCCTTCCAAAGCAGCCCCTGTTTCAGAAACCCAACCACCATCCCTATTCCGCCGAGCGCATCCCGTTGCCCTGCCCCCGTCATGATCCCCGAGCTTCCACCGGCTTCCAACAGCGGGGGAGATAGTAATACAGTTAATGGTCAGACAAAAGTTCTTCTTTCAAGTTAACAACGTAGTCACGGTTTTCACAAATGCTGAAAACCGAGTTTTTGTTTCATCCATATTTCCGTGTTGGTCAAAGCTTCGATTAAATCATCGTCCATAGCGCTACTGCGCGAGCGAAATGTGAGCTGCAGCTGAAATGACAAGTGCACAAGCTGAGGTCTCCCCTTCGCGTTAGTCCTTGCGCGTTCGCTCTATCTTTTCACCAAAGCGGGCGCGGATACGCACACACGTGCGCGCGCACGCATACACTCTCACACACGCACGCAAAAGCACGACGGCTGTTAACATACTTCGTTGGTCATACACTTCCTTCACGTGACATATAATTCAGCTCCAACACCTTTCTTTGTACAATGATGAAGTTGTAAAAATACTCAATGAGGATGCATTTTTACATGTCAATTCAATATATCTTTTAAAAATAATCAAGTTCTGGATAAAACTCTTTTGTTTCCCTGTGGCCAGCCTTCGTTACTATGTATTTTTGTCTTTTACATTTAAACTTTTATGAAAAACCTACAAATCTACTTATTACACTATAAGAGATATGACAGCCCACTGCAATTAACAAAGCGGTCAAACGTCTGCGCATGCGCGAATTTTGTAATGATAAGGTGGCTGTCAGAACCAAATCGCCTCACACGAAGTACAAACAACCAACCCCATCTGGTAAGTCACTGCGAATTAAAAGCGCGTAACATTTTTGGTAAAGCTTAAAACATAATGTTAAACAAAATAACTGTACTTGAAAACCCTTCGTGTTTGAAGAGTTTTTCTTTTTCCCTACTTTTGGTTCCTTTTGCAGATTTTCCTGAACATTTCAATTTAATTCAGCTTATTTTACGATGGATTACGTGTTCCTTTGAAATTTTGAGCGAGAAATTGGCGTTCGACTGGCTAAAATTGATCCCTTGCGCATGCTCGACGTTTGACCATTGTGTTACAACAGTTTCGATGGGTCTATTAGAACCTATTACCAGTCGCTGATCGGGAAACGAGCCCACGCTCTTCTTCAAAACTTCTTCGGATGATCCAAGTTAATAATCTCTTGGAAGATCGGAAGACAGTTCTGAGAAAACGACGGAAATCGAGCACATGGGTCGATACTATTACTCTATATAATATTTTAAAATGCGGCACAATAATACTGATCATGAACTAAACAACCTTGTTTTGATTTCATCAAGATTCTTCCTAGGCTGAATGATTTGTCATGTGACTTGCCTTGCTCTATCCTAACAACTAATCAGAATGCAGCTTGGTAATTCTATAAATTAAAGTGTAACTGATCTGGAAACCTCAAAGTGGGTTTTATCTGTTAGTGTTGTCACTTCCTGCTTGTTAATCATCATGTCACACTCCACTTCTTCTTTAAAAATCCGTGAACTTTCCATTGTAATGATATGAACTTCATCAGTCCCTTATCCACCCATACAATTTACTTTTAGTGATTATGTACCCTAAAGCCTTATTGAACTATTACAGGAGTATTGTTTTCTCTCTTCTATTGAAAAAACAATGCAACATGTCGCAGAGTTCTCTTATCTTCGAACTCAAGGTTAAAATGTACTCTGTTGTTTACGAGTTCTTATCTATTAGTCAACTACCGTTCATTTTTTCTAGTTAGAGGTTTTGATGGCACAAATTTTTCACCATTCAGACCTTGTCTCTTACAAATAAAAATTTACCTTTTCGTTAGACATTGAATATAGTGTTTGCCTTATTCGTCACTGCCGAAGTTTGAATTCCAGGCAATGTTTTGTCAGGATTTTGTTTCGGGGAGGTCTTGTCAACTTTTTGACGTGCAGTCACGGTCCAATTTTTCCAACAGTTAAGATCTGAACGTATTCTGCATCAGTAACACCAAACCATGACTGAGAATTTTATTGCTATGGTGCCACAAGGCGCATTGATGAGTCAACAGTTTCAGCCGAGGTACTTTTCATGCAGATGGTCAGATGTGATCGATCAAATGAAGATTCTTGCCCAGGACTAGTTTAGCAGCCAATTTTTTTGAAAGAATTGTCTGAAACCCAAGTTTTGCCAAAATCTTTGGCTTCACGAAATCTTGAAAATTTATGGTCTTTTTCAATGTTTTCACGTCTGGACAATGGAGAACCTTATTCGAGGTGATTCCTGCAAAATCGTTCCCAGCTGCATCACTATCATTTCCACAGCAAAGGTAAATCACTCAATAGTCATGGAATCGTGGTTTACAGCCTGAAAACTTTTTTCCTAACACAGTGTTGAGTTCTCTGTCACGGAATAAACAGTTCTCTGATCCGAGGAGATTGCAAGAAAATACTCATTGCTGAAACAGACCCAATCACAACCGACGCTAACAGCAAAACTCGATCTAAGATCCTGGCCGCATCCTGCCATTGCTTTTTGTAAAATTCTTCCTTGTTGAAGTCATACAAAGGAAACTTCGCCTCCGATATCTGTACCTCCGTAGTCTCGGTTTCAGAGTCCTGCGGTTTGCGTTTGACCGAGCGCTTCCTGGTGACGTGATTCGTTGAAATGTTCCCATTTTGGGCCAAAGGCACTTGGTCACGTCCCACGCGAGCCTCCTCGAAAAGGTCCATTTCATACTCGATTGATTCTCTTTCCAAATCAAAAGCGTCGTTTCTTTTCCTGTCACTAGTTGTGTTTGATTGCATTATCTTTTGCGTGCTGTCATTTAAAGCGTCACCGCTGGCCGGATGCCGGTTGTAGGTGGGCTCATATCGCACGATCTTGGCCAGCCATTCAAGCACGATCTTTTGGAACCAACTCGGCATCTTTGTGTTTCGGTGGTGAAAATTTAGAATGATGCAGGTAGCGCCGAGTGCTGTACCTATCTCCATGATGGACACTGAGTAGTACATAGCTAGATAAAGGCAAATCAAACAGGTATTAACAGAAGCGTTAGCGAGATTTACTACAGAAGGGGTCCTTACCTGTATTTAGGGACATGCACGGTTGTCTATTATTATTATTATTATTATTATTATTTACAACTTTTTCTTAACAAAGTGTATCTTTGAAGGGGGGGAGAGCCAAAACTAGTGTTTTATTGGCATTTAGGAACATTCCCTTTTGTTATATTATCATATGCGAGAGAATATTTTATTCCCTTGTCACTTAACATACGGCTCCTGGTCCCTTGCACTCACCTAACAGAGGGAAGTGTTCAGAGCTTGAGGGAAGCTTCTCAGAGGTCAGTTCTTGGAACACGGCCATCGATAAAAGGATAGTAATACCAAGGCCCACTCGTTCTCCCGACTCTGCTGGAAGAATAAACTCTAGGAAGATGGTGCAAGCTATGAGAGTACAGGGCAAGATAAGGCTCATTACGTAATAGTAGGTGCGTCTGCGCAGTAGCATCGTGACGGTCAAATCGGCGACGGGTAAATCGCAGCAGTCGTTTTCTTTCTGTCGAAAGAAGAATAACTTGAACTTACTATGGGTCGCCTCAGAAATCAAGTGAAACAGTTTCACACTTGATTAAGCAAAGAATTCTGTAAGAGCTTGATACCAAGATGGAGAGAAAGCTTACCGTGTTTTGTCAAGCTACTGCTGTAGCTTGACGAAATTTTTAGGCATGTACGTTTCTCGCAGTTCACAACAAATTTAGATTTAAAATGTTATTGCAATCACCGGTACCTCAAACGATGAAAGTTTCTCTCCCAACCTAGATATCATAATTTTGTTCTTAAACTATATCAATTTTCAAAGACTTGATAGAGTTACGTTTGGTGACTGTGTGGTGTTTATTGTTATCAGAGATATTTCATTAACAAGGTTGGTAGTGGGAACATTACCAACCTTTTCCCTCCAAAATCAAGTTATTGGTAGGAATTTGAAAAAAAAAAATGAAAATTTCTGATTTATCTCTATATGTCTTGATTGTTGCGAATGACATCACATAAATCGGGCCTGGTTGTTCAAAGCTGAGTTAAGATAACCCAGGGTAAGTGTGAAATCTAGTCACAGATCTGAAAACTTTACAAGAAAACTCAGTATATTTCGTTTTTTTTAGAACTTGATTATTGGATGATCTTAAAAGAATAGAGAAAATCACTCAAAAAGTTTTTGAACAAAGGAAAGAAAAAACCCGGATTAAAAATTTAACCCTGGGTTAATGCTAATTGACCTTCGAACAACCTCCTACCCTTTGAAGTATTTTATAATGTATCATAAAATTTGCAAGGAAGTTATAATTTATCAGTTTTAACGAACCTCGTGCCTATCGATGGTAATCCATTCCACCGTCCATTCCTCGTTTTCCTGGAACACGTCGGATCCTCTATCTTTTTTAGCTACAGCTTTTTCTCCAGGCAGACCTTTCCTTTTTCTCAAGTCCATTGTGTTCACATCATGTGACCAAGAGGCGAAAACCATTTTACACTGCTGCTCATCAAATGGAAAATACTTGACGTTGATGTTGCACATGCTCTTGTAGATGATGTGAGCCCGCCATGTTTGGTTTCCATCATGGCGGACCTTGACGCTCGTTGTGAACCCGGATGTTGCTTTTAAGCTGAGTCGATCATCAGCGCTGAGAAGAGGGATAAAAATCGTTTAACTGGTCAGAATTGTCGATTTAGAGGGATTACTTGCTATTTTTACCTTTTTAAGGATGGAAGCTGAAAATCAGAAGAGGAATCCCTAGGAAAGAAAAGTTTGAATTGAAAGGAGATCTGAGAAATAACTGTCAATTATCGAGTTTTACCGGTACTTGTTGCAACACTGCAAGCCGTGTGTAGATATGATATATTTCGATATTCAAACACATAACAAGATGGTTCATGAGAGCTAATCCAAAGGCTTCCGTAGAATTAAGTTTTTTTTCAAAGCAAGCCATAGTAATTTCAGAGATGTCTCTTCACACTGTGTTTACACACAGGTTGTCCCAGGCTAGTGGTTATGAATGTGTTTGTAGTTTCTTAAGAAGAAACTCTCAATGGCAGGTGACCCAATGAAATCCAGAATGACCAGTGGACTGATAGAAAGAGATACAGATAGTTAAGAGGAAGAAGAAAGAAAGACGGAAAGACATTAATGCGTGCTGCAAACCGACAAACAGATAAATAAAGGATGACTGACATCAACACAGACTGGTCGAAGGTAAATCAAAAAACAGCCCAGGCTACCGACAGACCGATACATTAGACGGAAAAGTACAAATTAAAGACACCATACACACAGACGGACCGAAATTGACGCCAGACAGACGAGTTCAAATACAAGGTAATTTGGTTTTATCAACTGATTTGATTACGTAAATTGGCCACCTCATGTTAAAAGCTATAAAGCTAACGTTCCGAGCGTTAACCCTCTCTCGGCGAAAGAAACCCTTTACGGTGGCCACTTCCAGTTTTCAACCGAGTTGGTAAAACCAAATTACCTTGCTGTACCCTCTCACCGACGCAGCACCACAGTTTACCCTCATAATTCATCGAGGCACAAATACAGTAACTCATTCAAGACGTCATCAAAGCGAGGCTTACTTGTTGTACAAAACGATGTCAGGTACCCAAAGCATTTCGGGAGGAATGTTCATCACCTTGTTTCCTCCGTAATCCTGTGGTTTCCACGTCATATAAGGATTGTTCCAGTCCTGCGAAGAAAAGCTTGGCGTTATTCTTAAAAAAAAAATGACTTGAACATGGCGTTACCGAATAGCAGGGCATCCCCGCACTACATTGGTTAGACAATTCAGCGATAAATGGTTAGTCGATAACTTATCGAGAACAATCGTCCAAAGCTGTCACTCGATAAAAAAATCAACAGTAAACGACAACAGAAGCATCAGCAAGTCTGATCGTTTAATTACAGTTTATTTAAACAGGTTTTGCATCAAAGAGTCGTATTTATAAATAATTTTTTTATAATTTTCTTGTTGTACAAAATTACATAATCACAATGCTACAAAACTGCAAGAGTACATTACTAGAGCACAACAAACTTACTATAATATTCATAATTATTATTTGTTCATGCTGGGCAAATATCAAGCAAGGAAGGGACAGACTTACCAGGCGAATCCAAAAGTGAGTCTTAATTATCTGTTCTTTTTCGTCCTGCATAATTCAAGATATTCATCAAATTAGTGCCGGGCTAAGCATCGTGACCATCCTCGTGTCTAAATACGTTACCATAGCAACATAATTTCATTTCGGAAACATTTTGAACTGTAAACTGAGATTCGCTGACCAGCATAACACATGGCTCGGATTTGAGCTCAGCCTAATTTTTCGCATTCGCATCCGAAGGAGTAATATTTTTTTTCAAGCTCCTTTTTAAATTTGTACATTTTTCTTACCACTTTAGCTACGCCAACTAACTCAGCACTGAAATCGATGACAATTGGTTTGGAGAGATCCTTTACAGGACGGATAAGTCTGCGGGTCCTGTAGTTCTGAAGCAGATGATCTAACAATCTTTGTTCTTGAGTAAGGTTACCATGGTGTTCTACCAAAAAAAATAAAAAAGATAATTCATGCATTGTTTTTTTTCAACATACGTGAAATGTCTTTAATATGTGACATTTTGGGACAGTTTTCAATTGAAAATAAAGTAATCTGGGATTGCTTTTATTTTTCTTTACTCTTTTCTGTGATTGGTTTAGAGAACCATCGCTCCACTTTCTTGACCAATCAGCTGCAAAACACAATTTAATCACAACACGACTTGGTGGCCAGCGTTTTCCCGCGCTTTGAGCAGTTTGGTTGTTTTTACTTAGAGTTCTCATTGGCTTTTAAAGGTATTTTCCTTCATTTAATTGGTTTTCGTCAATGATTACTTTGGTTTTGGTTTTACGACACCCAATCGAAAAGAGCTTTAAGCTTTAATACACCTACAGCGCATGTTGCACACGTTAGACTTAGTGGCCAAACCTTCGATTGAGAACGAGGACATTTCCTCATTTTCACAGATGTTTTGACAGTAGCTTGGTCTAAATTACTCGAAAAACCGGTCGAAAAGCTGTGTCCAAGACAAATGTTACTAAGAGCACTTGTTGCGTTAGATAATCTACCTCTCTTGAACCAAAGGCGTTTGTTCCAACATGTGCAAGGGACGATCTTTGTTCGCCTTTCATGTGCCTTTCAAAAACCGTGCAAAATTTTTACAATTTATTAGTGATTGTACAAATTGGCGAGTTGAAGCCTAGTTTTAAAATAGGACAAAGTGTTCTATGTATATGTCGTTCACGGCGACTTGCCGAACAGATTTTAGTCTTACATATACAAAACACCATGTGTCAAGTGTTTGTCGCGTGTGACAAAAATTGCCAAAAAATATTCTCTAGAAATGAAAGTTCCTAAAGCAACATCGAGTGGAATGAAACGGAGGAGACACCTAAATTTTCACTTGTAAAATAAGGAATAAATTGTGTTGCTGTTTCGTAAAGCTTTTCGCCAAAACAATGAATCTCCAATCCGCTCCTTTTACATCGCGTCTTACCCCAAATTGTGGTTTTAATTAAAGTTTAAAACCACAGATGAGGCTCGCTTTTCAGTTTTCAATCAATCGTTACCATTGTATCTTCCAATATCTCACTCAATCGCAAAACATTCTCCATAGAACTGAGCAAAAGAAGGGCTCTTCATTTATTTTTATAAAATATTCAGAGGGTAAAAGTAATTAGAGGTTAGTGGTTAAAGAAAAATTTGTCAAAATAAGGGTTAATGAAAGCTCAAAAATAGTATTTTTAAGTTAAAAATGGCAGAGCTAATCTGGGGTAAATACATTGGGCTTTGGAAAGGAGGGTAAATTTTAAAGCAATAACCTTTGACCTGTCAAAGACACAAATAACAGATTCTAGATCAGAAAAAATAGACACCGTAAATCTGAGATTGGAAATAAACTAAGTTTTAAATTCTTTTATACATACTAAATTATCGTAACGTTTTATTTTAGGACTCAAAGTATGAAAAAATAAAAGTCAATGCAACGCCATAAAACTCGTAAAATAAAATAATTTTTATTAACCATCCTTTTTGAATGATTCGATTAAATATCAGCCGATAATGATCTTTAAGTAATCAAAAATCGCTGGCGGCATATTTATGAAGAGAAAAGCTGAAATACGGATATTAATTCTACGCATGAACCTATCTCAGTAATCGAGAAAGTGGTACCTCTTTCTTTAAGGATCTTTGATTTAAAGACGTTTTATAAAATAGGTACTTTTGCATTGCCATCCATAAGCCGTGTTCGCCAAACCTTTGACTGTTACGCCAAAAAATTAAAATGCAGTGAACGTTTCTCTTTTTAGACTGACGATCAAACAAAACCATTAGTATTACAATGGAGACCCCTGATAAAAGCCTGATGTGTTATTATGTTAAACATAAAACACTATCTCCCCTTTAAACATATGATTTGAAAATGCATTTTCATCTCGCTGTTTAATTAGTTACCTCAACAATTCTTAAAACTAGTGATTTTTTTAGGTCAGTTCTTATAAAGAGACATTAAAAGTCCTTAATAGAACATAGGATACAATGAAATTTTTGGAGATAACCTGCTAATCAAACTCAGCACTAGCTGAAACTTGTCTTCATCACACGACGCAATGCGTGATCTGCTATAACTGAAATTCAATTTAGCCAGCAGGTATTCCAGCACATTTCAGATTGTCTGACGTAAAGTTTACAGAAAGACTAAACAATCTAATAGCTTGCTTCCGACATTAACCTTGGTATCGCATGACGCTTAATGCGGACGCCATGTTGACGGTGATTTCAAAGATTTCGTGTAAATTTGATAAGATATCTGGGTTATGGTCTCAACGGGAGATGAATTAAGATGTCACTTCGCCGTGAAGGAAATGAACAATAAAACACGGAAAAATGACAAAGCAAAATAAACAAACCATAAATTACATGTTAAAAAAAAAAAAAAAAAAAAAAAAAACACAAGTAAACTTTGTTCAACCCGGATTTTGGCCCTGGGAAATCTTATAAGAATTTTTAGATGAATTTCAAATGTTGTTATCTTGAGTTTATAGCAGTGTTGAAATTTCCTTACAAAATACATGATGTTTTATTTGCCTAAAGACGTTTTGGTGGATTGGTGGATCATAAACACATCGTTTTGCATTTTCTTGCTCGTTAGCTTTTTAACGTTAGTTGACAGCTTTGCACGTCAATTGGCGGCCGGCTTTTACATCAAACAAGTTGAAGAAAACCCCGGCTATAAAAAAGCTAATATTATCTCTATTAATGCAAAATACGCAGGTTTCTCATTTATGGCTTGTTATCCCGCTTTCATGACAGCATATTACTTAACACCGATGTCGTTCTTGCCTTCTTGTTAAATTTAACTTTCATGATTAGGGAATTTCCTCGAAATTTCGGCAGACACTCATGTCAATATAATCATTTTAAGGTTAGTTCAAGAAACTTAGCTTTCGGGATTGAAAAAAAATTTCCAATTGGTAAAACAAACTTGCGCCTGGTGAACATCGAAAGTGTCAATACGTAACTAGGGTCACAAGGATGATTATGAAACGAAATTAGCACCAGCTTGTATCTAAGGCCATCAATTATGAAAACTACGTTTCCACCTGAAAACAGCTTCATAGTAGGTTGCATTTGAGCGTTTGTAATTAGCATGTGGATAAAGAATTCAGCAAAAAGCACTTATGGTTCTTCTATCTATAAAAAAATCAAACGCTCAGTTGGTAACACGTCATACGTTCTTTAGCTTTCTATTGGGGTATCCAGGCTGTGAAAGGCTTTTCAAGCTCCGTTGTAGATGAACGCACAGTTTTAAGTGAAAAATTTTACAACAATGAACAATTCCGTTTTAATTTACGAAATTCGTTCGGTGAGAGAACAATGTTTGAAGTTCATCCCTAAAAGTCGTTATAGCTTTCTTCAAAATACACAACACAAAACGAGAGCTCTCTCGAATTCTCTCTTTATTATTCATTATCTTGCCTATAATTAATCAAATTTATTTAAATTCCAAAGCCTGTCATTTAGAATTATAAAGTTTATTTCGAAATAAGACTTAACAATACATAGCATACTGGAACATTTTTTGATTTAACCGGCGAACAGTTGGATTTTCAAAAAATGCACATATGTATTTCGAAATCTATTTGGGAATTTTCGAATGCATTTCAACAAAAAAATTACTTGAAGTTTTATATTCATAAAAATTACCACCCAAGAGTCCTAGACGGAAAATCAGGATTAAAGACTCTAAGGAGAGCCAACCAAAGAAGACACGTTATTAAATTAATTGTTTCTTTCTGCCACTCGTGCAAATTGGTTATATTCCTAAACCACCAAGGGAGAAGTCCGATATGGAATTTGTTTCATTTGCAAAATGAAAGTGATATCTACTCTCTTGAAGATTTTTACATGAAAACATTAACACACATAAAATGCACGTGTAACTACCGCGTACACAGATGATTTAAGAAGCAAGAACATGCTTTGATTTGAGAGGAACACAATGTTGAACATGGCATATGCCAATTTAAAATTTTGAATGATAATGAAAAAGCAAAGAAGTTGCGAAGATGGTGCGACTTTCAGTGAAATTAACTCTCGAAACAAAGGAATGAAAGAATTGATTTTTTCACTAACACCACTGGACGTTTTTTTGTTGTAATCACAATCTTTCTTTTCTTTAACATTTCGAATCTCTCATAACGCAAAACGGAAAATGTTTTGATTCCATACTGTGGCTATTTATAAATTTCGACTTGCTGGGAAAAAAGCTGATCAATAACATTCAGCCCTGGACGTTCCAATCTTAGCAACTTTGAACACGTTTTCGCATCATTAAAAATTGAAGAAAAACCTTCACTCGATGTTTATTTCTGTCTCGTAGTGTATATGTTTTAAAAATCAAAAACCTCCGAATACCAGGGGGTCATCATATCAGTAATATTAAAATGAAAAGGTTAAATTCTTCCTTCAGGCGACGCTCAAACATTTCATTGCGAAATTCAATTATTTTTCGGCACAAGAACAGAAATTGTTAATAGAATAAAAATGGCCTAATGAAGTTCTTTGAAAGCCGCCGTAACAGTGAATAACTACATTGAGAAATACCGAGACAATTCGAGCAAATTTCACGATGGCACACAAGACGCGGCCTTTCTAATGTGGAATAAAATTCAAACTGTAATTCCTCTTACCGTATTTAATAGACGCAGATCATTTTAATACATCCGAATTTTCAGCAAACACGATGAAATCTACTCAAATATTTCAAAATAACTTTCTACGATTTCCATTCTTTCAAGCAAACATTTGAACCGATTTTTGCGGGAGCGAAATTTTCAAGTAAACTAGAAAGTTTCATACCTTGCGCAGATTCATCCATCTCAGCGAAGGCAAGGATTGAGCACAACGCACAGGTGCTCAAAACACAGAACGTAAATATGAGCGGCGACATCTTTGGAAAGTAACTCAATGTCGAGAAACTGTAAGAAAAAAGAAGGCAAGCTTAGAAAACATCTAAGCGCTCTCTTGAAGTCAAGCTAGAACCTGTACTCAACCCGCGAATAAACCATGTGACGCCTTATCGGTCATGAGTTAATTTCTGATATATTTCTCTGACGTCAGTCGTCTAAGGAAAGATTAAATGAATATGGAATCATGTTCTGAGGTCTTCCATGAATTATCCAGCATAACAATGAGTTTATAGCGCTTATTATCCAGTGTATTTGAAAACCATAAACATTGACACGATCTGGTGATCGTAAAATCATTGTCCCTAGTAAACAACGTTCAGAATAGGTTGCTAACTTAACATTTAATACTTGGCGTTTTCCTTTCGGATTTGTTTGATGTAGTATCTAGCGTGTGTAGTTACCGCCTCTTTCAAGGTAGCAAGAGATGTTTCCTGCCATAAAAAAAATGGTAAAATATTCTCGAGCTGAAGTACTTTGTTTCATTTTGTTCCCGTTGGTTTTAGAATTTAAAGACGTCAGCTTTGAAATAGGTAGTTATTCTTTCACATCTAAGTTACACTTTTCACATATCATTTTACGCGATCCAGCCGAAAAACAAAAGGTTTGAAATTCAAATATTAAATATAGTTTACTTGTTGAAAAGGCCCAAAGGGTGAGTGCACTAGATAGCCTTTGTTTCAACAATAATATGATTAATTTGGATTTTAAAGATAAATATATTCTTATTTTGCTTGTGAATAAATCTTTCGTGGTGGTCATGTTTGAGAAACCTTTCTTGCATACGAAGTGAAATAAGTGAACATGCATAATAAGTGTTTTAGTTTTCGAAAATTGCTAGACTATTGACCTGTAAGTTTATCAGACGTGAGGCATATCATGAAAATAGATTTTGCCTCTCGGCAACTGAGGAATTGTTCTCGATAAACTCTGTGTTTTGATACACCGGTGGAGATCTTTTTGAAACAAAACAGCAACGACTCAAAAGGCAATATTTCACTATTATTAAAAAGTCCTTTTGTTTAAGTGTTCTGAAATATCTCTCTTTTCCTAAAAGGCGAATGTAATGAAGGTTATTAAGTTTAAACGATATGTTCTTTGTTTTAGACATGAAGTTATAGCACAAATATGTCAATTCATTCGCGATACCCAATAGGGTCTGAAAATAGATGAGCGATGTCCTTGCTAATTACCAGTATTTCTGAAATTCTCAAAGCAGTGGGAGCAACAAATAACTGTCTACTTTTTTTCGTTTTAGCGGTAAATCACTGAGATGGGTATTCCTAATTTACTTAGAAATTTTTCTTCCTCGACTTGATCACTTGTTTTTTGGCGAAAAAAAATCCAGATAAGGTCTTAGTCCAGGATAGAATCATATGAAAGTGGCAAATATAGATTTTCCAAGCGAAAATGCTCGATCCTTGTATAAGTTTTGTAACATAGAAAGGTCGCTTGAGGTTAATTCGAAGACTACTATATGAAGATGATAATTGAGTCCCCTACAAGCGAATCGCCATCATGTTTTACATTCCTTAGAGAGTTGAGTGTATCCTTCAGCACAACCTGGTAAAGAGAAGCGTATAGATAAAACATTTGCGTTGTTCCTCACTCTTTAATTTCTGGTACGATTGAACGATAAATGCAGTTGGAATTTAAACAACATTTCGTGTATCAGTCACACGAAAGCCCTTAACTAAACGTGTATATGACAAATAAAGTGTACAATATTTTATCTTTTGATTTCACGTTGTAACACTTCAACGTCGTATAGCAGGAACTCAAGAATTGGTTTTAAATAACGAAATCAGGAGGATGTTACAGTGAGGCTCCCTCACGCTCATTTTGTTGCTCCATCTCCGCACATTTACCAATTAATTTTTCTCTTACAAAGATTGGTGGGCTTACCATGGATTTATGTCTGTCTAACGTAAGAACTTATCGACTCATATATACAAGAATAACATTTTAACTGGAGACCGTCGTCACATTAATTCAACCCCAAATTAATTAAGATAAGCGAATAAATACAGATATTACTTCCTATGTTTAGCTTCGTGGGTATAATTCAGAAGTCTCCCCTCCACGTTTTTATTTTTGTAAGTTATTTCTATATTTAGATGCTTTTTTATTACTGAAGCATCAAAAAATTCTCAATCACTCCACGGTTCCTTTTTATATCTACTGGGCCCCAGGAAATTCCGGCAATAAATGAAAATATTTTGTCAATAGCCATTAACTAAAACGATTTAAAAAAGCCTTCATTCAGACATGTCCCAGTTCTTTGGTGTCACCAATCATGGGGAGCTGTCCCTTTCTTACTGTAAGCTATATACTGGTAAACGCCCGATGATCAAATGCTTTGAAAAATCACTTGAGATCCTTAGAGGGTTTGATGCTTTCCTTTTACGGAGTAAGATGAGTTTGCAAACACTGGTGTAACAAATTTTCCAAAAAAAAAAAGAAAAAAAAAACCAAACAGTTACACTCCTGTCACATGATCTGTTATGGGGCAATAAAACAACAAGGTGAATCCGTGCGATCTTAAGTGACTATCGGCTGAAGAAGCGAGCACCACTGTACAGCTGTGATGCATCCTGGGTCTTTAAAGCATGCACTGGGGCCGTCGATTGGCGAAGCAAACTGAGATATTCTGGCCATGGTTTGTTCGATTAAGCCATCCCTAGGTTTGTTTAATTTTGACTGAGATTTAACGCTTTGCAGACAGATTCATCTTTTAATTTTTGTTTCCTTCCGTCTTAATTTTACGCTAGCGAAAAACTTCAAAACTTTGCCGAATCACCTCAGATCAAAAAGCCCATGATAAAACAAATTTTAGCTTAGTTCCCAGTGCCTTGCAGTGCTCTCTTCTATCGGTTGTTTTATCATTTGATCGGCTGGTTAAATTGGATTAAAGAAAAGGTATAACACCATTAAACAGAGAAGATATTTTTTGTCCGAATGTAGGGAAAAGTCTGGTGCAAGATTGAGGTCAACGCACGATTTTTTTCCCAGAGCCCTCGTCAAGCTTGTCAACATCATACGTGCGGAATCAGTACTTCTTGCAGCTTTTATCACGCCATTCTTCCCAAACCTTCCCAGAGCTACCTGAACATTTTTTATCTTTTTTTTTTAACCATTGAGTATTTCATTATTTTTTAATGAAAACTTCTCATCGTCAAAAAAATCAATAAACCAATAGTTTAAAAAAAAAATTCGTTTGCACCTGCGCCTTTTTTTCCCTTACAAACAATATTTTACCTCCGAGTAAACTAAACTAGGGAAAAAAACTTGCGTTTGTGTAATGTGAATGCCTTTTTTTAACGTGTTATTCCGCATAGCCTAACGATTACAATATAGCATATATTTATATTTCTCTTTCATCAGTGCAGAATTACGTTACCAAAATATCTATGATCATGTTTTTTGTGAGCATTTTTTTCGATAACGGTTTGTTATTTTACTTTGCATGCATTGTTGTCAAATCATCCATCTATCTGCCATTGCCTAATCATGATATTGCGTTTGATATATTTTGCTCAGCTTTCAGTCCTATAATTGCAAATTCCTGTAGCAGACTTTGCGTGTTTCTGGTCAGGCAAACCTCACGCAAACGCTAACATGATCTCCAACTGATTACTCTATCTAGTCTAATCCAACGTACTAAATACAACAATAATTGCTTGATTTTGTTTGATTTCCAGAAAATATACTGCAAAAGCAAAGAAGATTTAAATGGAAGTACATACTCCGTCTTTTGTTGCGAGCATAAAATGCAAATTTCTTTAGCCTAGATTGCCCCTGCACCCAGCCCACATTTAATGTTATGGCTAGTTCAATAATTAAAAAAAAAAACCTCCCGTGAAAATCTTATACCTCGGATGAAGAAATCCACTGGTTTCCTGCAATTTTAAGTACTTTCTTAATTAAAAAATATAAATGCTTTCAGTTTTCACCATTTTCGATCCACTTGTAGTTTGACAACCCTGACGGTTAGAATGATTGAACGGCGCACAGCAATGAATGTTGATTAAGAAAGAAAATGTACTGCTGCTAAAAATAACGTGCATTTTAATGCGCGTTATCGCTCTTTAATTGCTCTGAGAGCAGCTGCAGTTCATGATTTCTCGTCTCTGTTTGTTAAGATAACATGATGTTTATATAAGTTTCAGAAATGAACCCTGAATGTCCGCAATTTGTTTCAACAGAAATCTCCAGGTATGAAACATTTATAGCAGAATAACCACTAATGCTTATTGAGGCGTTTTTTACATGTTAACGGGTCACCCACAAGTGTTTTTAACTACGATAAAAGACAAAGTTTAATGTGCTCTAAAGCGCTGTTTACAAAACTTTGTTAATCTCAGTCATTAGACTTCATTTAAATTTGCATATTTTGAAAGAAAAGGAACTTCAAGAACAAACACTTCTTTGTGTAAACACGGAGTTCTTGTTTTGCTGCTCCGATAGATTTTTTCGCCTTTTCTTTTTTTGAAGTGTGTACTGAATGATGAGACGCTGTGTATTACGGACTGGTGAAACGTAGGGTTTAAAATTATTGGCACATTTCAACAAAATGAACAAACTCTTGGAGATTTGATTTTGTGATTTAGAAATGCGAAATAAGTGAAATTGAATTTAGTGTTTTCTTTCCTTAATTTGGAGTATGAGCAGTGAAATTGAGAGCTAAGTTACAACCGCAGTGACGAAGCGTTGTTAAACTCCAAAATGCATTTCTTGTCCTGGGAATAATCTCAATGTTTTCTCGCGTAAGCTACAGCTATTTCCAAAGAGATTATCATGAACTTCTTAGAAAAAAAAACCGGCAAAAAATATACAACTTAAAATCGAAAAAGTCGTCTATTCACCTTTGCCGGGTTTTCTGTATCGAACATAAAACTCCTTGGATTCAGACTGCTTTAACAGTCTCCACGTTTCATTCCCCAAACAGAAAGGCAACAAATGGATTTTTATCCGAGCTTGACTT